GTGCGTGACAGTAGAAACAATAGACAAGAAGACAGCAGTGCACAAGTAATAAAATAAAGTAAAATGAAATGCTAATGCAATGGGTTAGTGGGATAAGGCTTTGAGTTAGTATAAAATAAGAGAATAAAGTTAAAGTTAGAAATTAAAAATATTTAAAAAGTTAAAAAATATTAAAAAATAAAGTGCACTATCGAACAAAGTGCACTATCGTGTGTGTGTGTTTGAGTGTGTGTTTGTGTGTGTGTGTGTGTAAGAGTTTATCAGAACAAGTGACTTGTGATAAAAAAAAAAACTCCAGAGGGAGGACAGAACAGAGCAGAGAAAAAATTCATAAACCTCTGGATGAAATATATGTTGGATCATAAAGACGACAAACACAAAACTGCTTTCCAAACCCCCCGAGCAGAGGGAGAACAATAAAAGACTTGATGGCACAGAGGGGGGAAAAAAAGAAGAAGGTCTGAATGCTCATCATCAAGTTATGTACAACAGGCACTTCCTGATCTGGTGTTCTGATAAGAGGCGAGAGGCAAGCAGGCTGTGGCAAGACAGCAGACAAGCACATACAGTAAGATGTGGCGGATAATAGCTCTGCTGTTTAAAATCAGACTTTGATTCACCAAACTCCATGGGACAAGTATTGAACTTTTCCAAACCTGCTCCGTCAAAGCAAGATCTCAAGGCCACCATCACATGAATACAGTATAGATATGTTACGGTGTTTTTTGTTAAAAGCATGCAGAAGATAGAAAAGCTGAAAAAAAAGGTTAGGTTTCTGCACCATCTGCCTGCAGCTGCAGGCACTTTCATGGTCCAAATAATGAATCTACAAGTGAACAGAAGTGGAGCACAAAGTGGTGTGAGGGTGAGGGGGGGAGGAAGGCATGGAGGACGAGACCGGCCTCTCTCTCCACAAGTGGCCTCCTCAAAAAAAAAAAAAGAAAAGGAAAAAGAAACATAGCGGGACTGGAGAAATGATGGAGGCTTAGACAGAGGGGTTGCGCAAGACAAACATTTCCCACTGTGGAGCTGAAAATGTTATTGTAAGGTCACATGTAGAGGTCCTGCGGGGCGGGCCTCACTCCCAGTCACTCAGTCCCCCCCCCACCCGCACCCGCACCATTTGAACACGGAGTCTAAACAGTGTCCGGTATGATGCTTATTTTAACGCCAAACAGCCGTCAATTAACAATCTGTTATTCATACCGCGGGGTAAATCCTACAAGTCAGACCACGGGGGGAGCGAAAGGTTGATTATCATCTAAATGGGGACAACCGGGCACCTCCGCCTGCACTTTGTGAGCAGCTCCGTGGGTTTTGGGAAGGTTAACGGGAGAAAAAGGAATTCTTTTTAACTGAGACCAAAACCATTCAGCCAGCAGGAAGAGTCTGCGTGCGTGTGTGTGGTCTTAAAACGCTGCCAGAGCAGAACGGCCAAACAGACTAATGAGCATTGTTTACACACACAAACCTTTGTACGAGTCAACGGGACCTTTTTGGGGGGGGGGTTTCCTAATACCAGACAAAAAAAATTCTCCTCTTGAGCATTAAAGCATTAGCATACAGCTGAAAATGACAACAATGGCCAGTTGAAGTATCACATGAATGCTAATTGAAGTGGCCATTAAAGTCAGTCAATGAGGGGAGTGTTGCTGGCGGGGATTATAGGACCCCTGCTAACGTAAACACCAACTGACCTCCATTATGACTACTTATCACAGCTACAGCCCTTTCCTTTATGTCCCCTCGGAGGGGTGAAGTCCGACACATTCCGCTCAACGTTTCCTCCCGGACCGACGGGGGCAGCGGCGTACGCTGATAGATCGGGAACCCCGATTGCCGGAATGCTGCCAGCATTGTTTCCGTGATGGAAACGGAGGGATCGGAGAGGCAGGAATATTAGTTCCACCTGGTTCAGAGGAGGAAGAAAAAAAAAAAACAGGTGGAAAAAGCGGGAAAAGCCGTTGGTACCTCTGAGGTTTTCCAAATTGGCCCCCGTGCTCCTTGGATGTCTAATCAGGACTTTTTCGCAGGGTAATTTCAGCCTGCTTAATACAACACACACATATACTCAGATGCACTCGTAACTTCTTCACACACACCTCTAAATGGCAGCGCCCACCTAAAAAGGCTCCCTCGCCTGCGCCGCGAGTTCTCATAGAGCCCAAACAAGTCCGGTCCACAGGGACGAGGAGTGTTTAAAATGAATTATTACTGCTCTGGCCAACCAGGGGGGCCGCTGCACATAATAATCCATCCATTGTTCTCCACAAATGGACCCAGACTCAGTAAATAGGGAGGGAGGGGGGGAGTATGGTGCTGAGAAAAGCTGGGTGAGAGTAAAGGTCAGCTCATGCCTTGTTTTAACGACAGCACGTTAACTTAACTTACTTCCTTCGACTTCCCACTGGTAATAAATGGGTGGGAACGCAAAGAGACACAGGGAAAAAAAGAAAGGAGCCATGTGTCAAGACAGGGAGGCAGAAACCAGGCAGCGGCTGGTTGGTAGAACAGAAAACCGGAGGCGAGGAGATGAACGAGTAAAAGACTCGAGGTGTTTCCCCGAAGGTCGACCGCGGGGGCTGAAAAGCAAAACGCCACTCAAACTGTTCTAATACCTCAATGGGGCATTAAAGTGCTGGCTGGGCAAGGGTTGTGAATAAAAATGAAAACATACCACAAGTCTAACCAGTTGGCCCTGGAGCCAGGAGACCACTGGTGCATCTTCTTACTATTCAGGAGCTATTTAGACTTTGGGGCATTTGGTTACTGAGAAACCAGCCTCATTACGGTTAAAGGAAATGGAAAACGGTCGGGGAGCCAAATAGCCTCGTGATTTTGAAAGCCCTTGGCATACAACTTATCTCATAGTGCCTTCTTGTTATGAAACCATGATGTAACTCCGCTATAAAATGCCCATTTTCCAACGAGGTTGCAACGCAGTTTGCGAGCTCTGAGCTTCCCCGGGCGGCTCCAGAGGTGAATCGAACACGTGTGTGGTTTAGAAAATAGGAAATAAAGCAAAGTCACATAAATGCACAATAAAAAGCCACGACTGTATTTGCTGCCTGTTTCCAATTGAAAAGGCATGAAACGCGTACCACTCGATGTGTGTGTGTGTTCATGGTTAACTAGTCCACGTGCATAACGCGGACACCTGGTGCCTCTCTCCGTTTCTCCCAGGGTGCATTTCTGCAGATCCGTATGTCCCGGGCTGCTGCATTCCACAGTGAGTGGAGCCCAGTGGTCCCCGGCCCTGTCACCACATTAGAGGCTCTGCTGGGACACATCACCGAGCACCTCCTCCAGCTGCCGGGGGGTGGCAGAGCACCAGAGGGGGAGGAAAGAAGGCGTCGGGATGGAGGAAGTGTGTGGAGTTCCTAGGGGGGTCTTAAGAAATAATTCTTGCTTGGCCAGTCGCAAAGTCGTAGCAGTGGCGAGAGGGAGGGTCTGCGTGTGTGTGTGTGTGTGTGTGTGTGTGTGTGGGCAGGGGGTCGGGGTCAGATGTCGCCTGATGACTGACAGCAACAGGCTTAGAATCGGTCACCCGTATGTACTGTCTCCAGTGCTGCTTAAAATGTGTAGATAACAGCCCCGGAGCCACACTACCAGTGTGTTTTTATTGTTTTACACAAAATTCCTGTAAAATGTCATTTACATTTGTCAAATATGTCATCGTACAATTTCACAGGAAGTATTTCTGTCCTTAGCCATAATGTAACAGCATGGATCGACTGCACTTCACAGTCGTATTTGGACTGTAAAACACAGAACTCACTGTATCGTTGCTACTCTCGCAGATAGTCAAGCATCTTTCATAATCACCTCCCTGCCAACTACACCTCCGCTGGTGTGTCTGTGGGTTCCGTGCATCTGCAACTTCTTAGAATGCAGAAACCACGAGGAACCGGCCATGTTTCCTTTTGCCATTATATACACAATTGGATCTGCTCTCTTCACCATGGACTTTTGTTCTTTGGGGTTTCTCCTCCTCACTCTGTTGATCTGTAATTAGAACTGACCTGTCTGATCTTATTTAGCCTCGGCGCCTTGTTTACTTTTGGTTTAGTCGTGCCGCGGGGGGCCCGGCTGCCACGCGGTGAATAAAGCATTGTCCGCAGACTCACAGATTTAATCTCCCCTTCTCAACCGTCGCCCAAACCCCCTCCTGCCCCGATAGCCACACACAGGTACTTCACCGATCAGACGCCCGTTGATTTCCCTTCCATGCCGAGCCGGAGAGAAAAGCGAGCGGAACAGAGCGGGCTTGTTTTGCCGGTGTCTGGCTCTTTAGAGTTCTCTCGTTAAAGGGAAGTTTTGCCTCAGCGTTTGACTCACGCTGCTGGATTGCATCAGACGAGGTCCAGTAGCCAGAGACGATGGGTGAAATCATAGAAATTCTATTGACAGCTTATTCATGACCTGTTGATAACCTCAGTGTAAGTTGTCCTGTGTGAGGGGAAGTTATTGACATTGGCATCATAAACAGCGCAGCCAAATGTGGTTTGACTGAGGTCTCCTACTCTCCGGGTCAGACTCAGACACACACACACACACACACACATCGATGTGAGTCAGTCGGCTGGCCCGCGGCGGGAGAGCTGGACTCTCACACTGACTTGTGTTCTTTCACCCTGGGAAGCTGATGGATGATGTTTGTTTGGTTTAGCTGCAGTGAATGTGCGCACACACACACACACACTCGGCTGTGTTGAAACACACACAAACTGGAGGTAGGAGTTGGCTTGCCCTCCCTCATTCCCCTGCCCGGTGTTGATTTTGGGCCGTGTTTAGAGATTTTTTTGGGGGGGGAGTTCTTAGTTTTCCGTCTCTTACTTCTCGGTGTGAAAAAGTTAAAAGTCGACTGAGACTTTCTTCTCGCTCACATGAAACCGGCGAGTCGACTAGAGTTATAATGAGCCAAGAGTCTTGTGTTACCTCCAGGTTTGAAACACGCATTATTAGGTGGAGAGAAGGAACGTTTGTGAAACAACTCTTACCTCTCGCGCAGTCAGTGAGTAAAACGGCCTCAAAGATCAACAGCACGATCTTCAGGGCGCCCATACTGTCCAGAGGCAGCTTCACGGCCCGAAATCTGAGAAACACATGATCACCAACTCAGGCTATATGCATAAAACATTTGCTATTAGCATTTTCCATTGTTGCAAATTGGCTTAAATACTTTCTTAAATGAAATATAACATTAGAATAGACAAAAATAATGTCAACGATTGAACCAGTTATAACATTAATATATTTATGTGGCTAAATACTTTTTTTCTGGCAGGAAAAGGTTTGTGTGTTTACCTCAGTGGTTACCTGGAAATGAGCACTATGAAAGAGCTTTTGATCATTATTACCTAACTAGACTGAAAGTACATTTAATGTCTAAAATGAACTCCAAATGAACTAATTGTAATATCAATATTTACATTGGGATCCTCTTAAGTGGGAGAAGATCTGGTCCTCTGGTCGTTTTATTCCCTTTGTGTGTCGTGTAAATGGTTAAAGGACCGAGTTAACGGTTCCTAATAACTTAGTTATATTTAGCACATCTTTGCTCATAATAAAATATAACCGACTGGAAGCTCAGGTAACATGCAAATAAGCGGGAACATTTTTTAAAAAGAAAAGTGGGGAAGAAATGTGTCAATAGCGTACCTGGATGTTAAATGAATGAAGTCAATTCCGTGTCAGCCGCTTGACGGAGACGTTTTCAACCCCAAGTCCGCGCTGAGCCCATGAATCAAAAGTGTAGGTCGACTCTTCTGGCCAACAGCGCGGGCTTTAATCCGGACTAAAACAGCGGATTCAAAGGCGGAATAAAACCGGACGCTTCCATAAATCACAACACAGAAGAAAAAAAAACTAATATACATTCATATTTTAAAGTAATGGCAGTGTCCTCGGCGTGCGCGGTCTGCTTCGTCCGCCCAAGCGACTCCTCGGCAGCGCACCGAGCGGAGACTCGTAGTCCGTCGCAGCGCTGCGGACCAATCAGAGCGCGCGCAGGGCCGGACACGTGGTTAACTCTTCACCGCTCGGCCACGCGACCCTCCTCGTCAACGAGCCGCCACCGGGAACCGCGCGGAGCTCGTAACGTGGGAGAAAAACGAATAACGTCTGTGGACAGTTAAAGGAGGGGGATACGACACAAATATCTCCGCAAAAAGGAAGGTTACTGCTGCTGATATCTTGTGTGAGATTAAAAAAAGGAGGAAGAAATGATCCAAGAAAAAGTTGTTAAGTCACTGCTGGACGTCAGACTCAAATACAATTTTAATTAAAGCAATGACTCGAGAAGCTTTAATATTCATACTGAAACCACGTCTGGCATACAACACTTTCTTTAAGGGGTAAAACAAATAAAACGTGGTTGAGTAATGCATCTCTGTACTTTGGCCAATCGATGCGCACCGTTTGAACACGGTGGCCTGGACCAGTGCTGCCACCTAGTGGTCCCATTGAAGCTCGAGAGCTTCCACAACACCAGTTCACTTGTTTCACTCATAGTGGACGTTGGCAACGAGTAGGTCTTCTACTGTAGCCTCTCATCCAGTGCTGAACTATTGGGGTGCTTCAATAGATCATCTTTTCACCCGGTTTTGTCCTGTATGGTGCACTTTAACGAAGATGGGTACTAAACATAATTTGAAGAACAAGAGGCAGAGGTCCTGGCTTTTAGCCTGGAGTACGGTGAATAGCACAGACCCTTGCATGTCCAGTAAAGGCCTAAAACCTTCAGACTGCATTGACACATTTGGTAACAAATCTTTGATTCACAGTAGCCCAACGCTTCTAAAATGCTTAGGATGGGTTAAATGCAGGTCAAAGTTCACATATGTATGCAACCGATGAAAGTGAAGTTTAAAATCTACACTATTGAGTTTAGAACCTTTGGAAAATAACATCCAACTGTACCAATGGTCATATAAAATGTTTGTCATGTGAGAGAATGATTGTTGTAAAGTCAGTCTGTTGAAATTCATAGGTTTCTATAACTAACTCAGTAGGACATTACGGATTGGGAGGTAGAGTCAGGTTCTTCTTAAGACTAGATTATAGACAATATAGGACACAAATAAAGGCAGAAATTCAAAAAGGTACTTGGCAGGAAAAGTAGAGTAGATGTTATCAGTCAACATTTTAAAAAAGGAAAATTTTATTTCAATATACAATCGCATTTAAAACTATAACAATTTATTGATTTTACACAGCTCTCATTTTTACAAAATAAGACCAAACTCTGAAACAATAACTGGATATACCACCCACTAATTACAGCATGATTCCATGTATTATACATTATAGTAATTATAGCTTCAAACATGTTTGTTCCTTATAAAAAAAAAGAAAATAAGCATATCTTTTCAAAGTCAGTTTATGATGAAAATAAATTGATCAAAGAGCAATGATGGTTTCTATTTGCAATGCCTGAGAAACCGCTTAGGTGAGACCAGAATGGACATGTGATAAGAGAGTTTGAGCTTTCCCAAAAGTCCGTATTTGACTGGCTACTTCTGACCCTTTCAGACACACAAACTGCGTGATATCATGAGCATGGAAGATACTTTGTATGTGGTCATCAATGGAAGCTGGTTCAAAAGCAGAAAGGAAGGCAGGTGCAAACGATGTAATCTGAAAACAAAATATCCGATCCTGAACCAACGCCGGAAATAATTTAGTGTAACGGCAAATCTGCACAATTTATGGGCTCAGAATTGGCCTTTAACTAAAATGTAATAGCCAAGTCTCGTCTCTAAAATGTGCAGGACCATTGTAATATTGCACGGTATCGCGAGTAGGAAGTGGAATCCATGGGCAACAATCGGCCTGTAGTCCTTAGAAGGCCTCTGGTTCAGAACAAAAAACAACAACAACATTGTGATGAGGGCACTGAGCGAGGCGAGGTCAACTCTCCACTCGGGAGGGCCTTCAGGACCCGACCGTGATCATTCGGGAATCCCTTTGAACCGTCTCCGTGTGCAGCAGAGCCCTCAGAGCAAACATGACATGCCGCAGTGCGACTGTAAAAGCAGTGGGCAAAGCCATAAAGAGCTCAACGTTTAACCTTTTTGTAACAAACACATTTTCAAGTGAATTATACATTCATTGCCATTAAAAGCATTAAATCATCTAAATATAAAAGCTGTCTGTTTTTCATTTTTACTTTAAAAGGACCGGTGGTTTCTCCCCCATATAAATAGCAAATGTTCTATGAAGACATCATAGTTTAGCTATTATCAGATTAATCCTATTTACATGGGTATCATGAATTACATTCTTTTGAGTAATCCAAAGCCTGTGAGAGTCCTGGCACAGATGTAGGAAGCTCGCAAAAGCATAGGAAAATATTTCACAAGTCCTTTAATTTACACCTCGAGAAAAATCAAACAATGTGACCTGTTCCAAATTTGTGCTGCAAACTGCTAGAGAAGCTTCTTGCACAATGCCAGTTCTAAATGTGTCCTTACCCGCTTATCCCCTCTCTCCCCTTTACACCTCTAGGATCAGGCAGGCAATTGTGCGTTAGCTGGGCACTGAAATCAAACTGTTTGTTTGCCAGCCTCTCCGAAGCAATAAAAGCACGTTGAATTTTCACTTGTGTGTGTGTGTGTGTGTGCGTGTCTCGTCTGTAACGGCCTCACGCTCAGCCCTGCTCAGCAGGTACGGTGGCGGCCATTCGGTATACCAGAGCAGGGAGGCGCTTGCTTTGTCCACAGCCCTGGGTCTGTCCGTTGCATACGTTTGTTGTGGCGGGCTGTGTACTTTGGGTGACGACATGGAGTTAGATGCCGGCCTTGTCGCTGTAGAAGGGTGTGACGTGAAACATGTAGCAGTGTGTGCAAACCCTGACGGGCTTCACCTGGCCATACCGAGGCAAAGGGGCAGAATGGGAGGAGCAGCGGGAGCAGAAGATCTGAAATGACACAGTATGTGATGCATCCGTTACTCCCCAAATGAAGGCATCACCAGTTGGATCAACTACACATTAAACTGAGGATTCTGCCACTTGGACTCCCTCAGACTGAGAGTCTTTGTACCTTTCCACAGCTTCTACAGTGGTGCTTCCTGCGGATGACTGTGAAGGGAGCCTTGCAGGCAATGCAAGAGTTGCAGGCTTCATCTGGGACCCAGTCTGGAGGATCTACAGAGAGAGAAACAGTTAACACAAAGTAGGCCTGTCACCATCAGCCTGCCTGCTGCAGGAAAAAGGGTCAAAAAGGAACCGATTAACACAACTAAACTGTGAGCAGGAGTTTTTCTGACCTTCAAATTGTCCGTCCCGGGCCTTGGCTGCCAATTCAGATGAGGAAATGGTCTCCTGACAGAGGGCACAGTCTTCCAGCACAGCACTACGCAGAACAGGGCCTAATGGACGCAGTACAAATATTAAATGTTTACAAGCCAATCAAAAAAACCTCTGAAAGACATTTGAGTATGTATCGTACGATGAATACATAAGACCGGTGCCTGACCTTTCTTTTGGTTATCGTTGCCTCCCTCCTCACACTTAGTTGCCATGACTTCAAACAGAGTCTTGAGGATGCTGCGAAGGTCACTAGCATAGTTGGTCTGCAGCTGATCGGCAACACCTGTACAACAGCAGCAACAAATATTGGATATCTAAAATTGTGACGAACGGGTGGACGGAGCCGAACAGTGTGGAGATTTTACCTGATATACAAACAAAGAGGCGGTGGATGAGGTCGCTGCTGCTGTGAAAGCGCGATCGGATCTTGTTCCTTGCAGCCAGCTTGGCGTGTCGCAGAGCCAGGTGGATCTCCTGATGGTCCAGGTCTGACATCCCCGAGCTGGGGGTCAGACTGCTTACAGGGCTAGAGGGAGTGAGAAGACATTCATATTTCATCCATTCAAGATTTCAATCTCAAAGTTAAAAAGGCTTTATTGATAAAAATAAAAAGCACATGAAATAAAAGTAAACACTGTTTTAAGCTACATTTTTAAGGGTGGGCAGGAAAAAGACACTTATATATAAAAGCAACACACACACACAAGGGATGGGTTACCTGGGGGTGTATGGGCTGCTGGATAGACTACATGTGGTGACAGACACACTGTCACAGTCACTACCTGAAACAGAGCTGAGGGGAGAGCCCTGAAAACTAAAAACAACCAAACAAATAATAAAAGAAGAGGATGTAGTACAGAACATAAATGTATTAGACAAACATAATGCCAAAGAAAAAAGCACCGGCAACATTAGGTACAGTGTGGAACGAGAGACAATTAATGAAAGTAACATTAAAAAAAACAATATATGACAAAATATGGTGAAATAAGATAAATACATCGACGCAAGATCCCATTGCCCCACTACATTTCTCGAGCCAAAAGCTAGTTAAAAGGGCTTATATAAATGACAGCATACCTAGAGCTTGTCCTGCCGTCCTCTTTGGTGTCCCGCTTCAAGACTTTAGTCCCTAGCTTGTCCTTATCCGTATCCTCGTCCCCCTGTCGGCCTCCGGAGGCCTGCTCCCTCTTTTCGTTACTCAGCTGGTGGTCGCACGGGGAGGGCGCGCCCCCGCCACTGGAGCCAAAGTGAGGAGGCCGATGACCCGGCCATGGAGCCACGACCAGGCACTCCTCACATAGCTGTGGGTTTGAATCCTCTTCCAGGTCCTCTGCAGACCGGCACGAAGAAGGCGGAGTCAACCGAGCGAGCTCACGCTTGCCGAGAGGCTCGTGACCTTGTGCGGGCAGCCGGCACGCAGCCGGCCGGAAGACTGCGCTGGGGGCTGCAGTCTTACACAGGTTATCCAATCCCAGGGCGAGGCCCCGAAGTCCCGTGGACTCGGCGGCGACGGCGTCCTCGTGGCCGTCCTCGCAGCTCCCACAGCAGACACAGGAGTTGAGAAGGCAGTGAGTGGCCACCAGAGGGCCACAGGACTCGATCTCAGAGGGTGCTGGCCGAGGCAACAGCTTGTCCACGGACAGCTCCGTCGAGCTGGGGGAACGGGGGTTGAAGATGACCGTGGCAGACAGCTTCATCCCGCCCATACGGTGGGCGATGACCTCAGCCGTTTCAGACGCTGTCCCCTCCAAGCCCATCTCCCACCCGTTGGCGTAAGGCAATGACTCAGAGCCAGGAGCGGAAGTGCAAGGAGGGTGCTTTGCCTTAGGACAGTGTGTGCTCGGGCCTCGTGGCTGCGGGCACGGCTGCTCCGACTGGGCGGCAGAGTCCCAGCCGCTCCTGGCGGCGCCTGGTGGCGGCCCCAGCTTGCTCTGCACGGGAGGAGCAGAGTCAGGTGCTTTGGTGGGAGAGGCGACGCAACGACAGGCCTCTCTTGAAATGCTGGTGATGCCGTCTCCCTCCGCGTCCAGGTCCTCCATGTGGAAGACCTTGTCCTCCTCCTCCAAGTAGATGCCCGTCCTTCCCCGGCCCCCCAGGAGCCTGCGTGGAGAGGCTTCAGCGCTAAAAGAGCCACCGGAGCCTCCCGCCACGCCTGCGTGGGGGTTGCGTGCTGGTGAGTGACCCTGGCTGGGAGGCGACAGAAAGGTGGACATCTCGTCCCCTACGCGGTACACCATCATGTTGAGCTGCTCAAGTTCCTCTTCGTCGTACTGCATAGAACAGGCCAACTCGGCCTCCTCTGCCTCCTCGCACAGCAAGCCCGGTTCCTGCTCCTCTCCTGCCATTTCTACCTCCTCCCAGCCCTTTTCCACTTCCGCCAGGTCTTCCTCCTGCCTGGGGCCGACCAATGGAGCCAGATGCTCATGTTCACCCTCACTCTCTCCCTTGTAAGTGTCATTAGCAGGGCTGCAGGATGAGGGATTCTCTTGGACTGGAGTTGGTGAGCAGTCCATAGCCTGCTCCTGGCCTACCGACAGATCCCCGTCCTGGGTGATGCAGAGATTTCTTTCCAGTGATATTAACTCCTCCTCAGTCAGGGTCTGGAGGAGGTCTCTGTAAAACAATTGTAGGACAGTCGTGTCATACCGAAAGATGAAGAAGAATCATTTAGGAGAGACACAAAATGACAAAAGTGTACCTGATCTTCTTCAATAAAGTGCGAAAAGGCCGGAAGAGCTCAGATATGTCCTCTGATTTTCGGTCTAGGTTGAGAGGTCCCTCTGAATACACAACCAGCCCACTAAAAGAGAGGTTTAAAATTCTGTAAGAGAGCAGGAGAAGGGAGGGCACAGGGAAGTGGGTGGAAGAATGGAAAGGACAGGCAACACTTACCATACAATGGCTAGTCTGGGAATTGTAAACATCAGTGCAGGTTCATAGTCATCGATCATGTCTTGTGTGAGATAGCCCAGCTTTAAGGCCCTTGGAGAAAAGAAGATGGGGGAAAAAAAAAAAACTTGATAAAGAGTCAACCACATTATATCCAGCTACTATTTTAACTTCCAGATAAAGCTGGCTGGTTCTATAGGCGGTAGCACTTTAAAACGTTTCTCAGTAAACTCACCTTTCTACAGTTTCACAGAAGAGCACGATCACGTCCTGTTGTACATAGTATTCTTTGGGCGACTTCACAGGCACCATGGCTGACACGTAGCTGGAAATGGAAAAGAAAATTGGACCGTAATGGAGATTCACAGCATTGTTTTTGGCAATATTCCGACCAGGTATCTGAATGCTGCAATTGACAATAACGTGTGAGCTTTTATTTACCTGAGCTCAAACTCAGCAAAAAGGCCATCAAAATGTCTCATCGCGTCCCTCATGCGGTCAGTGTACAAGTTGAGGTCTCTCAGGGCCTGGTCTCTGGTAATGTTGCGTACCTCCTCCAGGCTACGTGTAACGTCCTTAGCGAGGGGCCTCATTGCTATACTCTCGATCTCCCTGTTCATGATGATTGAGCCGGCAGCCAAACACTACGCAAGAAAAAAACATCACGAATCATCTCCCAAGCGTAGAAAATTAAGTTTACAAATGGTACATTTGAAAACCAAACAAACACATTCGTAGGAACGAATGCAATATTTCTGTGCACATGTGTAAGATTTCTGCAAATCTTTCTGGACTAATGCTAAAGGGAATACAGTACCTCAGCCCCAAACCACAGCTGCCCTGCCAAGTTGTCATGACGAATCTCCTCCGGGAACTTGACGCTGAAGTCTCGGTTGGCCCGGTCCTCGGGAATACATTCATCCATGATCTGATTGATAATGGTCAACACACTGTCCTGCAGATGAACAAAGGAGTGACAGGAAATAAGATTGAAGAAACTAGTTGGAGGGATAAACATGAGCGAGTGAAAATCTATTCCTGAAGTTCAAGGTTCAGTGTGGAATTGAGGGTTGGTCAATAATCTCATCTCGCTTCATCGCTTTCAAGACAGCAATTGTATTGCAGCGTTGAAATACCATCGATTAGGCGGTGAATAAAAACAATTTGACATGTACATGAAACTATTACGGTCGTTGCAGTTAGATTCTCCCTCTATAAAAACACAAAACTTAAGCACATAATTCTAGCAGTGAAAACGCAGTGTCACATGCAGCAAGAGCTAATCAAGAGCTGATGTGCCGCTGGCATGTACAACAGCCATAATAACAATGACTTACAATGAGCCTTTCACTCTACCGCAGCTGCACTGTGCACTGTAATCTTGTCAAGCACAGCCCTGCGACTTTCTCGGCTGGGCCCGAGGAGAAAGATTAAAAAGCTTTAAGAAGGAGAGCTTAACCACTGATTCCTTTGTGGCTGTGGGCTGTGTGTTTGCAGCTTGGCCCGGCAAGGGTACCACCCCACAGTCTGTGAGCGTCTCCCAGCAGGGGACGCCGATGATAACCTTGGTTTTCAAACCATCATGGAGGTAGTGACTACCTGTGCCTGACAAAAGACTGGCATCTATCCCTTTTGCGTTCTACCTCTCCCTCCTTTCACTACCTCTAAACCCATTATCTTCCTCAGTCTCTCGTGTACGCCACCTAACCCAATCTTTGTCCATCCCAACACACACACACACACACACACACACACATACACGCCTGTTCCAGCAGGCAGCACGGTGGGAACAGCCGTGCCAACATAACATGAGCAGCATGCCATCAACCCCCACGGAGGCCCATGAATAAGAGCCGATAGCAGCAGTGGCAGGTTAGAGTGCAAAATGTTGGCATGAGTGCACATGCCCTCAGCTCTTGGGGCCTCAGGGCTGTGGGGTATCATACTGCTGGATTCATTCTCCAAAAAAAAAAAAATTGAGGCTGCACACTACTGAAAGAGTGCAGAGCTCCATTACACTAGAGGTACAGAGAGACATCTTAACATGAGCTAGTCATTCAACTGCCTCGGATGAAAAAAAACTATCCCGGCTCATAACCAAAAAGGGTTTTCATATACAAAAATAAGAACTCAAATAAGAGTTTGAGAACTAGGAAAAGAGAAAAGACATTCCAAAGAAAAACCAAGTGACAGATAGTCAAGAGGGAAAATCGACAGAACAGTTGGGGATCAAGCAATGACCTTATTAAGTGGTTCTCCCCTGCGTGCTAAAGGCTGTCGGGGGGAGGCTGAGGCACAACAGGCCAGATGACGACCTCACGCCGCCACCTCCAGCTCTCCCAACGTGACGCAGCACGGCAGCCATCGGTCACTCACAGCAACACCTTCTCAGCTCCTTATCAGCTGTGACCACGTAAAAGGACCTGAACCAAACTGACGGGAAGAGATTTCTGACCTGAATTGTCTTCTACACATTAGTTCCCTCAATCTATTTATATAAATATAAAATGCCTCGAGTCCAAAGAGGCCGCTCATGTAACCATTTACTAACAACTCACTAAACACACAGCCCTGTCCAAACAAAGTCGACTTATCAGCAAAACTGCTTGATGTTAGAAGCCGGCCAAACGATGTGGAGCGAGGCAACAGTCATATCACCGCACCCGCTTCCAGAACGGGATGATAAGAGCAGGGTATATTTTTAGCTTCCAGGTCACACACAAAAAGATCCAATTATGAAATGAAAACATAAATAAACATAAGAATTTCAGTCTATAAAAAGGTGCACTTTTTTATTCCAGTCCTTTTTTTACTTGGAACCCCCCCCCCCATGTATTTGTAATTAGATGATTGATTATTAATTAATTTCCATTTGAAATCTTACAATAAACATCCTTGTGATATTATTCAGTGGAATCGGATTTGACATCAGTTGTTGACTACAAACAGACGTCACAACTGCTCAACTACGTCAACATGTATGGCACCGAATCATATTGCAGGTTAGACATTATTCTGACCGCCCAACCCTTACATGAAGAAATTGTCTCTTGATGGACATCCATTAAATTTGATCTTCAGTTTCGAAAAAAACTTTAGTTTTAGTAAGTTTTTTTCTTTTTTTTCTTTTTTTTTTTTTAAACAGAACACTGGAAAGAGTATAATACTTAAAAGGACTGGCACTCCACATACACGATAGAAGATACACTTTGACCAACTCAGCTTGCTTAAACGTCCTATAGTCCTTCCTTAATCAATTTCTAATTACTTTATTGCAGAAAGTGAAGTCAGTGGACTCTGTCACCTATTATTCTAAGTGCATGGGGACGTCTTAACGCTCAGTACAAACAGCAAGAAAAACAACGTTCATTTGGGGATCTCACTTTAAACACTGAACCTGTCCTCTAACTACTCAAACTCAAGGCTATTCCCAGGTTTCATTCGCGATGAATGAATGAATGAAGTTACCCTAATCCTTTATCCATAAAGAAATGAAAACAGATATATTCTCGCTGCTTACCTGACAAGAGCGGAACTGGTTGACCAGGAGGGTGCATCTCTGAGGGTCTTTCCTGCCGTCGATGCCGTCCAGCTCCGTGGTCACCTGGTTCAGCTCTTCGTCGGCGTAGTAGAACTGGGCCAGGAGCTGAGGGTCCGTCCTCTGCACAGGAACACAGACACGCACGGAGGTCATTTTCTAAACCCGTGGAAGCGGCTTATGAGAAACAACGTGGACAAAGCGATGATAGAAGGAGGATTCTGGAGGTAAACTTTCTCGGTCAGACAACACATTCATTTGTAAAAAGCTGAAACATGACATTGGGGGTTTCGGTCACTGGATAAGTGGGTGTGTATTACTTTGATTTAGTGAACTTCACTTCGTAAAATGTCCATTGCTGTGATCTAAGTAGCCATTAATCCGTGGACACATACAGTAAATGAGCACCAACAGCTGGCAAATCATCAGAGCAAACTGTACATCTAAAAAAAGACACACAGTATTAGCGGAGGGAATTAGTGAATATCGAAAGCGAACCAGATTTCTATTAGATACAAACAAACAGACAAACAGAAAATGGGCCAGGTCGACATAAGGTAACTTGTGGAGGGACAACATGAAACGTTTTTCCGTTATCGGGGGATGACAGAAACAGAATTAAAGTATATGAATAAAGACCCCGGTGTCCAAAGCCCTGCGTTTTTCACAAATTTACGTCAAAACTGAACTGTCACGCGTCGAGGAAACCCGGCCACCACAGTGAGGAAGAATACTCTGGATGTGCTCGGTGTTTGGCCATCAGGTCTGCAATTCGCTCAGGTCAAGGACCTTTGTCTGTTCATTACACTAGTTTCCATGTGCAGTGCCCTCAGAGAATTAACATGTGCACTACCGAGAGCTCTGCATGAGTGAATTACAGAGTCAGACATGGAATGCGTGAATTACACATTCAGGCGGCTGCATTCTCAAGCAAACCAGCTTTAAGCCGTTCAAACTGTGGTCAGGTTAACACATGACTTACTAATCATGTTCAGCACTTTGGTGTTAACAGGTGGAGTTTTTATGTCAGCACTCTTTAAGTAACATCATGTGAGTTATAAACCATATTCTCTTGTAGATGAACCATGAAACTGAGATGTAGTGATTTAGAAGGAGCAGCCACGTCCAGGCGATACAGTGCTCTAAGATTAAGAGCGCATAATGCAGCAACATGCTTCCAATCTGCGGGGGTAAAAATAAAAATCAGGTAAGTAGGGCATTGGGCAGGCCATCCTAACAACAGATCGGTCTCCCCATTTGCCGGGATATTCTGGTGATTTAAGAGCAAAACAAAGGCGTGCGTTGTACTAACATTCACACCTAAAACACATTGTAAGGTTAGTGATGAGAAATGGCATTAATCCTGACAAGATGAGTTAACAAAAAAAGGCAACATAGAGCGAATGCTCCCCAGAAGAGGGGGTATAATTAGAGAGGCCGGCCCTCGTAGAGGATTTATGTCATTATCTCCCACTATGCTGCCCTCAGTGGGGAGGAACAGCACAGCAAATTGCTCAGCTGCGGCGTGACTGACACACACGCACGCAAAAAGTGTGACTACAATTGCTCCTTCTTACTGATCAGACAGACCCAAAATGAAAACCACATTTATGCAGCACAATCAAATACCTTTTTGTTGTTTGTTTTTTTAAACCACACCAACAAACTCATACAAAAACATCCTGGGGTTAATGGTTATGAAAAAAAGGCGACAACGTTCCACCATCACACACCACACGTACCCGACGGGGGCCCCGGGAACTTATTAAGCACGGCATGACTGTGCAAACTGGAAATCCGTAAACCGGCTCATTTTGTCAGCGTCAACAGCCTGGAAACGCACTCCATGAGGTCAAAGCGAAACCTCTCGCAGGACCTTTTACCCTCAAGTTTGCAGTGCTTCCCGTTGCGTGATGCTCTCCTCCTGGGCCCTCGCTTCTCCCTCTGAATATGATACATGGTGCCGTTCCCTCTCTCTCAGTCTGTCTCTCCCATTAATAATGAAACAACCAGCGAGGAGAAACGCCGGAGATAGAACCTGCAGCTGGAGGTACTCTTCTTTTCCTTTGAGGAGGGACATGTTCTTCCAACAGATTTTAAAATGTTATTTGGAGTACTGAGAGATGTCACTAGAACATAACTAACATGGGAATGAATGTATTTTGTGAATCTACACGCTTGAGTCTTGAGTTCAGTCGCAATCAGGTGCAGCACCAGGGAGAGTTACAGTACTCGAGTTACTGACACAAAACCCACGTTGTTCCACAAATAAAAATCAATATTTCTCCACATTTTGTTCATGGGCGTGAATCTTTAAGTCGGTCATGTCATGTTCTCAATGCAGTGAAGGAAATGGAATCCGATGCAAACTGAAACAGGTAACTCGGAGTTCTTTTGTGTGAATGTGAAGAATGGGACCAGTAATAGTATTATGGCAAGTCAAAACAAAACGTAAATGGTCCTTTTCATTATTGCATTGGTGTTACAACCATGGAAATCCATTTAAGTGGGTTTCTGGATGTGTAGGTCAATGGGGAAAGGAGCACAAAAGGAAATCTAAATAACACTGTAAAATTAGGTATCTTCTCTTATTTATCGTCCAAATGCATTCTTTGACAGCAAGGGAGGCAATGCTATAACCAGTCAGACCGCACAACAATGCGTGAGTCTATGATACAAATGCCGTGATGACCGAACAGGAATCTAGAGTGGGAGACAGTGAAAGGCCGTCTTCTCACAAAAGGCCCACAAAATGATGCCATTGATTTTGAACAATATAAGCAAGAAGAAGTATCTGATGCAGACGCCATCCTATAGCTTCCTCCCGCTGCATTCCTCACACAAGAGAGAACATTCCTGCAGCGTTGCATCAGGGGGGAGAGTCAAAGGCAGGAAATATTGAAGAAATGCTGCTTTACCGGTAGAAACGGCGGTTCGGGAGTATAACCAGGGCCTAAAAGCCAAGTGGTTCGCTTACATAAAATAGGTTGGCACACGGTCAAGAGACTTTGGAATATTCATGACAGGTAAGTAAATGGCTGAAAAAGTTCAAAGAAAACTTCATGAACCGATATGAGAAAAATTGTGAGAAAAAAACATCTTGAAAGCAATACTGTCCCACAATGGTAATTTAAACTTCTATGTAAATGTCAACATGTGGGGATCTGGCCCCTGAACTTGTGTCATCACTCCCAATAACCGCTGTGCCTGGCGTTAGTGAGGCAATGATTCAGCAGACTCGGCTCCCGTCCTCTGTGGCGTGCTACTCTCCTGATATACGGCGCCGCTCACAAACCCATCATTTCAGACGACTCTCCCACAACTTCATCCACAGGGACGATTACGTTAAGCCCCCTCAGTCGCATTGTTTGACAATGACTCGGTCGGTTTTGTCTGACATTAAGTCAATAACTGGTGATGACAGTGTGACTTATCAAAGTAAGTTAGAGATTTGCCATCTCAGCCAGCCGCTTTCCTTGAGCCGACGATTCTGGACTTCACTTCTGTTCAGATTGTGCGGCTGATGGAGGCCGCCAGGCTACTGCTTCATGACCGCCCGCAGCACCGGTGCGTGCATACGGAGCCCACTTAAGGGACTTATGAGAAAGCTCGCCTCTGGCTTCCGTAATCTATTCTGGGCTCAATTTGCTTCCTTCTGGCTGCCTTCCAAGGATCAGAAGCAAATATTGTACGAGGTGGAGGGGGTTGGGGAGGGGGACCAGTTCACTCGGCTTCATCCAGTCAGCTGGCAGAGTGGCAGAAAAAAAAGAAGCACCCAGATACAGTTATCTGTACCTTATTTATTATTCAGGGCTCAGCATAAAAGCCCAGGCAAGAGCGAGCTAATTGTTTTGGTAACAAACAAGAAAACTTCCTCAACCCCTATTTATTTTATTACGTTTTGTCAGAACAAAAAAAAAAAAAGGAAAATATTTCCGAGGATGCAGTTCTTTTCATGTTCAGCTGGCATCTGGAGTTTCTCCCCCCCCCCCCGCCCCTCACCTCTGTGTTGTTTTCTGCAGCTACAAAGTTATTGATGGGGACTAGAAACTCTAATCCTTCACATTTATGAGGGTTTCAGATGTTCCATTAAATAAATGTGCGTATAAATCGATGGCACCGATCGCAGGCTGCTGAGGAGCATGTCTGCACTAACCATCTGAAAGTTGGATCCAAACGTAGGCTACAGATTAAAATTCGTTGACACAATATAGTCAGAGTGGTCCGCCCATCTGGACTGATGGCATAATCTGTGTGCTGGTCTCATCTCAGAGGGCTGCCCTAATCTGGCATTTGGTCCAAGCAATGACCACAACATGACCGGCTGAGATGACACACACAGGGTTTAGGTGGCTGCAAGTTGTGTCCAGGACCCCCACCCCCCTTAGTGTGAAAATCACAGAGACGTTCTTGTGAAAGAAAAAAAATGTGGTTATGCAATCCAGAACTGGCCGTTACATTAATGATTCTAGTTTGACAAACTCACCAACTATACACTTTTTGTTGTGTATGACTTAGGAAGAGAGGAGAACAGGTAGTCGACGCCTCTATCAGCCAACTCCGACAAACCCAACGACCCCCTCGCAGGAAATCCCCGTCAAAATTAGGACCCACGTTCCGTTTACACAGCGGAGGACGTGCATCACACATGCATGAGGCTAATTCTGTCTGCATACCTTTCATTGTTGTAGGAGCAGTGCCTGAGAGCGAAGAGTCCAGAACTCCACCCTACGCCATCTGTGCGTCGCAACAAATTGTCTAAACACAACATTTTTAATTGCGCTCTACAGAGATTAAATGTATTTAAAGCCACATGCTTGTGCTATGGGGATTGCACCAATAAACAAGGCGCAGTTCTGTTTGCATCCTTCTACTCAAGCACATGTATTAATATCCTCATTTAGACCGGATTTCCTTTATTGAAAGGGCACATTAAAAATAACAGTATATGATTTTACATAACTTCTTCCAAACTAAGCAGGGGTGGATTTCAAAATCCAGCGATTGAAAATCAAAAACGTTATCATAGATTAGTTATAATATCAGCAGGTCCACTATGTAACACTTGCTAAAGAGAGACATCCTCTCATCTCATCGCCTGCCAACTGCTACAAAGGCCAAAATCTAATCCCAAAAACACAGGCCTACTGTTCACCTCCTTACCCTTCCCTCTCCCCTGCTGATTGGACAGAGCCCAAAGCTGGAGGGGTTGCTGGGTCTTCCTGGAACAATCAGACTGACAATAGACAAAAGGCACCTTGACTGCATGGTTCGCGTATCACCTGTGAAGGAAATAGAGGAATTGAAGCCTTTGATCGGAGAGGGGTAACAATTATTACCAATAAGAGACCGGGTGTGGAAAATGAGTGCAGCCTCAGAGTAGATACCGGGACGAGCTGATTTTCTTTGGTACCTTTAAATCTCAGTCTTCTCTCACAGCAATTTTCTTTCAATCATCGCTTCCCTACACCTCGGACGGCAGCGCCCGGTCCCCCGAACCTGCAATGAATTTAAAAAGGCCTTCAATCGCCGGGCCTGTCTCAATCTGCACTAGGGTCAGCTCTCTTAAATCCCAGTAGCTGACACCAAATCAATTACCCCGTAACCAGTGGGTAAGCAGAATGGGACGTCCACAAAGAACTCCAGAAACGAGGCCGAACATGAAGCCGCACCGGCCGCTGCTCAGCAGTTTGCCGGGTCTCTCTTCCACAGACTCTGTGCAAACAGTGCAGAATCAACTTTGCAAGGACAAGCCCTCATTCGCTTCACCTGCTCTCGGTCCTTTCAATGGTTTGTTGGTAATATTGATAGAAAACAAAGCAGGATAGTGGCAACGGACAAACAAAGGGCAAAAAGAGAAGAAAGTAAACCATGTACCCGGTACACTTGGTGTACAAGTAAACCATGTACCCGGTCACTCACTAGTGGGTTAGTAATTATGACAAAATATGTCCAAGGAAGAAAAGTGGTGCTCGGAGTTTAAGTTGAATCGACTGAAATATGTGAAAGATAGTCTGAAAATGTGTCTTTGGTGTTAAACAGCCCAGAGACAGTCATCCATAACCCTCATGAACCTGCCTTCCACACATATTTAGTGTTTTTAAAATCAGACATATAACACTACTGCTGCCAAAACAACCTCCTTATAGATGCACATTTCCTTCTAAATTAAATGAGAATGTGCATTTCCAGGAGGGCCCCACACAGATGGCAACAGAAGAAAAAAAAAGGGGGGGCTTCTGGGTGGGTGATAAGTAAAAAGAAGTTGCTTTGTTGAAACCATCAGCTGTCGACATGCTGGGAATACTTTGACAGTGTGGACAATCTCAAAAGGAATCTCTTGTCTTGACATATTTTACTTTAAATTGGAAAGGATTAGCCCAACGACAATTGTAATGGTCCCATATGCAGTACACAAATAAGGACTGCCAAGAGAGGACCTTGCAAGGGTTTTTTTTACAAGCTGAAATTAGTCTTTGATTTTATTATATACACTCCAGATAAAGCCGCATAAGGCCATGTTAAACATGGTCCATCATCCATAAATTCATTTGCTGCATATTCAATGTGCATAAAGCAATTTGCTTCCTTTTGCACATTTTTTGTAATGAATTAATATCAGTGATGACAAAATAAATTTTGTGACCCCAAAAAAATAAAATGTATTATTAAGAAGTGACACTGAAATATAGCCTGCGTGTAAACTGATGGTCTTAAGGGTGACCATGATAAAATAATATTATTCACCAGAATCAGTGACCTTATCAAAGTAATCAGACATCAGACATTAGCATTACGTAGGTTCCTGCTACTTGCTAATAGGCGGCATTGTTACAAGCTGATATCTGTTTGACATTTTGGTAAGGAAGAGTGCAGGAACCATTGGCGCTGAACTAGCCGTTGAGAGGAGGGGGACGGGAGGCAAATTAGTGGCATCCTGCAGATGGGGGGGGGTGAGCGCACCCGGCCTGATGAGAGCCTGTCACACTGACAGATGAGGTGGAGTGGAGCTGAAGGTCAGCTCCCGAACGCCCGATGAAATAACAACCGGGAGAGGAGCACAGGTTTACCCTCCTGACGTCTCTCTCACGCCACCGGTTACTCGGCCTCTAATGACAGAGGCAGGTGAGCATAAAGTGGCCGTTTTGGCAGAGCGAAAACCTGCTAGCCGGGTCCTGATTTTGTTTTTTATTTTTTGATGTGGGAGGAGAGGGATACGGGGATTTTTGTGCTGAAGCGGATTTTTCCAAAGCTTCTTTACTCATCTTAAAAGTTTACCGCAGAATTAAAGTGAAAAGGTCAGGTTGTGAGCCAATAGTGTTTAGAAAAATCTCTGGTTGATAATTATTCACACAAAAAACATAGATAACCAGTTTAAAGGCCTTTATTGTGAAAATGATCTTCCCTTTTGGGGAGTCAACTTGAGTAACAGTTTTTTTCCGCACAGCCTTATAGAGGAGCAGTGCAGTCCATTGCTACACTATCTTATAGAGTCACCAGACAGGTACATGGTGTCCAGCCGCTGCACACTACTCTGGCGGGGGGGGGCAAGGAGCAGATCTGGAATTATCAATTGCGCCTCTTCAGTCAAGAGAACATGCTGATTAAACACTTTTCGATCTCCAGGACAACATTAGTTTAATAATAAACCGCTTACCATTAATGTAAAATGACAATGCTATGCAGTGTTCAACTATCAATGCCAGATTATGTGGGTTGTTCAAGATTTTAACTAAAAAAACTAAAATCATTCTGGTTTTCTGTTCATACTGATGGGCATAATTACAGTGGCGTGTATACCTTTTCCTCATCACGCTTTTCAGACAGAACTGATCATCTAAACCCACAGACTTATGTGTAATTCTGTCAGCTCCTACCATGGCTGTGATTTGGCAGAAAAGGCACTGATGTAATAGCTCAGCCCTTCAGAGCCAGTGGTCATTCATCAACGTGACAATACTCTGGTGAACCCCAACACTTACGCCTAACCCCAACAATGGGTCGCCAAAACGCTGTGACGGCAAAATGGTTCAACAGAGAACACAAGTGTGACGCAGGTGCGCGCGAGTGGTAAAGAGCAGGTGGACAATCTATAATCACAGGCTTTTTATTGTATCCCTGTCTGACACGAGTGTTGCAAAAACTCACAATTACGGTTAACGTTTGATGTGGAAACACAGCTGTCTTCTATTACCAGAGGCGGACTTATCAATCTATGCTGCGTATCAGGAATACATGTAAAGTAAAACATCTGATATTCTATGCCAAGAAACAAGACAATGCCCTATAGTCACCAACTGCTTCAGGGGCTGCCTGCTGTATATTTTCCTCAAATGCATGATGCAAGACCAAGTGTGTATGTGCAGCTATACCACTACACTGAAAAAACACCATATATTAAACACAACAAATGTTGTTCAGGCCTCGACTTGCTGTGGACACATACGTAAACTAGAAAAGAACCCCCCCGCCCACAGTCTTCAGCCTCTTTCTCAAAAGATTAGAATGGAGTAGGAAATGTTTAAGGAAATCAACCGTAGTTCTTTTTTTTATCTATAATGTTTTTTTTTATACAAATAATCTTCAAGCCGATAACAACCAGATGTATCCATTGTCGACAAGAGGTTGCATTAAAATAAGTATCTGACTGTAGTGACTTAACTTTATGACTATGCTGCAGAGATAAATGTTAAACTGATCAATAATTACTCTGATTGAATTTTTGCAGTTTAGCGTGAATGCAATTTATTGCATTAAGCAGGGAGCTTTAGAACTTCTTTTAAAACCGAAAAGTTAAAGAGTTCCCTCCCTGGAGAAATATTTGCATTAACCCGAACTTAAAAGTGCTGCAGTTGGCACATATTTAAACTGATCATTTAACAAGGCGATCAAGCCTGCAATACTTTTTCTGCTGTCTCAGGAAGGTTTCCACACTTTAAAAAGAATCATAGCTCATCCATTAGATGAGCCCAGAAAAGATGATGATGTTACAAATGTTGTGTCCTGGACATGAGCTGGAGATTTGATAGGCTTGCTTTTAACAATGTATCCAGTTTAGGCTGCTGTCTAGAATCAACTAACAAGTATAACCCATTGAAATGAAACAATTATGAAGAAAAGAAAAAAAAGATTATTAATAAAATTCTTTAATGAAAAACATTTTTAGATAGAAACTTCCTAAATTCCCTGTGGAAAAATTATTTTTTACCAAGTTCCAGTCTCTCAGTTGGAAGAGTTTTCTAATTGTCTTTGTATTAACATTATGCAATTATATAAATCAGACAATAAAAGCAATTCATACACCATAAAAGCAATGATGAAATTGAGAAAATAACCGTCAGACAAACTGATAATTAACAAAATAGTTACATGCAGCAATGTAATGCATTTAGTTTGAATTATATTAAAATGTAATTAACATAAGATATTTCACATTTGATCATTTCCTTTTTTTGTAAAAGGCTGACCGTATCATTAATACAAAAAATATATATATATTTTGCATCACTACTGCCATCAACTCATTAGTATTAGGATTTAACAAAGACTACAATATCAAAAGAAAAATCAACGGCACCGAACATTCATAACAACACCAGCTGAAGGCATCAGTAAGTCAGTCAGTTTAACTCTTAATCAAGCTGTAAAATCGTTCGCCATGACAACAAAAGCATCAACAACAACAACAACAACAAAGGGAGAGATGCTGGTTAATACAGCGTAACGTTGGGATCACAGGCTAACGCAACCCGGATCGGCTGTTTCTGCTAGCTTTCCCCAAAGCTATGCAAAAAACAGAAATGACTCACATCAGCGCTGACACGGGGCGGAAATCTGAGGCAACTTACCTTGGGCTTGTACAGCCACTTCCGAAAGCGGTTCATCGTCACCTCGCCACCTTCCTTTGTCACGGAGCCTCCCGTCCTGTACCTGTGTGTCTGACAGTGTCGGTGGCTGGTTGCTAAGCTAGCTCGCACCGGCGGTTCCCAAATGCGAGAAAATACCACGTAAAAAAAACGATATACGGCAAGTTGCCCCGAATGTTAGAACGCGGCTCCGAAGGCGCGCAAAGTAGACAACGGAGTTATTTCCATCTTCGCTGAATGCCGAGGTGCTCCGCCAGCTTTCCCTCTCCCGTCCGGCCACTTTCCAAGTCCCAACGGTTCAGACGAGCGAAGCAGCGGCGGCTCTGCTGTTCTCTTCCCCCCTTTTAACGCTACTGGATGACAGTCACGATGACAACATCCACCTCCCACTTTCCCAGGGTATGATGCCTTCATGTGCTGCTCGTAAATGCGGACACGGCTCGATCCTCGATCAACCATTCGATTTTTGAGTATACATTAAATGTACATTAGTGACCATAGTGTCCAAAATATGAGGATTTTGTTTTAACGCCCGCAAAAAATAGATTATGGTAGGAATCTAAAAGCCTAGTTTTGCATGTGATTTTTTTAGAAACTCAGCTTCCCCCCGCTAACCCCTCAAACTTTGATGTGAAGTTAGTCACTTTCCCCTTCAATTTGTATCTGTATAAACACACACACACACACACACACACACACACACACACACACACACACACACACACACACACACACACACACACACTTTGATATGTGTGTAATTATCAGCAGGCGTTTCCTCTTGCCTCTATGAATGCATCTCGTTTATGTGGTTATTCCAACATTTCCAATAGTACGCTAAGGCAGCGCCTGGCTCGCCGAAACGTCACAATATGCTACGTCATGTTGTTATGGCAGCCAACAAAGGATCCGACCGTCACACTGATAATCTGCATGTTTGATTAAAACATTGAACGATTTCAAATGTTAAACAAAACGTAAAATTAAAAATTAAAAAATAAAATGTATAATGCCCGGCTCAGAAGCTTGGATACATTTCTGTTTACGATAGTGTGTTGCTAAGCAACGACTGAACATGACAACAGTTCAGGCTGAAAAGCAAGCTTCTGCGTTGGACTTTCTATTTATCTTTTAATAGCAGCCTATTTTTTCCGTCTCAGTGAACGATAGAAGTCTAATGTTGCTTTTTATACGTTCTGTATGCCAACGTGGGAATTGAAGACGGATAGGCCTACCTCATGTCTTCAGGCTTTTCTGCTAGCAAAGACCTTTCACCACAGTTATCAATCTCCACTAACTGCAGATCGATACGAAATGGCATCAGGCTATGGATCACTTGCCAGAGAGGCCATTGTGCTGCTCGATAGGTTCAGCGCTGGCAGGCAGTGTTTGGATGACTTCATGGAAGATGCTTCAAAGGATCTGCAGGTAAATAGACTCTGATTAATGCCCCGGTGCTTGTGCTGACACACAAATGTGTCATTTATTTGGGTATGTGTCACAGATAATGGATGCTATGCATAAGAAGTTCATACTTGATGTCGTTTCCGGATGCATTGAGAACCAAAAGTTACTGGACGTAGTCATCGATGTCTTCTATGGCCAGAACTGGAAATGCGTATCCAGAGGAGACCGCAGCCAATTTGTCAGTAAGTCAAATAACTAAACAGATCTAATCCAAATTTGAATCTGAATTTAAACATGATTTCCACTGACACACATTGATATAGTTACTATCCCGTTCTTCAGTTATCTGTTACCTCGCCACATTTTCTTTGGATGACCTTGGACTTCAGCGTTTTAGCATCATTATCAGATCTCTGGACATCAAGAAGATGCACACAGTTAAGAAATTCTACAAAAAATAGTTTGGTGTCATTGGAAATATCCAGCAATCAAAAGCTCCATTGTTGTACCCCTGTTTAAATGTGTATTGTGTTTGGCTGTAGTTCCTGACTTTCTTCTTCACAAATCTCACAACGTGGATACAAGATGAGTGGAATACTATCTACGATGCTGCCCACGTGGAGAAACACTTGATTTCCCCTTTACAAAGGTAAGAAAATAACAGGAAAATATGTTTTAGGAAACCAATATTTTAAAAAATGCAAAGAGTGAATGCATATTATTATCCAATAGATGGCGCCCTGAGATTGATATTCTCATGGACCAGTTTGCTGTCAAAATATCTCTCGGGAATCAGGTCAAGAAATCCCCAAGCAAAACCACTAAACCTCAGGAGTTCTCCTTCACCAAGTTCCCGCACACCAGACCTCGGCCGCTGCCTCTACCTGAGCTCATTCCACTGCAGGAAAAATCAAAACCAGTCAGCCTCATCTACAGTTATATACAATATTTTCTTTGGACATTGCCACACAGTTAACTTTTGTGTGTGCTGTTAATCTACTGTTCTTAAGCTGTATTTGTGGGTGGATGATGCAATGGACTCAAAAGGCTTTCGCTTCATAGGTTCCAAAAAGTACATACAAGTCCCCGAAAGAGATGCAGATGATGGAGGAGATCAAACAAAAGAACCACCAAAAGACTGAGGTACAATACATGCTTTCAGTGATACCATCGGTATGACACCTTATTGGAAAAATATTGTGCATCATATCAACATTATAAGAAACATTGTTTGACTGGAAGACAACATATGCAACAATTAAACAAAACAGCCACAAATATAACCACATAACATTTAGTGCCCAGAAAAAGCTTTTTTTAAGTTTACATTCAGTTAATGTGGCATATATGATTACTGTCATTTTATTATGATCAACACGTATTCTTTCTGTGCCTCTCTAATGATATTCTCTTGGTTTTTCACTAAAGGAACTTCTCTGTCAAGCAAACACGAAACAGTTCAGATGTGTGAACCCACATAAATCTGAAACCACCAAGGTAGAGGCTGTGTGGGTTTTCCAAGTAATATTATTAAATCACGTCCAAGCTTACTTATATCATGATGGAAGGAGAAACAGTTACAGCTGAGTGAGTCAGAAGATATTTCAAAGTGAGTTCACATTCCTGAGGAACCATCATTTGTCTTGCAGAGCGTGTTGGCTCAGATTAACGAGGACTTGGATTCCAAACTCAAGTTTAATTCATTTCAGTCCTCTGGACTACCCTCCAGTAATAAGGTGAGATCTTGTTATTTTACCTGCTCCAGTGGATCTCTGTGATGGATATCAACTGATGTGGCCGTAATATCCACTGGCATGTGTTTATTGCTCTGATTCCGTTAGAATAACATGTGGCCCATCAAGCTCAACAATGCAGCCATCTTGAGGCAGGGGGCGCTATATGAGCGTGAGGTGGACGAGGAACTGCAAAGGTACAAAGCTTACTTGCTAATGCAATTGGAATCTGCGCAACATTTAAATGACTGCGTGGAAATATTTATGTACATTATTCAAATAATCCCAGGTCTATTCTGCCAGGCGGATCTTGATCTCCTCAAATACAAAAAAAGTGATATTATTTGGGACTTGCGTCTGTGACACAGAATGGAGCGTCTGGTGGAGGGGGCACGGGAGCCCTCATCTTTCCTCCAGTGGCAGAAGGAGATGCGTGACAAGGACCTTCTGGAGGAGCTGGCCAGTATTGAGCGTAGACGCCTGGAGGGACGCATCAGTTACGAGGAAGCAGCTATGGCCCGCACACGCCTAATAGAGCGCAACCAGAAGACTGCTCAGCTGAAGAAAGAAGAGGTGGGTGAAGACCACTCGACAGCTAACGAGAAGCAGCACAGACGATTACACGTCACTTTAAAGTGTGTAACGAGATGCGTCACGTTGAAAATCGGTTGCCTGTCCTCGACTAACACCCTTTAAACAAGTCATTCAAAAGGGATTTGCTGTCATGCATGATACAAAGTGTTTGGTTTTCTGTTAGACAGCTCAGCTGATGAGGAGATATGCAGAGAAAAGGCTGCAGGAGGAAAAAGGACTGAGAGACTTGGTGCAACAAGTGGCAGAGGGACACAAGAACTCAAAGGCGGCTAGAGAGAAGTTACAGAAATTCAAGCAGAGCATAGGTAGGCCCACCGCCTCAGTGATATCAAACCTCACAGTTTCCTTTTCCTTCTCATCAATCTCACGCAATTTCCACAGTGAAAGAAGTGGCGGAGCAAAGACGAGAGCTCCTTCGTCATGCGCTGGAAGAAGCACAAGCAGAGCTCAGCCGAAAGTTTGAAGTGATCCGAGAAATCCACGCCATAGAATCTCTCCCTCATTTGAGGGTCAGGAATTTTGACTACGCAGAGGTGAGTGACGGAAAGGCCGGTCGCCATTCAGCATGTGAAGATCAAGGTTCATGTGCTTCTTCGAATTTGTCGTCGTCGAATTGTGTCAGTCTGCGGGCCACGAGCTGCTGGGAGAGATGTCCCTGGTGGAGCTGAAGGAGCGCCTGGCCCTCCTGAAGGAGGCGCAGCAAACAGAGGAGCATGAGAAACGTGAGCTCATCCTGGAGGAGAAGCAGAACAAGAAGCAACTGCTGCTGGAGAAGCTGGACCACATCAACGTGCACACCAGAGCGTTGGCGCAGGCGTCCGCCAGTAGGTCAGAAATGTGTTTGGCTCCAACTTGATTATGGTTAGGAGGGAAACATATAGGGGTTGAAAAATGATACATAATACCCACGATGGTTTTGGCGTGTTGCAGGAAAGAGGAGAGAAAAGCCAGGCTGGCTGTTCGCCAGGCGATGAGACAGGATGAGAGCGTTTTGGCTCTGCAGAAGAAGCTTGAAGAGAAACAACTAGAGCGCCAAAGACTGAAGCAAAGTGAGAGCCTAAAGAAGAAGGCCTAAAACCTCTGAACAGGCAGCAGCACGCACACACACACACACACACACACACACACACACACACACACACGCCAAAGTGAGTACGGAATCCAAAATAAAGAGGAAGTGACTTTTATTCGGTGAGCAATATCGGATTGTGTGAGTCATTTTTCTTGCTTGGAGCAATGGATAAAAAAAGTCTCTCTCTTTCTTTTACTGCAAGTGAAGCCTGAGAGAAAAGCCGGGGGGGGAATTGGAGATGAGCTCAGAGCGTCACCTCCAGAAGGATGCTCCTTATGTTGTTCCTCAGGCAGAAACACTCTAGACATAAATATGCACAACGTGTTTCTGTGAATGTTTCATTATAAATCAGAGTAATCATTACTTCATCATATTTGTCACGTGGGAAGAGAATCTTTTCACCCTTTTTCATGTTATGTTAGACATTGTGTATTGAAATAGCAGTCTAACTGTTTGAGTGCAACATGATTTACTTAAACGATAATTATTATGTATTGTGTGTGTATTTGTTGTGAGTGATTATCCTGCGTTGACTTGTGATTTGTATTTGCTAAATTGCGTTTTTGGGTACTATTCCCATATGTCAGAAATGTCTCCTCAAAGTACTTTTACACCCACCTGTGTATGCGGCTCAAAAAGGGGAAGTGGACCTTCAACAACGTATTTATCACTCATGATCAACACTATTCAACAATGCCCTTGAAAGCAGAACTAAAGCGAGAACAGCACATCTGACAGCACACTTTTTTTTTGACACAATCTTACAAATGCACACATTATACATGTATTTGTCTTTTTAAAAATGAATATAAGCCTACATACAGCTCACTTACATTAGGACTATTGAAATGGAGGGGAAAGGATTTATTCATAATAATAAAATCTTGCTTCTTAATATCTACATCCACACAAAGGGGCTCTGTCGCCCCTGCTGGCTTTTCCGTGTAACAACAAACAGCGGTTGGGGAGGTCCGGCCCATTTCACTTGGTTTTTCCCCCTGTTAGGCAAAATCACATGATGTGGATTTTGCCGTATGACACTAATACGAGCAGCGATCCCTCGGCGAGCGTCCCCGTCGTCCTCCGTGAACACAGAGGCAGCTCGGGCACTTTGTCCGGGATGAGATGCTGTAGCCTGACATTGTTCGGCGGTAGTGATCGGTAATACCTGGAGGATGGGCCGCCGGGGGGTTCTGCCTGCAGTATGCGCCGCTTGTTTCATGGGTAAGTTAGTGCTGTTACACTGCAGCGCCACGGGAAAGGCACTGTGGGCGCATTATAGAGAGATTATCGAGGTGTAATGAACACCACATTGTTGTTTAGCAACCCCATGAAACGGGATAGTAACTCATTATTATTTGGAATTTGGAAACATTTGTGGTTAAAATTAAACTTATTTTCTGCCGAAAAATGGGTGAATGTACTATTTTACTGTGTTTTAATGATGAAAATATTTTTTGGTTAAATTATAGTATCTTACTCTATTACTATAAACTCTCTACACTACTTTTCCAACTGATCGGGCCAATCTTTGAGGATTACAGCATTTCTTCATGCCGGTTAAAAAGAAGTATGTGTCCACAAGTTTAAAGTAAGAAATGTTGCCAAACCAAAAAGCCAGAGAAATCACATGACCTGAATAATTGCATTTCACGAGGATGAGGACTTGTATTCAAGACAACACTTAACCACATGGCTAATGTGATTACAGCACAATATGGGATCTGTTTTGCTGATGGGCTTATTTATGCCTGTGGAATGGTGTTCTTAAGATTTTGTTGCATGATTAAAAATATCACAATGACAGATGTTTCGTTCTAGATGAAGAAACCCGTCTGCAACACACGTTTTTCATTTCCTGGCGATGTTAAGGATCAGTGTTTAGGGTCTGTTTGAGAAGGACAGAGACAAATCCAAAGTGAATCTACCAAGATCAGCTATTTAGCATGTATAATGATAACATTTGACTTTGGTTATGTGTATTTGTGTGTGTAAGAAACAACGAAAAAGAGACTGTGAACCAGCAGAGCAGGCAGAGACTAGAGTGGATTTTTCATATCTTATCTTCCATAGAGGAATGAATCAAAATGATGAGAGAGATCGGGAGCATCAAGCAACAAAAGTTCCCATGCTGGAGTCAAACCAGGGAAATTCCAGTACATGATCGTGATCTTGCACCCTACAATAACTAATAAATAAATAAACATTTTTAATTTATTTAGTAGTTTGCGTCGCAGCGCTGTATCAGCCTACACCCAGTGTGCTTCTCCCCCAGGCATGGTGTTGAGCCAGACCACACTCACCCCCGCCGTGATGAACACCACACTCATCCAGAATGTGACCAGTCTGACTGTCACCCCCGTGATTCTCAGCAGCACCACCCCGGGCTGCTTTGAATACAACATTTCCACTTGTGAGCCGTGTGCACCGGGATCTCAGTACGACAACAGTGAGTCAACGGCTGCGATATCCGACGTGAAGCCACCGTGTAGCAAGTAGAGTGAAGGATAAGACATGTTGTGCCTCCACAGACACCCTGCTGTGTACGTGCTGCTCTGACCCCGGGCTGTGTCTATTTCCTGGAGCCTGTCTACCATGCACCACAGGTTTCTATCAGCCGCTAGCAGGACAGCAGCAGTGTCTCCCCTGTAACCGGGGCTTCTACACAAAGTAAGGACACATATTGTGCTAACAGATTATTTTGCTTCGGACGTTGTTGGTACTCTACTGTACACCTGACTGGTCAAGTTCATTGTGTATTTAACTCTACTTTAACCTCCTGCACAGTTTCACCGGAAGCCCTTTGTGTCACCCCTGCCCTCTTGGGTCCTTCAACAATAACACCGGCAGAGACAGTTGCTCCACTTGTTCACCAGGTGGGATGACAAAGTCATTGTACTGTTATAAATTAGCAACGTGATGCATTTAGACTAAAAGCTGAATGCTCACAGACAAACACATGATAAATGTCTTTATCGGATCACCTTTACATGCTTGTGAATGAATAGATTATTTAGATGTAAAGATGTATGATTTCTAATTTAACTGCGATGATCTCATCATAGCTTTATGTTATCTGACACCAATCACGTGTTGAGTTATTTTCTGTCCACCGCTTCCAGGTTACTTTTCAGCGCAGCAGAGCTCCACCTCATGTGCGCCGTGTGCACTGGGAAGTTTTTGCAAGTAAGTGGCAGTTGTCACCGGGTTACTGGTCTTTTGTTGTCAGTAACTAGGACCGAGGAATCAGTGTGGAACATTCATAACTCACTCTAACAACATCACAAGATTTACTCCCATGGTTCTGTTTGGCAACATAGACTCACACAGAAACACAGACACACACACACAAGAGCAGTTACACAGTCGCTGCTTTGATTAATCAGCAGAATAAATATAAGAAGAATAGAACTATATTTAAAAGGGATGGTACAATGATCATTAACCATCTGCATCCATAGTAACTGGTGTTTACTTCATTCAAAGCTTATCACCGTAAAGATCCATTGGCGGGCCAAGAACACCGCCTTTCAGCTCAGCTCCCGACTGTGTCAAATTTAATATTAAGCTTCATTAAATGTTAAAACCATTGTAAAAATTAAAAAATATATTTTTTGATGATTTCATCTTGATTAAGCAGTAAATTATGGACTCTCTCTCTCTGTTTGACAGCTCCGTTGGTTGTAGCCAGTGCCAGATGTGTCCTGGAGGAACAGAAGCTCTGCAGCCTGCAGCTGAAGACTGCACACCATGTCGACCGGGTAACGTAAAGGCACAGGGTCCTCTCAACTTATGTTCACTGCAGCTCGTAACAGAAAAAGGGGTGTAAAAAGTATAAATAACCATCTAGGTGATATCTGGTTTTAAACAGGCATGCACAAGGCTCCCCATCAGACCATGTGTCAGATCTGCGCGAGTGGCTTCTTCCAGATCCACTGGGGCCAGGACAGCTGTGATGTATGCCCAGAGAATCACTACTGCCCTGTGAGTAATCTCCACACTCTGCCCAACAACACTAGAAAGAACCTGTGTGCGTCGGAAGAAGTTCCCGCTTATGTTCGGTGACCGAGCATGTTGTTGTCTCAGAGTCCAGACGTGAACCCCATCAAGTGTCCCAGCGACGCGTTCTGTCCGGCGGGCAGCTTGTCTCCAGGTTACTGCATGGAGACTTTCTTCCGCAAAGAAGGGGAAACCTGTGAACTGGCCCCTGTCACCATCGCTCTTTTAGTTATTGGAGGAGGGGGTAAGTAACAGCTAACCACTTTTCCCGATATTCCTGAGATTCTTTCTAAATGCTTCTCCGCTTGACACCATGTAAGAGGCGTTAGATTACAATGATGCTTTTCAAATGGTTTGCTTTTATTGACTAATGTTTAAATAATCCTATTACACACAAAACAATTTCTTAAGTAGCTTGTGTGTGTCATCGTAATGGTTCACGGCTCCTTTACTCATGCCTACTTTCTCTAATTTACTGGGCTTATTGTTCAAATGTTATGAGTAAAGAAGAAACAAACTAAATATAAAGTGGAACTTTGGAAAATTGCTTTGGGACTTTCCACTCTTGAGTCAGCAATTGATTAAATAGGATCATAAAATCAGATTACTCTTCTGTGAGGACTGAATAGTTTTCTTCCAACTATAAAAGTGTAGACTAATCAAGTTAATTCTAACCTTAGTCTCCTCCGCATATATTAATCATGAAATACAAAAAAAAGTGATTACTGTAAAACAGTTTAATTGGAAAACGGTTTATCCAAACACTGTCACACAAACAGTAAAACATTTGCACACTGTAAACTGATGTTTCCCCCTCTTACAATGAGACCACTTCATGCACAAAGGACATCATTAAATGAAATAAGAATCACGCTGACATATCAGTGCTCTCTTTGTGTGTAATAAGGTTTTTCATCTCTGTTTCCTCAGTGGCCCTGCTCTTCATCATTTTAATGGTCCTACGTAGACGGAAAGACACAGACGGAGAGCTGTCTGTAGCCCGAGCTCCGCTACTACGCAAAGAGCGACCTCAGGGTCGGTACTACGGGATGCCCTGTGATGCAGAACCTGTATATGCCGGCTGGTGAACCAAAGGAACGCGTCCTAGCTTTCCCAAAACCGTGTTAAATCCTATCTTCATGTCGGTCCCAACTGAAAACAAAAGGACTGATGCTTTGACGGTACTTTGAAAAGCCATCATCTTTTTTAAGTTTGAATATATTATTGAGAAACAAAAGTTTTTGTGAGTTCTTGTAGCTTGACACTGTTACAGTTGTCCCAGTCAGATACAAACACACTCCATCCGTAAACTATGTTATTAGATTGTGAGAGATATGCTGGAACGGTGAAAACGAGACGCATGCCTTGACTTGGTGGGAACCTCTCTCTCTTATGAATAGCACTTTTTAAAAAAGAGATAACTGATTTACTTTGCACTTAAGTAACGGTAGACTTGTGGATGCCTCCATTAACTTGTGTAGTTCCGCAGTTACAGAGAGGTCCTCATAATATATGGTTGGTACCTTGGTTTTAAATGCATTTAATAGCACATTATGCTGTGTGTTGATTAATTGATACCTTTGCTTAATGTTTTTGGTTATTTGTTTTTTAAGATTATAGTTGTATGTTTATATGATGTAAGAAAATAAATTTCAATTGTGGCTTAAGCTGAATTACACACTTTTCTGTGCTCATTTGAAGAACAACAAAGCTTGTATCATTTCTTTATTGTTTTTTTTGCCCTTCTTTTTTGTAACACCAGCAGACGTTTTGACAAGACATAGAAGGATATGACTGATTAGATATTCAATAACATTAATGTTTCCATACAATTTCCAATTACGGGGCAGTTTAACTCTAATGTCAAAGGGGATAGGAGCAAAATATTTATTCAGTTGATACTGCACGGTTTACCAGATAGAGACATTTCTCAGCCTTCTCTCTGTGGTTTGGTCTCACAGCACTAAACAATTATTTCCACATCCAACAGGAGACAGTGACTAATGGCACATCTCTGGATCAGCTAAACATGTTTACAGAGTGTGACGACCGTTAAGTAGAAAGAGAGAGAGAGTGCAGCTTTACAACATGTTGGAAAGTTTATTATATGCCTTCTACAACACATATCACATATAGGCTCACACTTTAATAATATAAAAGTTCAGTGGGAAACAAACGTACTTGGGTCAAAAGTCTGATTATTTCCTCTTAACTAGGCTGATTAGAATTATACAATAGCAATAAACAAGGAATCGAAATCTTCATTTACCTATAATACATTTTCGGAAGCCCGGCTACAAATCAGGCCTCTAACAATTCCTAGGTGGCGTTAATGTGTCGTTACCGTTGAATGCGATACAGTTGAAATGTGTCCAAACGGGGCTCCGTACTTACGTCAGCTGTCAGGAAAGAAAGATGGCGGCCGCCTTGGCAAGAAGGGTGTCTGGTGTGTATCTACAATTTGACAATCATACACACTCTTTTCACTCTCCTCAGTCCGTAAATATTTAGTAATTACGTCCGTCTTCTGATTTTGATAAATTATGTAGTTTGAAAGCAAAGATTACAGAAGGTTGCCGCAACTAGCATCAGTGCTAGCTAGAATTTCCACGTCTCGTCTCATGTGTTTTCGTGTTGTCCTTGTGCCGGACAGGGCTGCTGAGGCCGCTGTCGGTCTCCCTGTGCTCCAAGGCACCACGTCTCTGTAAGCTCTCCAGCCTCATTCAGCCCGTCTGCAGCTCTGCCGCAGCCCTCGCTCCTCTGCGGGCCGCAGCCTCTCCGACACCCCGGTACAACATCCTACAACGGTAAAGGGCACGGAAGTATACCTGAGAATGATGCATTACGCCAAACCACCTCATTGTAACATGCGATGTCTATTGAAACAAATGTTGTTGTTTTTTGAGCGGGGGGCTTTGCTCTATTTATGGGGAATCTCAATGCTATCATATTTTCTTTATGTTGTTATGTTATGTTTTCGTGGCAACAGAATGAGTGTTAAAATTACATTCTGTGGATGTGCAAAAAAAGGTAATGCCTCCAAGTACAGCTGTACAATCAAAATGACATGACATTTGTATCTGGACTGAGCAAAAAATGGACCAAAATGCAACAAACTTAGTGTTCAGTTATGATGACTTGTCCTGTAATTTCAGTGAATTGAACCTTTCTTTCATGAACAATTCTTCTGATTTATCTCTCTGCAGGTTATTGCCACTCATCCCAGGTCTGACTCAACAACCAAGCAGAAGTCTAACCTATTTCAGTCTGAAGAAGGGGAAGAGGAAGACCGTCAAATCCGTGACAGACCGCTTCATGAGGCTGCATTGTGACCTGTGGATCCGACGCAAGGTATGTGTCATTAACTGTGAACTGCCAAATCCTTTTCTTTCACCTGACAAGTGCTTTCTATTTATTTATTTTCATAACTCTAAAGTGTATAAAATGCCATGGGTAGATAAAGATAGATAATGGGATAAAGAACATTCTGTAGGTGATTTTGAAGCACACGGATAGAATCCCTCAAATTTAAATGACATTAAGAGAGAACCTATTTTTGAGAAGACATTGATTTACATTTTCCTATGGTGGTAGATTCTTGGTAGGTTTTGGGGGTTAAACATGACATATTTTGGTAAGATTACAGTTAATAACTTTTCCAATCTGTCCAGGCTGGATACAAGAAGAAGCTGTGGAAGAAGAGTCCTCCCCGACGTAAGCGTCTGAGGGAGCACGTATTCTGCAACAAAACACAGAGCAAGCTTTTGGATAAAATGACCACCTCTTTTTGGAAAAGGAGGAACTGGTTTGTCAACGATCCATACCTGAAATACCACAATAGGGTCAACCTCAAACTGTAATTTGCTTATTTATGTAAGTGAAGTTTTGTGTTGAAACGTAATGAGGCATATGTAATAAAATCATATCTTGATTTTTCCTTTACTTTTGAATGCTTTTAAGAGAACACAAAAAAGATCAACACACTCAGTTTGCTTCATATTTAATGGCTCGATTTAAACATAAACCCAGTTAGAACAATGGTGAGAAACAAATAGACTATCGTGTCACAACTTTGTTATTTATTTCACAATCAGGTTGAAATTTAAGCCATTTGATATTCTGGCCTGCCAGAAAGAAATGTTTGGGTAATTTAAGAGCGACCTCCTCGTGAATAAAGTCTAAGGGGCTAGTTCATCAGTAAATAAGACTATAGGTATAGTCAACATGTGTATAGTCATTACATCTCATATTCTTTCTTCAAAGCAACCAAAAATGCTAAATTCTTCACCAGAAAGGCCTCTTAAGAAAAAAACATTTTTTCATACAAATTAATATCAAACGTCATGCAGTGTTGACTTTTAGTCTACGCACAAGTATACATATCTGCTACTTTGCAACATGTTTTTTTAAATTTTCTTTCACTTTGCATGAATTTTAGTAAAAGGAAACCCGCACTAACACTACTCACGTTGAAACACAATCTGACCTTTCCTTAAGGTTTTTACCATTAAAAGGACATTTTATGTGCATAACAAGTGTATCTACAACATCAGAGTCAATGATGTGTAAACAGCAGTTGTACCTGAGAAGCTTTTGTTTAAAACTTCAAATAACCCATATAAACACAGATACCGTGATGGCAATGATAATTCTGTCCAACACAGTGATACTTTTTGTAAATTGGTTCTATGATTGAGGCTCAGTGAATTAAGAATATAATAAAAACAGTCTAACGCTATGCAATATTAACCTCCATGGAAGTTTGGGAACCTGCAATGAAATAAAGTAAAGCCTTAAAAATAAGTAGATTGTTGGGTTGAGTGTTCCTTAACAGCAGAACACTATACAGTGGTTTTAAACATGAAGAAGAAAACATGTTAATATACAAGAAATAAAAACTCAGGTTATATCCTTTTCCTCTGCAGACTCAACGGAACTCTTTAGTAATTGGCCATAATTTGTCAATTAAATGACAAAATGTGTTAAACAGAAAAGTGGATTGTCCATACGATCTGCTTCACAAAGGAAACCTGCAGTCATGACTTAATAGCAAATGCTATTACTCGTTATAGAGTAGTTATTTCTTGAACACAGAAAGTAAGAAACAAGCAATAATAATATAATTATTTGTAATAATATTTTGCTACTGTTTTACTTTTAAAGTTGTGTCAGTGTCTTAAGGAAATAACTTCATATTCTATTCATAGTGCAACATGATTGTTTAATGTGAACATAATTGTTATAGAAATACTTATATCATGATTTGAGACATTTTGTATTTTGATGTCTTTCTTTAATAGAGGTAAATAACAGAATATTATCTGACGCTGCTGTCTGACTTTTCTTTATTAAAAAGTTAGGTTGTCTCATCTTGGAATAGTTTTTTGGGTGATTCCTTCATGTGATAAAATAATAAGTGCAGAATTCAGCTGCTCACAGGGGTTTCTTGATATTGAATGGGGTAAAAACAGCCTTTTCTTTTGATCCTTGGCTTTTAACACATTCTTTAAGAGTGACCCCGTCACTCTCAATGCCTGCTTATTTATTCAGCAACAGTACATTCTGTTAAGTAAACAGCGTACTAAATTGGGAAGACACACATGCAATTGTCTACCCAAACCTGACATATAAAATGAATCAAATCAGAAAGATGAAGTACACAAAAACTGTACATAAATACATATTCAATAACCCTAAAACTCAAAATGTCTATCAGCGTAGAACCCATTCATTCGTACTATGTCAATGTCACAAATGTCATTGTTTTTGAATCATGAGCCATACACGATAGAGGGGTTATCATAGGTCACTTTGGTAATACCTTATTCCAAAGCAAGGCTGCTTTAGTCATGTCGCTTTTGGCCATTTTGTATTTTTACTTCTTGCAGCAAAGGCAGCTGGAGTCGTCTTTAGGACAGTTTCACACGGCTTCATTGTTCGTAGAACGAGCACTTCTGGATCTTGTGAGAGGCCTTGAGACTCTAAGAGGAGGCTGAAGGAAAGCATACAAGCAAAAGGTTACCAACAGAGTTATAATGAGTTGCACAATATTTAAAGCATGCCCACATTATATTGGATTTTTCCTTTTGTCAACAAATCCAGAGGTAACCAAAACTAATGCGTTAGTTTGTCTCTAGAGACTTTCTTTCCTCCACAGTCCGTCTGTAAATGAATTGTCTCAGGTCACATTTGTTTTAACACATCTTTTTCTTTTTTAAGTAACACATACACAACGTGAGCCTATGGCACAGTGAAATAGGTTCTATCAGTCTTCAGCTAGATAAACAATCCCTATTTATTGGATCAATTTCTTTCTTTCTTTTTTCTTTGTGGGATTTGCTGAGTATAAATATACTTCTTTCAGCATCACCGTGTCAAAGAGACTGATATTAGATGCTGACATTTGTGAATGAATAAATCCAGGGACTGATTATGCAGAATCATTTCCATAAATGTCAAGGCTGAAATACACTGCAAGGCAATCCACGTCAACGTGTCGACCATTTCCAAACAAGTGAGCAATTGCAATCATGCAAGCAAAGGAACACACATTCATTGGAACTAAACCACTATTCCACTAAGATCTCAACGCATCCAACTCTCCACTATTCCAGAAGTACTGAACCATGATGAATTATTCAAATAAACAGCAGCAGAAATTAGTGAATCAATGAGAAAATCTGCACTCTGAAAGGCCCGTTAGAAGCAGCTGAGCAGCCAACAGTGATGAGGCAGAATACCTCAGGAGCCTTCTTCTTAAACAGCCTGAGCTGTGGCGAGCCTGATGCTACCTGCACCTCTTTCCCCACCTCCTCAGGCTGCTCCGGAGCCAGAGGAGAGGCAGGTGGAGAGGGTGTGGAAGGTGGGGAGGACTGCGGTGTCAGCGAGGGAATTACAGGGGATTCAGACTCAGAAGGTAAAAATGTCTGGGACAGCGGGCACTTGGAGTCCCACTCTTCCAAACCCAACATCTCATACTCAGTCATGTCAAAATCCTGTCCTGTATCGTGAACAAAACGTTGATGGAAGGGATGAATAACACGTCTCTTGTCTATTTAATTCAAAGAAAAAACACTTAGTATAACTGCAATAGAATGGCACGTTTGGTCAAGGCGTTTGTGAAAGTTCATATCATGTTGCACTCTGCAAACCGCAGAGCTGAGGCCAAATAGGAAGTCAAGATTAGCCGGGGCCTATTTGTTGCAGCACAAACAAGCCCAATAAGCCTGTTGTCTTATAAGCATGTGCAGACTTATGTGCACTCAGGCAAACTTTTACATTATGTAACACAATGACAGCAGAAGGTTAAAGGAAATATTGTTTAAAAGAAGTTCAAAAATTGCACAAATGTTGTAAGGAATAAAATAATAGTTTATGTTTTCCTATAGTGCAAAAATCTCTTGAAAAGACCGAAGACTGATGAATAAAATGATCCTTATAGTTTATATTCTAATAGTTGTCCAAAAACTATAAAAATGGCCAATGTAGTTTATTTTGAGTCACTTACGCAACGCTGCTGCCATAAATACTGACTATTACCAAAACAGCTGCTGAATAAATTCCCTGTTCAGGCAATGACTCCTAAAAACTACAATTGTTAGGAAATAACCAACTATTTAAAAATAAAATGAATTTTATTACCTGTTTTTGATCTAAATGTTCAGTGGGAGCCAATGGGTTTGAGAGATAAACAAAAATGTGGCTTGGTCATGGGATTAATAATAAAGAATGAAGAATAGCACCGTAAATTAGTGGTTACACATGGTGGTTTATGCTAAAAATAGATTGTCCACAGGAGACAGGAAGCACATAGGAAGTGCATGTGCAGAAGGGGGAAAGCATCCCTCCATTCTAGCATCAACCATCTATAACTGCATCTAGGCAAAAAAAAAAAAAAAATTCCTCATTTGTTAAAAAGAAAAAGAAAATTGGGTTTTAACTATGCTAATATTTCAGTTCACTGCAAGCAGTCTTTTCTTAATATAACGCCTACATTTAACAAAGCAATAATTATCAGATGAAAAACAAACAAACAACTGTTTCCAGGAACAAGTCCCCCCAGCTCCATGTGAGTGGTATCACAGGCAGGCCAGTGAGGCCGGACCGGCTCCAAACAGGAAGGCAGGTCTAAAGTCGGGGGCCACTCAGGAAAGTAGAGGTCCTGATATCTGCCAGCTTGATCGCGCCCGAACAGGAAGACAAACCAGCCCCCGCTATCATCATATTCTCAACACCACAACGCCCCTATAATACTGGCTGGTGCTGCGCTGGCCGCAGTGACGTCTGCTCACCCTTGTTGCAGCTCTCCGACTTGCTGCGCATCATAGACCTGGTCCTCTGCGGTGCTGCAGCGGGCTGCGTGGGGCCGGCGCCGGTGTTCACAGGGTCCGACTGATAGGCGGACAGATCCTGCATGCTGAAGCTCCTCAGTCGATCCGACAGGACCCCTTGGCTCTAGAACAGGTTACACCAGATGCTTGTGTTTAGCAGCCACGAGGGACAGTTACAGCAGAGATCACCTTTAAACCGACTGACTAAAAAAGTAATAGAATCCCAATTTGTTTTGTGAACAGCAAACGGCACGACAGGCTTGTTACCCATATATGACGTGACCTTCTTTACCCCCCCCAGGTCCATAGAAAAGACAAATATCTAAAGTCTGCATTACCTTTGTTGCAGCCAAAACTGCAGCTGACGCAGCAACATTCAGGCCCTTCCTCCCAAAATGCACAAGTGTGTCATAGCTTTTGTCCTTTGCTTGGCAGATGTACTCATCGATGTCCTGAAAAAAGGACACAAAAATAAATGATTGTGTCTTTTTATATCATCATCATAATGTATGCATCATATCGTAAGCGTTGTTCTGACAAGTGTTTCTTATATTGCTGCGTGCGTTTCCTGACTCAGAGGAAAATGGAAAAGAGAAAGGGAGGAACGCCGTGACACTTCCTCCCTCCTGTCCTGCTTACACATTTTCAGCGGTTAAAGTGGAAAACAGAATTGGCACACAGGCCGTTCTGTTCTCTAGACAGCTGCTCGGATCAAATTCTATTAGTCACCAAACCATGCAGACTAACTTACAGTCAATATTATCACCAAAGCCTTTCCTTGAACTGCATAAGGAAGAACAAGGAGAGAGCCACAAAAGGACGGGTTTTCACCTTTTCTTTTGAGGAAAGCGTGGGATGAACTAATTTCCTGTATAGCACACTGGAGCCTTTAGTGTAAGGGGACAGCAGCCACACCACAAAGGCTATCTTCAGCTCATAGTAGAAAGGAATCCTGCAATAAATACACAAAGTGATGAATCCGCTGGTACTAAAAGCATTGAAAAAAACAAAAAAAGGTTTATATGCCAGTGACAAAATGCAACATGTGACATGAAAGGTTTACTACATTAAATATCTGTGGTCACTTACCAACAAAGAAACATATCCGTAAACACTTCCACAGCAGTGTATAGGGCAAATATGATCCAGTACATCATCCATTTCACCTAAAATGTAAGATAGGTAAAGTACCTCCACTCAACACCTTGCAAAATTGTATCTCCCAACTATAAAATGCGAATAATATACTCACGTATTCTTTCACATCTTTTGACTTCACAGCTTTATAAGAGTAGTACGCTGGATATAGAGTCCCAAAAACAATTCTGGAAGACAGGAAATGTGTCCATCAAGTGCAGACCCCGACCATTTGATGCAGTCCAACAGATATTTTTAAAGTGCATGAAAAAGATGTAAAATCATGACATTTTTAACATGATAAATCTTGGTTATGGAAGGTAAAGGCTACACAGATATTTTTAAACCAGGCGTTTAAAGAGATAACTAAATATCATTGTTGTTGTTGTATATTATTATTCATGGATTCCTAACGTAACTGATGGGCAGCTTATGGCTGGAGGTCAATGTAAAACAGAAAAGGAAGAACACATGTGTAAATTGATTAATGCTGGGTTAGATTGTGCGCTGGCTGGTTCAGCCAAACAATCTGTCCATGTGCTTCACCTCAAGACACGAGTTAAAATTATCTTCCTTGTGTTTTCTTCAAATGTATTTTCGTGCGTGGGACACCTGTGCTGCTGGGTGACCCTGCAGAGACAGGACCAAGTCGAAGTGCCACAGCAACAGCTGAGAGAGCCACCTGATCAAATTACCCACCCACATCATGTTGCACCTCTCCGGCCTGAGTGTGCTCCAACAGAGTTAAGAAACACAAGGACACTAAAAATAAACAGATCGCCCGCGGGAGATGCAAGTAAACATTTTTCGTTGAACTCCAGAATGATCCACAGGGCCGCGTTGTGAGCAGGCTGAAGCGGTTCTCTGTAACAAGATCTCCTATATTCTAAATTGAATTGGCTCACTATTTTGAGTTTTGGCCTGCTGTTGGTGTAGGCTCCACATGCTCGGCAATGGAGCCGATTCATACTTTGAGCAGGTAAAAATAACCACAACTTAAATGCCGCTCTATGTTTAATCATTTCAATTCAAAGCTCGAGGAGAACACATCGGCAAACACACACAAATGTCATACTACAGGAACATCTTGCATTGTAACTTGAGAAGGCTGACCAAGCCCTTTTGTTTTGTTTTCCCAATATGGGTCATCAACAGGGATTAGACGTCCACTTGAGCATCGCTCCTTTTGTTCAGTCACCTCGCTGCTCAGTGACATTTAGCTTTTCTGGGAGTGAAAGACGTCTTTGATCATATTACCATTTCATGGATGACAGTGGATTATTCAGCCAATCACGTCCCCTCTTTGTCTGTGATTACTTATAGGCAGCGGATGAACCTAAAGGGTGTCGGGCTGCTGAGCTGCGTTCAAACAAACAGTCCACACAGGCCTCGCTCACCATTCCGTCTGCTGGAATGGCAAAGGACAATCCTGTTGAATTTAGACTATTTTTCAAGCAAAAAAAAAAAAAAAAAAAGATCGGACGTGTTCTGCACGCGCTGCCGTCTGATTCCGATTCAATATTGGACAATCAGCGGGGGCGTGCAAAGCGCGCCGCTCACCGCGCCGTCAACGAGCAGCTCAAATAATCGCGAAACCCCGATAATAACAATTTATTATTAATCTACGTGAAGAGAAAAGGTAGGGGAGGAAAAAAAACGACTTACACCACAAGTCTCGAGATGATCCAGGAGACCATTGCGCTGGAAATGCGACGGGACGCGCCGCTCTGCAGGGAGGAGTTTCCTCCAGATGACAGACGCGTTCGGGCGCGTTCTGGCGGCCGCTTCTGGACGCGCACCGCGCACCGGCGTGATGCGCGGGAGCGAGAAGGAGGAACTCATATCCATAGATGGCGGTGTTGCATTGCACACAGATACTCGGCGTGCGTCTGGTTTAAGACGTGTGAGGAGATGTGACGTGATCGGGAGCGTGAACCGGTTGGTTTGGAGGCAAATATGTGGGAAGGGCTGAAAGTCATTTCATCACCAATGATCATTTTTTTATTTAGTAGAATACCACAATTTCCTAAACCCAAGTGATGTCCAACTTTTGGTGCTACGTGTCATAATAAAGCTCAATATAATGTACTAGAATAATAGGACTCTTAATGGGAATGAAATCTCTGGGCCCTCCATGGACCACCATGGTGCATTAGAGCAATGGTACCTTTGTCCAGCCCTTGTCCCACATACTGAGGCCCGAGGAAAGAGGCCTGGCTTTGTACAACAACGGCTGCTGAGGGCGTGCTGGAACCAGTGAAATTCAATCCGTTTCTGTGTGTGTTGAAGCCAAGAATTATATGGTAAAAAAAAGGGGTAACTGAAATGCCTTCTTAAAAAGTACTCCACGTATCGATGTATTATTAAGGCCACAGGGGAATTACTTGACAGTTTTTGAGATATACGTCCAGTACCAGTTTTTTGCTAGTCCGCTATTGATGAACAGCGAGCAGGGAGCTGCTGGATTGTTCAGTTTCTAACCAGTTGAGCAGGCTGTTGCAAGGCAGCAGGTTCAGATTTCCTCAAAGCTTGCGGTTAGATAAAGCGTATAAATGTATAATTAAGTAATTGCTTAAAGCAGAAACAGTTGTAACAGAGTTTGATTATTGGCAACTTTTGATCTTAAAAGTTTATTTCCTTATTTTGTTTCCAAATCCACATAGAAAACCTATACTCACAATACTTCCACAATACGTAGATTCTGTACTAACCAACCCTTCAACTTCCTCTGCATCGTCTCTGCTGAGAAGAAACTCAATCGGGATACAAAGTCAGAATAAATGTTAATGCAAAGGAAATGGGTTAGGGTGGTCAGTGTGCATTTTTCATATGATTTCACTTAAGATGTATGAGCAGATAACGAATAGACACATATTGAGTGTACAGACCGTCAAAAGGAGAAATCCACCATATCTAGTGTCTCGGATCATGTAGGCTAGTTATCAGTAAACGAAACAGCTGTTCCATACAAAACGGATCCAAAACAGAATAGACCAACTGCTGAGTAGTGATCGAGGGCATGTATTAAGTGCAGGGTAGTTATTTAATCGCTTGTTTAGATCATAAACCTAAGTACGTCCATCACCATTCCATAACTTAGGACAGAAGATATGATGAAGCACTATAGGCACAGCAGGCTTTTCATACTTACATTATATACACTTTCAAAAACCTTCTGTTGACTTTGGAAAATAAAGACTTACCAAGGGTAACCCCCGATAATAAAAAGACAAAAAGCAAAAACTCTTTTTTCTATCCGAGTAGAGCGAATGTTCTATAAAAAAAACCTTTATCTGCCGTAGCACAAAGTTAATCCCAAATGATTATGTGAAATAATAATAACGAAATGAAGCTTGGAGGATGTTCAGCACTGCAAAACCCAGCACCAGAATTGTCCTTATTGGAGTGAGTAAACCGCCTTTGACGGATCAGTGGCAGTTCACCTTAGCTCCTCAGAGCTGCCAATCTTGACTGCATTGCTTCAATGTCCTCCTCTGACTCGTCCTCTGAAGCTGCAGCAGCTGCAGCAGGCTGTATTTCAGGCAGGGCGTCTGTGACTTTGCTTGGCGCTTTGCCAAGGGCACCTATCAAGGCAAACAGAACCATGAAGCAGCACGTTCGGTATTGGGAGTTAGCAGAGTAACGCAAATGTGATTCAGACAGAAGTCTAAAACCGTGGAACAGAATAGGTTGAATACGAATTAATTACGCAAAGTCTCTTCACCTGCTGTGATGTCGAAGAGGATCTTGTCAACTTCCTCCTCTGCCGCCTCCTCCATCTCCTCTCCATCTTCCATGCTCTCAAATGTGTCTTCCAGCATTTCCTCAATGATACCAGCCTGAAAGATCAACATGTACACACAAAGCCATTGCTTAGCAACTCTTTCTTGTGAGGAATTAATGGTTGGAGGGCGGTCGGAGTACGCTACAGCATTCCATTGACTTCATTGGGGCTATTTGTGTTAGACACTGCTGCTGACCTTCATCATCTCCTTTGATAGTTCCCTCATGGTAGCCTGGATTTCTGGGATTTTGACAAGGTTCTGCATGGCTTTCATCACCTCTGTGCTCTTCTGCAGGGACCCAGCGACACGAACTAAAGCTAAAAATATTTAAAAAAAACATACATTCCCTTCACGCATAGTTCAGTGTAGAACAGAACACTTAAAGTACATGATGAAACAGTAAACAACATTTGAGATACAATGACTTTAAATATTCCTATGTTCAAGCACTCCAAAGCTCACCAAGCTGATTCTTCATGCTGAGCTGCACTGAGTTCATTTGGGCTTTGGAGGCGTACAGCTTTGTGACAGCTCGTTTTGACTGGATCATCTCCTTTGCGAGGACCACACACACGTCCCTCTGGCCCCTTTTGGCAGCGTCTTTGATGGATCTTTTCACTTTTTCTTCTTCCCTTTGAATATCTGAGGGAAAAGGAAAGGACAAATGCTATTACCACCAACACAAAGTGAAAAGATATAATTATAGTTAATTGCATGTTGTGTATAATTAAATCATGCAACACGATAGATGTGCCAGCAAAAGTACTGGTCATAGTGCAGTCATTTATAATGTTGTACTAGAATCCATGGATTGAACAATTTTCAGGCTAACAAACAGAGTCAGTTGTCAGTTCAAACGTGTTTTAGGATTTATTCAAATTCAAATCGCCCCTTTTTTGCTTCGACATTCAAATGGAAAATAATGAGATTATATCTCCCCTTTATTTTCCGATAGTTAAAATGACACACTATTGATGAAATAACATTATAAACGTCAAGTCCGTTGATGTTCAATGGTTGTGTCAAATGTTGACTGTATCTTACCTCGAATTTGTCTGTCAATTACTCTCATTTCCTTCCTGATTTTTTGAGACCACTCAGTCACCTGAAAGTACACAATAACACAACCTGAGTTAACATTGCTCGTTAAAGTAAGTGTGATACGCTCTTTAACATAGCGTTACATGTACTATAGACTAAAGCAATTTACACCATGTTTAACAGATCCCGATGTCAGCTCCGTTAAAGCGAACACGATCACTCTTTGTTTACATTTGAGCCACAAACAGCGGAGTTTCAGAACGTATGCTAGCTGGCTAGCTCAGCACAGAAATCAAAATCCGATGGACGAATCGCTTATTAGCGCCTAGCAAGAAGCGTACACGGCTAAATACTGTAATAACAATGCGGGTTATCGCCGGGTGCTTTTACAGGGACCATTAATTTGCTATTTTACGAGACTTAACAGCAGCGTTTCGGTTAGCAAGAAGTAGCAACAGATTGGGCGAAGTACGCGGAGTTAAACTGACAGCTCGCTGTTAGCGGGGACAGAGAAAGGCGCAGTCGTTGTTGTCCTAGAAGAGACAGACCCCTCAAAGACAGCCCTGGTCTTCAACAGCCAGTACTCACCATCTCTTTGGGGGATCTGTCTGATGTTTTGCCGAACAGTCCCATTTTTACTACTTGGTTAAATGTCAAGCTAACCGACTTGACTAACACTAGCTAGCTAGCTGGCTCTGCCTGTTGGAACAGCACTTCCGGTTCTGGGCTTCCTCGGGCTGAGTACGAATATGAGGGAACGTTCAGTCCTCATCTAGGAAACAAGTGTCCTAGTGAGGATACAATGGAAGCAGGCACATCAACACAACTATTTGACTGTGATAAACCCTTTTAGAATGAATTTACATAAAATATATCAACAGTGCATTTGATGATCAGTCATCTTATTTGTGAGTAATCATACATATGACGTTACAGACAGGATATATGTATATACATTGTGTTTGTTGGAGTAATCAAAATGAAATATATCTGTCCGCGAAGGTATCTCAAAGTAATTTCTTTAACTTGAGTTTAATAGTTGCTATTTCTTTTGAGATAATGGCTGTAAGATGTCTATTTTAGTGAAATAATCCATATGATTAAGTTTAATCATATTTCATATGGGATTCTTTAAACTAAGCTAAAAAAAAGTTGTTATTGATGCAACTACCCAACAGCATTTTAAGTATTGCCTCTACCGCAACTTCCATTAAGATACTTGTTCCACCTTAATAATAATAGTAATAGTAATGGAATATTATTATATAGTACATAGTAGCACATTACTGCTTTTCCTACTTTAAGTATTTGTTTCCTAATAATACGTATGTGCCATTATTTAACTCGCTTGACTTTTTACTCAGCTGTATTAGTTTTCACCATGAGGGTAATTTTATGAATTTGGATTTGCAATGCTAAATTAAAGCACCAGCCTATAATGCTGGTGGTTTATTTGGTTTATTTGGCTTATTCTTTCCTCGTATTAGTTACTACATACAACACCTAAGATATGTCCATTATATGGCTTGACCCCACCTCTGTCCCCGGTGTGGGAGTTTCCCTTTCCGTAGCCTTTCAGACAGACAGCTCGTAAGCTCCATATATATGTGCAACGCCACTTTTACAGACACAACTGCCACGTGCACTCATGCGTCCTAAAGCACGTGATGCTCTTTCTTGACAGCCTAAATTGAGGGCGAACATCGCCGTAACGGGACTGCTCGCCCGACCGACTGTGACGTATTCCGCTGTCCCCTTTTTCTGGGACTTCTTTTTTGTGATATCGATGGCTGTTTCCACCAATCACAGAGGTGCAATGGGCGAGACAAGACCAATCGCAGACGTGCGGAGGCGGGCTTTCAGAAAACGCGTCTGTCGCAGCCAGCAGCCGCTGGTTTAAGGTGAGGGACCACCGAAGGGAGGGAGAATCCCCTGGGATTAACTACTCTGAATGAGTTTTCTATAAACAGCTCGACTTACATAACAGCTTGTAATCTAGTTAATACTCCCCCAGCTAGCTTCCTCGTAGTTTTTCTCAGAGCAGAGGATACACTTAATTACAATTTGTTTAGGAATAGACCGTTGTATGCAACAGCTGTGGGGGACAAGAGGTGCAGTTCAGAGCGCTCACCATGTCAGTGGTCGGGATCGATGTGGGTTACCAAAACTGTCACATCGGCGTGGCCAGGAGCGGTGGCATCGAAACCATCACCAACGAGTACAGTGACCGATGCACACCGTGAGTATGAACGTCATCGTCAGCGTGGAAAGATGTGGTCTGTTACGCAATGATCGGCTATGAGGTGTGTAGAGGCAGCAAAGAGAGGCGGTGTGATGCGGGTTCATTCATCATAAGTCATCATCAGTCGAAGGAGGTCAAACAGACAGTTGGCATGTCGGTACCCGAAAGTTGACGGAGATGAGCAACTCAAAGCAATCAGGATGTTTTCTAGAGGACGTGAAGGGCTGAATGCTGTAAAGGAAAATAAATGTGTGTTTTGATATGACATGTCTGCCAAATAGCGACATTATACTGAAGGACCAGTCCAGAATCAACAGGGCATTAACGGTGTATATCGTTTTTGTTAATAGATGATGAAATGGAAATGGAACTAATACTAATACTACAACACATTTTCATGAAAGTAAGGAGACAGCCCGGAGATGTACTCCAGTCGGCATCCTGCAAACAAGGATGTGCAGCTGAAAAAAGGAGGATGAGCATCACACCTTTGAGTGAATGTTTGTGGCAAGGGGACACTGAGGAGAGACTTGTCCCTGTCACCCAGTTTAAAATGGATCCCTCAACCTTGTATGACTAGACACATTCATCTCTGTCTTTAAAGAAGAAGGTCTGTCTGCTAAAATAAATGAGTTATATGAGTTAGGGAGGGTTTCTTTTCCTTCAGAATGAGCTCATATTTGAAGATGAACTGTTCTGTCTCACTGCCCTAGTTTGTGGTTGTTCCTCAGACTCCCTTGTGAAAATTCCTAAATTGAAATGTCTCAGCGCTCGACATTTGATTCTGTCTGCGTCAATTAGAGTTCTTCCCGTTTGCCACATCCGGTATTATTTCTGCTCTACCTAATTTGCTGATACATTTGTCTTCCATAAAGGGCTTGTGTATCTTTGGCCTCCAAAAACCGCATGATTGGAAATGCTGCCAAGAGTCAAGTAAGATCATCCATGGCAGTTTGTCTAAACTGTAATAAATCCAACATAACACTGAAACGATTAAATACATTAAAATAAATACATTGTCCTAATGATGTTCACATTTACAAAATATACTATTTGCACTGAGTGTCTTCTTATTTCAGATGACAACAAACTTCAAAAATAAAGTTCATGGATTCAAAAAGTTCCACGGCAGAGCGTTCGATGACCCGTTCGTCCAAGCGGAAAAACCCAAACTGCCTTACAGCTTACATAAACTGCCCAATGGAAACGCTGGAGTTAAGGTGAATTACTGTACAACCTTCCAGCATGTTTCTTTTCCCTCTTTCTTTCTGACCCCGACCCTTCTTACGCCATCGCTGCACACCTTCGGTATTCAAATTCAACCACAAAGCTGATTGGTGAACGGGACGCTCAGATGTTTTTGGAACTCATTGACTGTGTGCTTAATGTACCTTGTAATTTTATCATGTCAACAGGTGCGTTATTTGGATGAGGACAAAGTGTTCACGGTGGAGCAGATCACAGGGATGCTGCTCACCAAGCTGAAGGAGACGTCAGAGAGCGCCCTGAAGAAGCCCGTGGTGGACTGCGTCATCTCTGTGAGTGAGAAAAACCATCAGCGCAACGCTCAAAGTGTGTCAATGATACATGTGGAGTTCTGTGCTGTTGTGTTCTACAGGTCCCGAGTTTCTTCACCGATGCTGAAAGGCGATCGGTGTTCGATGCAAGTCAAATAGCGGGGCTGAACTGTTTACGTCTCATCAACGACACCACTGCAGGTCAGTGTTTTCATCACGGTGACATTTTATTTTTAATGGGTGCAATGGACATTTTCTTTGCGTGTCCAGCTTTGGGAATTTCATGAATCCTTCCTTCAAGTTTATATTGAGTTTTTAATATTTTTGGTCTATTCGTATTCACATTCACAGTGGCTTTGGCCTACGGGATCTATAAGCAGGACCTTCCTACTCCGGAAGAGAGGCCAAGAAACGTGGTATTTGTTGACATGGGACATGCGTCCTTCCAGGTCTCCCTCACTGCCTTCCACAAAGGCAAACTCAAGGTCAGCCTTCCGCCCGCTGCAATTCACAGGTTACACCCGCAGCTGTTGAACCCCACTCAGCGTTCGATTCTGCCCCGTCAGGTCCTCGCCACGGCGTTCGACCTCCACCTTGGCGGGCGCAATTTTGACGAGGCACTGGTGGATTTCTTCTGCGAGGAGTTTAAAAGCAAGTACAAGCTAAATGTGAGGGAGAACCCGAGGGCTCTGCTGCGGCTGCACCAGGAGTGTGAGAAACTGAAGAAGCTAATGAGCGCCACCTCCTCCGATCTGCCTCTGAACATCGAGTGCTTCATGAATGACATCGATGTTTCCAGCAGGATGAACAGGCACAACTTGGAACTTTTACCCCTTAATTGTGCATCTCTTCGGTGGAAAATCTACCATTAGAAATTCACGTTTCTTCCTCACTTGCAACCTACAGGGGCCAGTTTGAAGACATGACTGCTCAATATCTGATGAGAGTGGAGACGCCACTGAAAGCAGTCCTTGAGCAGTCAAGTATGTGCCGCAAATGAACTTCTGAGGGTGTATTTCTCTGATACTGCGTAGAGTAAGAATCTCCTCCGTCCTGCGTGTTTGGTGAGCAGAGCTGAGTCGGGATGATGTCTACGCTGTGGAGATAGTTGGAGGAGCCACAAGAATCCCAGCGGTCAAAGAGAGGATCGCAAAGTTTTTCGGCAAAGACATCAGCACCACGCTCAATGCAGACGAAGCGGTCGCCAGAGGCTGTGCACTCCAGGTACGGCTCGTTCCCCGACACTAACGGATCGTGTTTTCCAGTTTCCTGTAACTCGTATAATGCAGTTAATGTGCACGTGTGAATGGAGTGACACGTGCGGTTTGTTTTTGGTGTAGTGTGCCATTCTGTCTCCAGCATTTAAGGTGCGGGAGTTCTCCATCATTGACGTGGTTCCCTTTCCCATTACTCTTCGCTGGAAAACACCTACAGAGGATGCACTGGGGTAGATACATGTTGACTTACTTTTTAATCATCGTGCATGGCAAAGCCAATACATCTGTCTTTGTTCTTTCTAACCCTAACCCCTAACCCTAACCCTGGGAAATCAAGCTTGGTCAGCTCGTGGTTTTAACAGCCCGACGGAGCTTTTTTCCCACCTTACTGTATTTTTGTCACAGTGAGTGCGAGGTGTTCAGCAAGAATCACGCTGCTCCATTTTCCAAAGTCATCACCTTTCACAAGAAGGAGCCCTTTGACCTTGAAGCCTTCTACAGCTGCCCTCAAGAGCTCCCCTACCCAGACCACAGGATAGGTAACTCTGCTCATCGTCCCCTCCCCTACGTTTTTATGGATGGCCCACGAGGGGTGGCTGAGTTCTAATGAGCCAGTCAAACAAATGGTTGTGGCGGGAGGAAAGTTGGGGGTGGGGCTTGGGGGCTCTTCTGTCTCTTCGGGGCATATGTTGAGGGCGTTTAATTGAAGCTTTATATCAAACTACTCCTTTTGTTCATCCATCTGCCACCAGGATGTTTCTCCGTACAGAATGTGGCTCCGCAGCCCGACGGAGAAAGCTCTAAAGTGAAGGTGAAAGTGCGCGTTAACGTCCATGGCATCTTCAGCGTGTCCAGCGCCTCTCTGATTGAAAAACAGAAAGGGGAGGACATGCAAATCGACTCGGAGCCGATGGTGCAGACCGAAGGCGGAGCAGAGGAACAGGTGCTTCTTTTAGTGCAATCGAGGAAATATGTATAATTCCTTTGCATTTGTCTAATTGCTTTTTTTATAGTTACAACTCAAATACAAAATATTTTGTTGTAACGGACCAGGGACTTTGATGAAATAGCTGAATGTTGTGTCTCAGACCAAAATGCAGGTGGACCAGGAAGGCCAAGGTCAGGGGGACCAGCAGAACGAGGACAACGGTTCCAACACTAAGGTCAGCTGGACATTTGTTTTGATTCCATGGCAGTATCCTGTGTTGATGTGCAGATATGAGAAGTCTTTTCTGGTTTCCAAATCCAGGATTGGGCGTGTGGGGAAAAGACGGACGCAGCAGCAGTAGCAGCAGGAGGGAGCAAACCCAGAGTCCAAGTGAAAAGTACCGAGCTGCCCGTGGTGGCCAACAACATCCGACAGCTCGACCGTGACGTCCTCAAAGACTTTGTGGATTGTGAGGTGAGTGCTCCGTCCTGCCTCCGGAAAAGCCGAGGCCCGATTGAAATGCTTCCTACCGGCGCACTAATGGAGGGAAGTGTTCTGTACTCTTTGTGTTGTGAGCTGGGATGGTTTCCCAAGGTGACACTTTATGTGTGGGTCAATAAGACTTTTGTTTATCTTTTGGCTCAAGGCTTGGAATCCTTTTTTTTCAACCAGCTACAATGACAGTTGGTTTTGTGTTCATTCAACTGAACTTCTTTTTGCTGTTATGGGACATTTTTTTGTATTTTATTCTCACAGCACCAGATGATCATCCAGGACAAATTTGTCAAAGAGCTCAATGATGCCAAAAATGCTGTTGAGGAGTACGTATACGAACTTCGGGACAAACTTTGTGGGATCTATGAAAAGTATATCACGCTGGATGTGAGCGCTGCTTTCTTAAATATTTTTGATGTACCAAGCAAGTTTTCTATATCTGTATTTACCTAAAATTGTTTTTATGTCTGGCCATTAATAACAGGACAGTAACCGGCTGACACTGATGCTGGAGGACACAGAGAACTGGCTGTATGAGGAGGGAGAGGACCAACCCAAACACGTCTATGAGGAGAAGCTGGATGCCCTCAAGGTTTCTTTTATTCATTCATTATTCCTAATTTTTTTAATTAACTACAACAAAGGGAGCTGAATCAACTGCCTGGGCTCGACTGAGGTTAAGAGGTGAAAGTTGAGGTTAAAGTGAGTCAAGATTTGTGTGTAATTCTGTTGCTCCAGACGTTGGGTCAACCCATTCAGGATCGGCACAGAGAGCACGAGGACCGGCCGAGGGCTTTTGAAGAGCTGGGAAAGAAAATACAACTCTGTATAAAGTTTGTTGATTCCTATAAACAGAAGGTAAGTCTTACACATCTTTAATAATTGACTAATAATACAAATTGCGAGAGCAATTGTAATGTCTTTCACGAGTGTGATATTTAAGACTCTGCACACTCTCATGTTTGTGTGTCAATTAATGCTTTTTTCGGTTTGGTTTCAGTGACACCTACTGAAAATGTTTTGGATTTGTAACTTTTGTAATTTCCTTCACAAATCGTCCCCCAGGATGAGCAATACCTGCAGCTGAGTGCAGAGGAAATGATCGCTGTGGAGAGGTGTGTGAGTGACAGCATGGTTTGGATGAACAGCAGGATGAACGCACAGAGCAAACTTGGCATTACTCAAGACCCCGTTGTCAAAGTGGCAGACATCATCGGCAAAATACAGGTATGTGACTGACTTTTTAAAATGTAACTACGGAGTTAATTAGCAGTGTGTTTCTTTCGCCAACGAGTCCATGCTTGTTAATCGCCAGGAACTGGAGGATGCGTGTAACCCATTGATGAACAGGCAAAGACCCACCGTGGAGGAGGCAGCTGAAGTGATTGACCAAAGCAGTGCGGCTCACAATGGCCCTGCAGAGAAGCAAGCGGCAGCAGGAGGGCAGGGAGATGCAAAGGGAAGCCAGCAGGCAACGCGCGGCACGAAAGAGATGGAGGTGAACTGAGACCGGTGCCTGAGAAGCAAACTCCTAAATCATCCCTGCGTTTACCACAGCTGACCGTTTAGACCGTAGGAACGTCAACTGTTTCAATCGACTGTTTCCCAATCGTCACCGGCTACTTCTGTGGATTTGGGACTTTTTGTTTTATTGTTTCAATCTGTATTTGCGTCAATGGTGTGCTTTACTTCCTCAAAGATTTTACATACTTAATAAATGAAAGAATGATGCAATAGTTGAAACTCTGAATCTGATGTTACACTGTTTCTTTCGTGCCACACAGGAAGGATCCTTGTCTTCGCGTTCCGTGTGTCTCATATGAACCCAGTATCGACAGTAAATCTTTCCCTTTTAAAAAGGAATGTTGTATGCAATGATCCAACTTATACATATTTGTGTCTAATGAGCTTGAAATGATGTCCATGTCTTTAAAAGCTGTAAATACTATTTAAGTAAATTAAAGCGGCCAGCGTATATAAAATATTCATGAAGAACATATTCCTAGTAGACTAGTGTTTGAGAAACACCAAATGTCTTTATTAGGCGATTGGTTTCTTTTTTGTTTTCTGGCATTTTCCACATTTAAATAAAGAGATTCTGGACTGTAACACCCGGTACTACGTCTGCTCCTTCTTCTACACAGTTACCTGATCTGCAATAATACAAAATAAGAGGCACCCTCTCATAAGGCTGCTCAAAAAACTATACAGTAGGTTCATTTTTTACTGTTCTGAAGAATCTAAAGATCAAACTGAACGTCTCTGATTACACAGGTGTCATCCTTTTAATTGTGCAGGTAAAATTACAATTTAAAGGATAATGTGTACGGAGCTCTGAAGTTAATTAATACATTGGAAATGAATGAATGAATAAGGTGAATAACAACAGATGAAGTGTTCAATAAAAAGAAACTATTAATAGAATACACTGTCTAGATTCTTATTTAATTTCAGCAGTTTTATTTTAGAAATCATTTTTCCCCCCTAAGTTTTGTTAATCAAGACAGACATGGCAGAGTGTGTGAGTTGTGTGATTGTGATTTTAAGAGCTGTCAATCAATTGTGGAACGCATTTTCTTTCTTTTTTTAGCATATTTAGAACAGATTGTATCAGTAAAATAATCATCTGACTAAGCGACTATGATAATGATCATGATCAAGAATATTTTATTAGAATGAGTTGAGTTTTAAACAATATTTTATATTAAATATGTTGTCTATTTGCACTCATCTGATTGTCACAGTATGTTATTTACAGTATATTATTTACTTATTTAATTTGATCCGTTGGGTTCTTCCTATAATCGAAGCATAACCTAATGTTAGGACCATGTTATGACTTTAATTCACTTGTAAACGAGGTGAAAGTTGTGTATGCGACATAAACAGGAAGAAGGAGGCGTGGCCAGCGAGAAACCCTCTTTGTTGTCAAGTGACGTAGCGTGTGACGTGGACACGAGAGTAACGGGCGGATATTTTCAAAATGGAGGAAATGGCAAAGTTTTGGAGGGGAACACAAGAACAACATTTATTTGCCCTCTGAGAGCCCACACGCCGACTATCGATGCCCTCGGTCGGCGGAGGAATACTTTTACGAGCTTGCATGCGTCTGCAAGCCGGAAAACAGGCGCGATGAGTGTTTCCATCGGCGAGAAGATCGAGGTGAGTCCTTTTGTGTGAGCTAACGCCCACAAGCCGCCTCCAAAATAACCGCAACCCTGCGAGTTACCGTCGGCTACGATAACGACCCGGGCCGGCTGTCGAACCGCTGCTCCACATGTTTCTACCTTCAACTGTGACCCAATTCAACTGAAATGTGTCACACGATGAACTCCGGTACTGTTGTCACGTTGACGCCATTCAACCAACGTCAGCCAATAGCGATTCGCGCTCGCTTCTGTGTCGGTTGGTTCATCTCATTCATTCACATCCCCAAAATGCTCGTGTATTTCACTTTATTTCATTTGTAAATTTGCGATTATTTCCCTGTTGTTGGGGGGCTTCGGCCTCACGCTTTCATCCCCCGTACTGCGGTGTGTAACCTTACCCTTAATTACTCTCGCGGGTCCACTTTCTCCCCCCCTGGGGGAGGGAGTGGGGGGGGGGGGGCAGATCTGTCGTTGACCACGCTGCTTAGAAACGGGCTCCGAGTGGTCCTCGTTAGCGGGAAGAGAGCCGGGATGAATGGAGCTTTCTGGTTGGCCGAACGACCCCGTCAGCTGTCGGTGGCTTCGTGTGACAGATTTCTCCAACGCGCAGCGGTTAGATTTTGGGATTGTCGTTGAGCCGCGGACCCGTTATGTCGCAGGCTGGAGGAACGCGGTGCGATCAGGATGTTCACTGTTGCTTCAAAAATGTCTCTGCTGACATCCAAGTCAACAGAGAGCATGAGGCGTGTTCATCTTACGCTCCGCGGCTAAGGATCGAGGTGGCGTGCTTTTAAAGATCCCGTCGGATGGGATCAAAATAGAACTAATCTGTTGTCTTGTAAATCTCATTTGGACATATTTCTATCTCCTCTCCGATGTAGGATTTCAAGGTCCTCACCCTCCTCGGCAAAGGCTCCTTTGCGTGTGTTTACCGGGCCAAATCGGTGAAGACTGGCCTGGAGGTCGCCATCAAAACGGTAAGAATCCCACCATTTACCCCTGATGTCAGTGCCATAAGGTCATTATCATTGCCCGCTGTACCTGCGGAGTAGACTCTTAACCAACTCCCAACTCCAACAGTCTGGATCATTCACACCTTAATTGTCTCCCGAGGGCTTCTTGTGGTCCCTTGCCCCCCCCCTCCTCCTCTTTGTCGGCGACAGATTGACTATCAGCCAGCGGACCAAACCACCGCGCAGCAGCGCTGTAACACACGGCCCGTTGATCCTATGAGCGACAGGTGTATAATTATCTGTGTTGATCCCATCTGCAGATTGACAAAAAAGCAATGCACAAGGCCGGTATGGTGCAACGTGTGATCAACGAGGTGGAGATTCAGTGCCGGTTGAAACATCCTTCTATACTTGAGGTAACGTTGCACACTGCATTTGTTGTGGTACCGTAGCTTATTATTACATCACAAGTATTCTGCTAGTTGTCATTTAGAAGTTCTTCTGTTTATTTTTATGTTAGAAACCCCGAAACATTTTAAGAAGAATGTAAATAAGCCTTTCAGTTAAAGACAAAGAGCCCTAATTGTACAAATCCCACCTACAGTTCGAGATCCTCCTAAAGATCTGAGTGATGGCCGCGCTTGAGTCTGCGCACATGAGCGTTGTGCTATCGTTGTCATGGTTATGTGATGGTGAGCCCAGCGTGGTTCAGTGTTACCATCTTAAAGTCTTAAAGATTAACCAAGAGAAGAGCTCTGTCACTGCCTCTAGATTCTGTTTAGACAAGTAATGTATAGGTTCTATAAAACTATTTTCTGGACATTCTCACTCTGACATGTTAATAAATACTGTATTATGTATTTATTTAAGCTCTACAACTACTTTGAAGACAGCAACTACGTGTACTTGGTGTTGGAGATGTGCCACAATGGGGAGATGAGTCGGCACCTTAAAGAGCGGAAAATGTCTTTCTCCGAGGATGAAGGTCAGCCAATTACTTTAGTTTGACCATACAACTCAAATGATATTGCAGTACATGGGTTTCATGAGGTTAAATTTTGCATTTTGCCAACCTTTTATTTATTTTTTGCTCCACAGCAAGACATTTCATGCATCAAATATTGAAGGGGATGCTTTATTTACACACCCACGGCATCCTGCATCGAGATCTGACGCTGTCGAACCTTTTGCTGACGAGCAACATGAACATTAAGATCGCAGACTTTGGCCTCGCCACTCAGCTCAAACTCCCAAATGAAAAGCACTTCACCATGTGTGGGACGCCCAACTACATCTCCCCGGAGGTGGCCACCCACAGCGCCCACGGTCTTGAATCCGATGTCTGGTCCCTGGGCTGCATGTTCTACGCCTTTCTGATGGGCCGCCCCCCGTTTGACACTGACACGGTCAAACACACTCTGTCTAAAGTGGTTCTCGGCGAGTACGATATGCCGAGCCACATTTCTCCAGAGGCTCAGGATCTGATCCATCTCCTGCTGCAGAGGGACCCCGGCCATCGTCCCAGCCTCTCTGCAGTGCTGGACCACCCGTTCATGACCCAGAACCGGCTGGTTAGGACCAAGGAGCTGGGGGTGGGGGAGGACGGTTCCATGGACAGCGGCATTGCCACCATCTCCACGGCCTGCACCTCCTCCACCTCGGCCGGCAGCAATAGCCGCCTCCAGAGGAGGACCAGGCACGTGATTGGCTCAGCCCTGCCTAACCGAATGATGCCTATTCCAATCCTCCCACGCCAAACCAACCCCGCCTGCTATGAAGACGGCGACCAGTGGCAGCAGCAGCATCAGGCGGAGCGATTTCACAGAGAGGGGAGGAGCAGGGGGGTTCAAGGTGGAGACAGCGGGCAGCCTCACTCTCGCTACCTGAGGAGGGCTCACTCGTCAGAATGCTCCGGCTCGTCGGCCTCCGGCCACGGGCCGAGTCACGCCGAGCTCGGGAGATGTCACTCCGAGGAGAATCTCACTGGTTTGGAAAGAACGGTCTTCCCGATGTCCTCCACCCCGCACCCGTTTTCACAGCACGGAAAGCACCCGTCCCCCCCCGCCAAGCAGTCCCCAAAGTAAGTAGTCTCTCTATTTATTTACCTTTTAAAAAAATATTTTTGACATCAAACAAGCAAACAAAAAGACTAACAGGTTGCACTTTCTGTTTCAGCTCCGGGTATTTGTTTCCCTCACAGATTGCACATCCACCAAACTCGCAATTTCAAGACCTGGAGGGAGTTACGAATTGGCTCAACAATGAGGGTAAGATTGAAGTTGTTTTATTGTCGGTGCCTAAGAGATTTTAGCATTGTTAGCTCAGTTTTATTCCACAGCTGATGTTCTTGTTCAGGGGTATATAAATGAGGGGGAATATAACTTGATGAATAAATAATTGAAATGAAAAAGTCTCTAAACGCAGTTAAAACCAAATGTGTCACCAGATGTTTACAAATGCTTCCTATTCCTTCTCAGGTTCTGGGCAGAGACCCACAGACAACAGCACTCACAGCAGCGGCGGCGGCAGCTTCCACAGCAGCAGAGGTCCTTTGGGGGTCCACAATTCCTGGACAGACAAACCCATGAGCCGAGGTGTAAACCCTCATCACAACCTGGCCTCCAGCTGCGACTCGTACAGGGAGAATCTACCCGGAGCAGAGTTCCAACCTCCTCGCGGCAGCGAATTAAAGCTCCCACCCGGCGTGGCTAAAGAGAAGAAAACGCTGCGAGACGTCGTCCCGCCTCTGTGCGCGTCCAGATTAAAGCCCATCCGACAGAAAACCAAAAACGCCGTGGTAACGTATTGCTCATATTGTTTTGATAAGCCGTTGAAGGTGCGCCGTGCTGGCAGTGTACATAACGGTCTGATTTGTTTCCTACAGGTGAGCGTCCTGGACACGGGGGAAGTGTGTATGGAGTTGTTAAAATGCCACGGTGGTCAAGAGAGGGTCAAAGAAGTCCTTCGGATTTCCTGTGACGGTTCGATGGTGAGCTCACTGACCTGCATTGGGAAGCACGTCTTCGATGTGTTCTACGTGTGACTTGTAGAGTGATGAGTCTAATGTAGCATCGTATGACATTAAGCTTGTTGTTGTCTCTTTTTAGGTGACAATATACCAGCCCAATGGTGGGAAGGGGTTTCCTGTCTTGGACTGTCCTCCTGCTCCTCCAGAAGATATTCTGATCTGTAGCTACGAGGACCTTCCAGGTATTGTGATGGATGCATCAAACCCAGCAACCTGTGTTGGCATAGAAATTGTATGCTATTTGATTTATTGATTTTTATTTTGTCACAGAAAAATACTGGAAGAAGTACCAATACGCCTCCAAGTTTGTGCAGCTCGTGAAATCCAAAACTCCTAAAGTGACCCTTTACACCAAATATGCAAAGGTCATGCTGATGGAGAACTCTCCCAATGCAGACCTGGAAGCTTGCTTCTATGACGGTGAGTCCCGTGTGCGAGTTGAACCGTGTGAACCAGCTGAGAGAGAGACAGACAGACGGCACTGACCTTTTCCTGTCCGAGTCTGCGTCTAAAAAGCTTCATATGCTCTCGCGGTTTCGTAGGCGCGAAGACTCACAAGACGTCCGAGCTGGTGCGAGTGGTGGAGAAGAGCGGGAAGTCGTACACCGTGAAGGGCGAGGCGGGGCTGAGCGGCCTGAGCCCGGAGAGCCGGCTGCACGTGGAGCTGTCCGATGAGGGCCACAGCATGTGTTTGTCCCTGGAGGCCGCCATCACCGCCGAGGAGCAGCGCAGCACCAAGAAGGTCCCCTTCTTCCCCATAACGATTGGCAGGTGAGAAAAACGGTTGAAGATACGGTTATAATTACTCTGGGTTTCCTCGTGTGGCTAATGTTCGTTGTGTGTGCGTCTCCCCCTCTCAGGAGACCTGCCAACCCAGACACTCCGGGCTCGTCAGCCCTGCCCCCCCACCCGGTGCCTCCTGATACTTCACCTCCTAAACCTCCTCAAATCACTCCTTCGGTGAGTGTCTCACAGCCAAACACAGGGCTTACAAACAGGACTTTAAACAGAGATTTATGATGCAATTTCTCTTCAGATGATCTCCTACGATGGGTCAGATTTCACCACGGCCAGTGTGAGTAAGAAATGCTCCCCACTGCAACAGGACACGGGAAAAGTGGTGAAGTCCATATTCGTGCCCAATGTCGGATGGGCGTCCCAGGCAAGAGACGAATAAATCAAGCTAACGTTCTCTAACCAGCATGCAATGGCCTTTGATGTAAACGACTGAAATCTCTGTTCTTGCGACTGCAGCTGACGAGCGGAGAGGTGTGGGTGCAATTCAACGACGGCTCTCAGCTGGTGGTTCAGGCCGGAGTTTCCTGCATCACCTACACGTCTCCTGAGGGGAGGATCACCAGGTGCAAAAACACGCCAAGAGGCGCGACGTCACTTTTTGGGCTCTTGTGCTCGTCGGTTCCGGTTAACGCTTGTCTGGTCCGCAGGTACAAGGAGAACGAGAAGTTGCCCGAGCACGTCAAGGAGAAACTGCACTGTCTCTCCACCATCCTGGGACTGCTGGCCAACCCCACAGCGTATCATCCACAAGCTCATTAACACCACCCAACATCCCAGCAGCACTGAGCCACGGAAACCTTTGTATTGCCTTTTGTCTTGTAAATAGATCTTTGTTTTTGTTTTTTTACATGTACAGAAGACTAAGATTATGAAAATATATATTTTTATTTTAATAAGCAACCATTTTGTGTCAGTGGATTTGATGAAAAAAGTTTTGAAACTGTCTGATGAAATGATTCATAAACGCTGAGTCAATAAACATCTGGAGGCTGGGGTTCAGAAATGTTGCTCCGTTTTGCAGTTTTCTGTTTGCACTCACAAAGGACTTTTTATAGAAAGAAATTAAAGTATTCAATAATGACTATGGTTGGATTGGAATAAGTAAATAGACTGACTCCGGTAAGTTAATCAGAGTGTTAAAACCAGGCAGCTAGGAAAACAGATTAATTAGATTTCACATGTTTGACCATTTAATTTAAAAAAAAGTCACAATTGTGTATTCCTTTCAATTACAGAACTGATACAAAACATACTGTAGGCATGAAAGCCTCGTCATGTACACACGTACTGTACAAAGACACCAGAGAAGTCTGCTGCGGAAATGACCACGGGTAGGATTAACCATTTATTTCCCAATTAGAAGCACAATAAGGAACACAACATGGGACATAAGACATAGTGGTGTAAGCAGATATCAGCCTTTCCAGCTTTAACAGGTCGCACTCCAAGCATCCCCTGGTGGAGGGGGGGCGGGGGGCAGTCGGTTCCCCTTCAGAGACTGATGGAGGAAATTAAACCGCTAGGAGGGAGCACACTGGGACCAGAGCAGGCACCTGCTCGGGGGAACTGGCATTGTTTCCCACTAGATGCTAGAGAGAGACGACAGCGACACCACCTGTACAACCACAGCCCGCATTCCACCGGACCCCCCCCCCCCCCCCCGAGTAAAATATCCACCATTTATTCAAAAACATCCCAGTGCTTTCATTTTATTAATATAAAACCTTTTCCCCATAAAATCTCAATAAAATAAAGTTGCTCTTAGTAGATATCAGGACAAAGATATTAACAAAATTGGAGTAAAAAAATCTCACAGTGAACATTGGGAACAAGATCTAAACCGTCTCGCCCTCACACCCTCCAAAATGATTTCAACATCTGACACAAATACAGCAGCTGGAACAGGAGACGGGTCAGAGAATTTAAGCATGAAGCAAATGAACCGACTGGATTGAAGGTTTCTTCACCACATTTTGTAAGAAAGTGCTGTTAGAGTGAAACTTAATCAAAAGGATATAATAAGGACATAAAGCTAAACAAATCCCTCGAGCATCTAGAATTGTCATTTAATGATATCTAAATAATTAATACCCAGTAAGTGGATATTCAAAGACACATTTTACCTTGATTTTAGTTGAATAATTGATTCTTTGATTAACAATTATCTTATTAACACAGCAGCCCAAGTTTTTTTGATAGGTCAAGTTGGCTTCAGGAGAGTAGTTTTCTCACATTCGATACAAGCATTGAACACACGTGGAGAACTAAGTCTGTAAGGAGATTACAGACCTGTGAAGCGATGAGAAAAATCTCACAAGATCCCTCTGGAATTATGAAAAATGGAATTCTCTGAAAACATCCACAAACAGGAAAAGGAATGTGATCCTCGTCTTCCTGCACCGGAGCAACTTAAACTGGTACTTCAAAAGACCTACAGACTCTGGTGCAATAATCAAAAAGAAAACATGGTTACGTGGTCATGAAGAGTTTCTTCTTTCCTTTGACACTTGCTTTTTTTTGCAGGCATTCTTCCTACGCTTGAAGTCGATTTGATGGCACTCGGAAACAGTGTACGGATTACCCGTTTGTGTAAACTAACCAAACCCCAAAACTATCTCCTCATTCACGTTCAGACTCTTTGTGGCCACTCTCGCTGAGCAGCCCGGGACCAGTGGAGTCAAATGCCCGGCCACCTTTTCTCCCCGCCACTTAGTGCCGAGGAGCCGGCGGCATTGATCAGGATACAAACACACATCACTGGCACGGTCCCACGCAACGTGAACGTACCTATGTGCATGTGTGAGTGCACTAATGTGTGCGAGATACAAGGGATCATACATTGCACATCTAGTGGCACATCTTTCTCTAGTCCTCATTCAGCCAATCCCATTAGCGCCCTCATGTGGACCCTTTCATGACAGAGAACTCACAGAAGAGAAAAAAAAATAAAATCAGCTATTAGGCAAAAGTTCCCAAAAGTTCACATTACAGTACTGTTAAGTCTCATTAGACAAAACAAAAAATACAAAAAGGCAGAGAGAAAAAAGCTTACACTCAATCACCATCATTTTCAATAACTATATAGGAAAAGGTTTTTCTTTGATTAGATATATTATCATCATTAACATCATAATTATTATGATTATTATTAATCATTATTGTCACCATTGTCATCCGTTTTTTTTTGTTGAGGGATCAAACGGAGTAGAAGGGCGGGGAATCAGTCACTGGGACGAAGCCTTGGTAGCTATTGTGGAGACGCAGTGCTGCTGGAAGTTGGGGGACATGGCGGAGTTGCAGCCCAGTCTCTGACGGGGGCCCTTCAGCCCGCCATCACCCTCCACGATCCAGGGGCTGCCGCCGGCCTCCTTTCCCAGCATGCTGCAGCAGCCGGGGCTCGGCGGGGCGGCGTTGGGTACCGTGGCGCTCACTGGCAGGCCTTTGGGCTGCTCGCTGGCGGGGGCGAAGTCCGGGTTATGGCTCTGAAGCACGCTGGTGATGTGGTTCAGGAGGTCATTGAAAAACTCTGGGACCCCCTCATAGCCTGAGCACATTGGGGGGGTGGGGAGAGACGGTCAGTCAGTTTAGCTAATTGACCTTTATGGTCACAATGTTCACTCGGGTTCACACTTCACATGCAAAGGTTCCTTCATTTTAGGAACAGTATAAAAGACTAGCAAATAAAACCCAGTGCCACCGTGTGGATCGCAGGCGGCACCTACCAGGGAATGCATTGATGTCAATGACGGCATGTTGGCCCGTTTGGTTGTTGATGATGACGTCGATGCCAAACAGGGACACGCCCAGCGCCTGCCGCAGTGACCTGGACAACTCTCTGATGACATCATCACTGGGTGGCTGAGATACTCCCTCTACGTTCTCTCTCTAAGATGAAAAAAAAAAAAAGGTTACAACGTTAAATATCACCCAAGACAAAACTACAAAGTCCCAGTGGACAGCAGTCCGGGAGGTGTGCACGTACCGTGGTCAAGTCCGAGGAAGATTCTGGTTTCGAGACATTGTGGCTGTTGAAGAAAATGGCTTTCCTGTCTGAAAAGGAGACAAGGGAGGGGGGGGGAGAGAAGAAAAGAAGGTGAAGAGGTGTGACTAGATGCTTTCCTAGTGCAGTCATCTACACGCAGTCCTGATGTCGGGCAGCAGGTGGCAGCAGAACCCAACTGGTTCCATTGTGCAATGAGGCAACCAGAGCAGGTCTTTATTTACGGATTTTTAGCACCTGGTGTAAACAAACAAACAGAAAACCAAACCACCCAGATGTGATGCCTCCATATTTAACCCTCCCACCAAGTCCCTTACAAACAACTCTGCACGTAAGTTGTTTTGGACCATCGGTTTTCTTTGAAGCAGTGATGAATGTGACAAGAGGAACTTCCGAATTTATTGTCCCGTTTTATTTGTTGCCGTTGTGATGATTCATTTTACAGAGTATTTTGATTAAAGGAAGTCAGGTTGGAAAAAAGTAAATTACGACGGTATCCAAATAAATTTTCACCTATCAACTTGTAGAGATGTTAAGACATGTGGGCGCGAACACAACCCGAGTAAGCATTTGGGATACGACCAAAAGGTAAATTATCTAAACTGAGTGACCGTCCCTCCCCACCCCCCCAATGTGCTCAGGCTATGAGGGGGTCCCAGTTTTTCAATGTCCTCCTGAAACGCATCACCAGCGTGCTTCAGAGCCATAACCCGGACTTTGCCCCCGCCAGCGGCAGCCCAAAGGCCTGCCAGTGAACAAACAGCAATTTAGGTTGACAGAAGCACGGGGAAGAATGTCTCCCAAAGCACTACTTCCTGCTGCTCTATCCTCATTCATCTAGTCTTTGCCTCCGCTTCGCCCGACGTACAGCTCCGGGCTGCAGACCGCAGTGAACTAACTCGCCGTGCAGATGAAGCAACGCGGCTGGTTTCTTTTTGCGCTTTTCTGCCGCGGGCTAAACTGACACCGCTCCTCTCTGCAGCGTTATGAATAACAGTCCACTACACTGATGGGGAAACTGCTTTGCATGAGGGCCTCTTCCGTATCACATGCAAATACCGAGTCATTTCTGCTAGGGGACAACAACGTGTTGGAAGTTGCATCATGGGTAAGGCTTCTGACATGTTTATGGAGAAAAAGTCCACGCTTTATATTTTTAATAGCATCAATAGGGCAAAGCCCAATGGCACTTTGGTGCATCCCTTAAAAGCGTGAATAGGTCCAATCACAGGGACAATAAAGCCATCTTATTAGCTCTTTTATTGGGTTATTGGGAAAGGCCGTGCCATTTCCACAGTTTGCCCAGTGTGCAAGCCCTTAGATATGTCTGTCCATCTGTCTGTCTGTCTGATTACTCACCTGCCGGTCCAGCAGGAAAGTTCTTCAGTGAAGGTCTCTCAACCACGGTGTAGGAGTCTCCCACCACAAACACCTTGTAAAGCACGGCATTATGGTTGATGAAGCTCTGGATCACACAAGGAGGCTTAACGTCCTTCAGGTCCTCTTCACTGAAGACAATGGCCATCTGTGGACAGGAGACCGCAGAGTAAATGACACGCCTGAATATGACCATCAACGAAAGTAGTGGTGCAAACCAACATGGATAGTTAATTCCTAACTTAATTCAATGCCAGTGTGGAGGAATGAAGATGGGTGGTATTTTATTAATTTGGACTTGAGTTAAAAGGTGTAACTGCTCAGACAAAGCAAATTGTGGAGGGTGTGAATGACCTTTGACACCTGTGGCCTCTTACCTCGTGGGAGTTGGTTCCATGAGCCACCCGTGTTTTGCAAACTGAAGAAGGGCAAGAAAAAAACTGAATTATTCAGTCATCTACATGAATACAAAATATCTCACACTTAAATATTTTCTTACACATCAAAGGTCAATACAGTAATAAGAGTATAATTAGGGGTCAAACGTAAAATATTAGGTATAATTAACGTTTAGCGAATATATATTTTTTATTTAGGTCCTCAATATCTAGAGGCAAAAAAAAAAAGAAACCACTCACTGAAAGGGAATGTGAGTCCTTGTCTCTTGATATGCTCCAGCACATCTGGGCTGCACTCTGTGTTCAGGACCATGAAGGGAGGAGAGCAAATCCTTTCATCTGACAAAAAAAAACAAGAAAGTAAAAAAAAAGGTCTTCAATTTCCTTATCTGCACTTTAATTCAGGTACACCACACCCGGCGTGATGGTGGAAGCCAGGGTCCAACCCTGTCTGAGCCCCGGTGATGGGAGTGCGGGGGGACTGAACGGGGGTGTCCCCGTCCACCGGAGCGACCGCACGCTCCCTCCGCAGCCTGCTGGCGGCGGAGAGGACGAAGAAAGGTGGCGAGCCGCTTTTACGCCTCTTCCATCAATGCGTAATTGACAGGAGCTGTACTTCTTCCCTCTACGGATCAACATACGGTCTCAATTGCCCAAGATGCCATCAGTTATATGTCATTTAATTTAAAATAATAATGCTGAAGTAGCAGCCCCTGAGGCAATTTGTCCCATTTTAATCCATAGCCTACTTAGGAGTTGATGAAAGAAAAGGACCAGACCACCAAAACTAAAAAAATAAAAAAACTGCTCAGAAGCTGTTCAACATGGGGAGCAGACGAGTCTCCCGAATATACAGACGCACCTTGTTTAATTTGGCACAAAAATATTTATTTAGGTTTCATCATTGTGCCGAGTTTAGACAACAAACACAGCAGAGGCCATCTGAGGCCCGGGGGGGACAAATGACTCCTTTTCCAATAAATAAAGCAGAAAGCTGCCAGGCCCTTCTGCTCCTCTCAAAGAGCACACAAACACCCACACAGGAAAATGCTGAAATACAGGAAGAAACACGACGTAGGAACTATAGAGAACAGGTCGCACCAGCTGAGGACATTATGGAGTCATCCGATCCACCGAGGAGTTTGATTGACTGCTCTCTAGATGCCCAAACGGGTTAAATCCCTCAAATTCCACCTCCACCATGTTTTTATATCGTGTCGGGTTGTTTGTTTCTTTCCATGACATTCTTCCTTTCTTTTTTTTTTCTTTTTGCAGCACATCCTGCAGCGGCTGGTCTGTCAGTTCCGGTACGGCTGAACATCGCAAACATCCTGCAGCCCACGTCAGATTTCCCCTCTACGTCATGCACATGGGGCAGATAAGCCAGCTGGTTGGAGATATCACTGAAGAAAATCAGCGAGGCGGCCAAACCAAGAGCTGGCAAAATGCTAATGACAAAAAACACAATAGAAACACGCCGGTCATTGTGTACTGTGGGCAGCAGCAGCAGGGCTCTGTGCTCCCACTGGTGCTGAGGTCAGGGGAATCTCATTTGCCTACATTAGGTCCAGTGCTGAGTTTTGCACTCTGGGTGAGCACTGGGCCCCGCTGACATCTACAGCTCCACACAGAAACCAGATCGTGCAAACACACAAAACGTTTGGGGGGGAAACCCCACACGCGAAAAGCTGATGCGCAAGGCGAAAAAGGCGACAAGGCAGCACACGCACAGTGGAGCAGTGGAGGTGATGTTGTAAACGGGCATCAGAGCTTTTAGAACGGCATCTAGGATCAACTGGATATGGGATTATCACTGACATTTTTAGGCACACTCTTTGGATTTCACCTCTACAAAAAGTGGTTTTAAAATACTCCAGCGTCCCTTACTTACAACCTGTTTGAGCGTCAAACGATTCTTGCAGCAATGTTGACATGTTTTAATATCTCTACAAGGACTTTGATGAGGCCAATGCAGTCAGTCGGTAGAAATGACCCAAGACATAATAACCTGCAATAACCCTTCAAGTATTTCCACTGTGTGGGTGAGCGCTCCAGTTTAAGAACTGCTCCACTGCAGCTGAACATGTGCTCTGACCACAACGTACCAAACTAATTTCCTAAAGGAACACTCATTTTCCCTTCAAAAGGGAATACATCTGCATCTCAATCTGATCTAGCATGGTTTAAAGGTTTCAATTTCTTTTGCTGTTACATGACAGATGAGCACACAATACCCGTATTCTCCCTCACAGGCGAATACTTGTTCCGCAATCAGTGTGCAGCTGGGTCTAATCCAGCGAACCAGTCACTTTTGGGAGAGTGAAGCCTGCAGGGTTAGCCGTCAGTCTTCAGCGCGCTGGTTACAGCCACGCTTGCCACACTGCTGTTATGTTACCAGGACGGGAATAGAAGCATAATGTCTCTCGGAAAAAAACAGTCTGCTAGAGAAAACATCCCCATTATATCAAATAATTCCTAAAGTCTGATGCAGTTACGTTTTGTTTTACAAAAATACTAATAAGAATCTAAACCTTGTCAAACAGAAAACATGTCATCCTCCAAGTTAAAGATGTATAATAAAGAGACCAGGGAATGGTAGATTAAGTTTGTAATAGCATGCATTCTTGCCGCTTTAGGGATGAGAGGATCAATCTCTGGCTCTGTCTAAACACTGCATGCACACAGCAGACCCAGCGGAGCCGAGGACGACTTTTACGGGACTTCTCCGTAAGGTGCTTTTTAGAATGCCATTATCCAGTTACACTGCTTTTTTTGTTTCGTTCCCTTTTTTTTTTTAATCTCGTCGGGACATCCGCTGTGCAGCCCGCCATCTGTCTGGGCGGTTACGTCATAATCACGCATGCCAGGATATTAACTGCAATCTTCTAGGCAACAACGTGTGTGCCTGAGAACGGACAAGAGAAGAAATACGTTAACAGGCTGTTGTAACACCCAAGATTCAGCTCAATTCTTCCCTCTGGTTTCGTGCATTAGCGCAGAGAACGGCACGGTGCCAAGTTATGTTCAGCTTCATAAAATGTGCTGGTGTTTAGGTGGAAGGCTCCACTCTTCAGTTGCTATTTAGAGCTTGTTTCCTTGAAACTCCAGCATCCTTTCTTGCACTCTGCTTTCTCCGCGCACACACACACACACACCCCACCAAGAAAATCAGCAGGATTTTCAAAATTTGAAAATCAACCTCCAAAAGGGTGTATGCTCTTGAGTGCAATGCAATTGTTAATGATGCGCTGTGAGAGATTTAAGCTTTCAATTACAATTATGACTCAAATCCTATTTTGATGATATATTCATCATTTAGTGATTGAGATAATGCACTTTCATATCAGACAGGATGGTAATATCTTATCTATCTAACATCGTTGGGAAGTCCTGCCTGCTCACGGGACTTGGATGACGGTTTGGCTTTTAAAATTTTGCAGCTACGATTAAATAGTGATCAATTGCAAACACACTTCTTCCGTTGGTTCTCGCAGGGACTTAAAAGTGACATGGAAATAAAAAGGCAAAAGGTCTCAGTTTGATCCAAAGGAATCCCGCTTGTATTCAGAGGAAGCCTTTTATCCTTAGCTGGAGAGGAATAAGCTGAAAACATTGAGAGGATTTGTTTTATAGAATAGTTGACTTGACAACGGTTTCTGTCTACAAAAACAATCCAAGATTTCCAAACTCAAGCACACACACACACAGGAACCAGTAGATTCCACTAGGTACTGTAAACAGTTGCTCTGGCTAACATAGGAATCACAAAACAGAGTCAGACAAGCACCTTCACAACCAAGGATCAGTGACACGGATCTGGTAGTGCTCTGGCTAGTTTCTATTCACCATGTCGTTAAGATGAGCCGATTCTTGAACTCAAGTTTAAATCCATATTACCAATTCAGATTATAACAGCTGAATGCACGGCGACTGGGGCTATTCAACGTCGAGAGACCACTTAAGTGTCAGAAGAAGGTTTCCAGTGAAAGCCCGAACGCACCTCAAGTGCATCCTTCTATTGAGTACTATTCGGAGTAATGCAGACTTCAGCATGGCGAGCTCTCGGTGGCCTCCAAGTACCGCGTTGCCTTGGCAGCCGCTTCTGGACTCCATGGCCTCTGCTGATAAGGAGGAGGAAGTGCCCGCGCCTGAGAAAGCTAGCTAGACTTTCAACACTCTCCCTCCCCTTTCCCTCTAAACTCTCAGTTCCAACTGAAGAAAGGCCATTCATCCTCAGCCTCATGCCGTTTTCCCTACAATCACCGTGGTGTGGTGTAGGATTAAAATGGCTTACACTCCATGCTTGTGTCTAAACGTCCCACATTTGTCAGGGTGGTTTGGTATGCAAGCCTAAGAGCACCACTCGCATTAATGGCAACAGAGTGCCGAGAAGGGGAAGAAAAAAAAAAGGGCTTTCTATAAGTGAGCCGTCCTCCTCCTCAAAGCTAACGCACACATTAATAAGACAGTGATGCAGCTTAAACTGTTATGCAACAGCCATCATGTCTGTTTGGATGAAAAGAGGTCTCCTTGTGGTTCTATTTTGAGAACCTAATGACTCTGCCGAGATGCCGAAACGCCTCTGATCCGTCGCTATGACACCAAAACGAGGCCCCTCAAAGAGTCACGGACAATCAGTAAAGTAATACTTAAAAGGTTTATGTTCCCTGCCTGCCATGTACGGGGTTACAGTAAATGTGGATGAGTCACAGGTGTGTTTACAGTGCGTGTGGGTTGGGAATGCGTTCCTGTCGTCATTGCCTTTCCCCGCCGCCGGCCAAAAGATATTTCTCGCTGATTAGTTTATGGTCTGGGTGACAAAGGTGTTGGAGTGAGTTGGAGAGGCCATTTCTGATCCATCAGGGGGAAGCCTAAACAAGAGCCCCGTTTATACTTGGTTCTGACAAGGGGAGATTGAGAAGTGCATTTGTGGTATGAAAAAGAGGAGGAGAGGAAATTATGATATCAGCTGGCGAGGATTAAACATCTGCTCGGAAGCATGGACCAACATGATTAATAAGAGGCGACAGCGCTGTCGGGTGTTATCCATGTGTCCCCTCCGGAAGGGAAGCGGAAACACAGGATCTGCAGCCACGACTGCCTCACGCAACACGTCCAACGACATCAAAAGGGTAGTGTGCATGAAATAAACAGTTTGTATTTACATTACTGTATTTGACAACCTTTGTTTTTATACTCTATTGAGGACTGGGAGAGAAACAGACGTTCATGGTGTTCAACACTTAAAAGCTTGGTCGCACAGTAAAGTGACAGCAGAAAAAAACCTCAATTAAATAGAACCGTAAATTATGAAATCATTTCTTTAACTGGTTTGAGAATCCGTTCACTTAAATGGAAATTTTGAAGTCTTCAGTTTAGTGATCAATCAATGGGATGGACACTTCCATCGATTACGCGGCGTAATTCAAGAACGTCAGTGACTTCACTGGTGCTGCCATCCTACCTTGCATGCAACTCTCTATCCTGTGGATGAGCTGGTAGGACTTGCAACGATCCAGCAGAGTTCGGATAGCTGGAAGGGGATCCAGGACGATGGTCTCCGGGTGGGCATCAATGTAGTCCTGAAACAGAGAACATTCATCGTAGAACATTAAAACACTTTCCATTTACTAATTTCTTACACAAAATAATATCAAACAAATATATAGAAAATAAACCACCACAAATATAGAAAGCCTGCACACTGAGGTTTCACAATCACAAGCAACCATCTGCCGTGACACAAGCACGGATTCATCCTTACAGATGAGGAAGTGTTAACATATCAAAGTAGACAAACAACCAAATCACTCCTCCTTCATGAGCGAGTGAGCATGAGATGCCCGCGGCTCTGTGTAGGTTACTTCACTATGTCTCGGCGTGGCCGGCCGTTTTGGTCAGCCTGGGGTCTGCTACTTTACGTAACTTCCCTCCCCGTCTTTGCTCTTGTTTGCTCCGCTCTTGCTCCGTCCCCACACGTCCTCCTCTCCACTGCGCAGCTCTCCTCGCTCACCGCATTTTCATCTCGGCTCTGTGGATTTCTGTGACAACGATTTGTCCCGACTCACAAACTTCTCCAATGGAGCCGTCTGGCCTGCTCCTTACAGACGGCTCGTCACACCGCAATGTAATTAAGATGCGGAAACATCACTCTGACTCGCCTCCACATGGAGAACCTGTGGGATTCGCAGGGATCGCTGATCAAAGCCATTTGAGTGGTTATGTAAAGCAAACACGCTTCCGGCCAAAAATAAATCCAAACTAATCTTCCAGGAGTTCAGACAATACTGGCTTTACTCTGCTGAGAAGAACTGTCCCTTTTTTTCTCAGAATAAGAAACCTTTAAACACAGTCAACGAGGGGGAGCTGGAGTGGAGAAGAGCGGCTGGCAGGTGAAGAGCCAGACGGTAGTCAGGGTGGGGGGGTTAGCGAGTGGCGTCAAGGCCGAACACTTTGTGTTCGTTTTTTTAGGGGGGAAACCCCCTCCTCCCCAGCAGAATATGGACAGTAATGGACTGAATCTGGGCCACCGGTTTTAAACTATGTTCGTTATGCTACAAGGAATCACTTCTATGAAAACACAACCAGACGGGGGGGATTCCCCACATCAGCCCGAGGGACAGAACGCATACTTAAGCACAACTTTGCTTGTAGCACCTATAAAGGCACAAAGATAATACAAAAAAAAAAAACAGATCTTCAATGCACCTAATCACACAGCTCAAAAAAACATCTAACAATAGATGTAAGCCATCCTGGCCGGATATTTTGTTTAAAATAAAAAAGTATTTTAGAGAAGGCTAATCCACTTTGCCCCTGAAGATTTTTTAAATTAGTTTCAGAAATGCGCCTCTGCCTATATCTCAAAAGAAAATGCAATCACAGAAGACAGCTGTGTTCACGTAAAAAGACACACACTTTAACTGGTGAGCTAAAGAATGACAATATTGGAGTTCCTTTAATAAAAATTGAAAATAAAAACGTAAGAGCTGTAACCTATGATTCTGAAGCACACAAAGGTTATAATTTGACATGCTTTCCGTTCCACTGTGTGTAAAAGTTAGGCTTCTATGTTTTAAAACTACTAAGGTCTTTTTTGTTGTCAAGGTGTGTCCATTTGGCCCAAATGAATCAGAGTACCATAAAAGTGTGCAAATGCATTCATGTGTTAATATTTTAACCAGGTTCTGTTTTGTAAGTGATTGCTGCACTGACATCCTGTTTGTCTTTCCTAAATGAGCAGTCGGGAGGAACACAGAATTGCATGACGTTGATAACGATTACAGCTCCTCTGAGTCATATAATAGAAAGAGAGCGCTACAGAATACGTTTTCACACATCTAAAACACTGCACCAGCTTTCTGCAGTGTGTTCTCAGTGTCCCATTTGGAGCTGTGACCTGCTGTTGGTGTGAGACTCTTTTACACCAGAAAGAACAAAAAAAGCTCTCTTGGAATTTAAAGTCAGCGCACTTAAGTTCAATCAAAGGTTTAATAGCTCATCATCAAATATAGCTGCTGATGTCCTTTATGTTCAGCACTAAGCAAACTTTTTGGTCCCTCTGAGTCTTTAAACTGGCATATTTACATGTAAGAACAAAAATGATGGAATCCATAAACGTGTATCGCCTGCAGTGCGCTTACTATCTCTAGAACTTTTCTCTTCATTTCAGGTGTATCTGAAGAGCTCAGCTAAAGTCCCATATCATGCATGATGACAGCAGCTGGGCCATGGGATCACTGGATAAGGTTGTGTTTGAGATCGGGACGGGGTACTTTTGGAAATCCTTTGTGACAACACTTGAGCAATATAAACATATTTAGCGGACAGCAAATATTGAGAACCGCCCATCCCTGCCCATCCCTGTGTCGTTAGGCCTCCGTACTTGTGTTCTTCACATTACCCACAATACTGAGTAGGGGGTGAGGGGGGGGGGCATACCTGTACTCTTTGCACCAACAGCACAGCCTGGGAGTCATTCTGGTCCGCCTCGAGGATGAGGTCGGTCAGTTTGTGGATGATGACGTCCAGGGGACCCTGCTCCTCCAGAGGCTGGTTGAGGTCCAGCTAAGAAGAGAAGGAAGGCCATCGGTTATGGAAAACAACAACTCAGGTATTCATTTCACATATTTAGAAATGGTTAACCAAAACAATCATCCATAAAGAGCCCCCCCCCCCCATTTAAAAACAGAAGAGAGTATGCAAAGCTTCAAAAATGACAACATTGATAGATTAGAGCTCAAAAATGATCAATACAAAATAAAATAATTCTGAATTATTCTCGTATTACATTCTCGTATCCTCCATTTTAGATTGGTACCGGTAGACAGCTGTGACAGTGTTGCATCTCTCTTATGTGTCAGACAGGGTGAGAAAAAAAAACTAGAGCATGTTCTCACATGTAGTAGCAAATTTTAGTCCGCAATGAAAAGAAAATGTTGTGGCCTCAAGGCACTTTCTTGTTTCTTGTCCTTTTGAGTTGTATGCTTATGGTTGAAATGCAATGATTGTCGCTTTCGATAAAAGCGTCAAGTTAAACATTTCCCCAAACCCACCTGTACCGGCTTAAAAGTATTGCTGCCTGCAGTTAGTGGACAAAGTAAAAAATAAAAGCGTACTGCTCAGTCCCACTACATTCATCCTATTTGCATGTAACAAAGGGAAGAGGGAAGCATTTTATATGTATCGGGTCTGCTTCATTTAACTTCTACTGTGCATGCACCGGTGCACTGGAAGTGTACTTGACTAACTATTTAATAAATCTGGGATTGTCCTCTTAATTTATACTCTTAATCTGACAATACAAATTGAATAATCTCGCCACCCCATCTCCTAGTTCTGCTCTAGGAAGCAACAATAGAGAACTATTCCAAATCAATCTCTTCATTCTTTTATTCATAGCTCTGGCGTTGGTGCAGCCACAGTTTATGTCGTATTTCTTTTGAATTACACAATCAGGATTTATTTCTGGCGTCAGCTATTTCACTCAGAATTGCAAACATTCTCTCCCTCTGGCCAGGCTTCTAGCCTGAGCATTGTCAACCGGCGCAAATTAGCACTTGTTTAAAGTTTACCGCAACTGAAAGACACACGAAAGACAAGTCTTCAGAAGTAGTCAAAGCAGCTCTCCGAGTGCGATAGGATTTATCTAGGTCAGCGCCTGCACACACAAAACATGATAGAGGAGAGATGCTGGGCTTTGGCAACAAATATTGCTGGTGAGATGGCTCAGTGCAATTCACTGAAGGCCTGTGTTCTGTCTGAAGGTGGCCAGTGTGAAGGGCCCAAAGAGTTGAGTCGTTGACAACTTTTACAGTTAAATACACAAGGTTGCTTGGAGTTGTTAGCCAAGCTAAACGAATGCTTTTAGAGGTACGGTTGTGGGAAAGGACAGAGACCAACAACAGCCTTCAAAACACGGCTAGGTGTACCATTACCAAATACGTAAAAGCAAATTAGGAGAAAAAAAATGATCATAGCCTAAGGATTTGTGACAGGTTGCGGTTGTTTCGAATTACACAAGCATTGAATACAATGAAATCACAGGACAAAGAGACAGTGAATCTGAAACCAGAGCAAACCCAACAACATTGTCCCCAAGGCTTGTCAAATAGATCTGATTGCTTAGGTTGCAGCGCTGCTGTTGCGTAACGTGGTGACTAACTCGTCCGCTTATCGGCCAACGGGGGATCACCTGATCATCACAGACAAAAGACAATTCAGCAGCACATGTATACAAATAAGCCCGAACAGGGCAGGACCCCACACTGTCCTTTGTACTGTCCAGTTAATACGCAAACCAGGAGGGGGGCACACCTTAGTCACACTGGTACGGATCAATGCAGGCACAGTAAAACTGTGCATAGCTTCAGCCGGTTAAGGCTTGGCCACAATCAACCTGTCAGTTCAGAACATTTCCTGGTTAATAATTGTGATGGATGGATGACTAATAAGCTCAACCTTGAACTGGTGCTGAAAAGTCAAATCGCACACAGTTGTAAATGTGTTCACAGGAAAGAGCAAATGTAGGTTTAGGTTCTACTCACATCAGAGACCAGTATGTTTTAAAAGACATGTATTAAGGTTTATTGTTCTCATTAATCTTGCATGACATTTACGATACACAGCATGCCACCATTCAAAGAAATTGCAACACACCCTGCAACGTGCAAGTCTAGCCATAGTTCCTTAGGAGCTCATTATGCACGACACATCAACTAGGTTACGTTTGCAATTGAAAAGCGTGTTCACAACACAGCATTCGTCTTTCCCTGCCCATCTGATGTGGTCGGCTCTCATTCTCCACCGTGCTCCATTCCTCCTGCTTGTCAAAACAAGCCCGTCTGCTCTAGAGTAATATGCCAACACGAGCGGAAAAAATGTATGCTAGGCAAATTACGACGAAAATATCTAGTCACCCTGGCAGCTTTGCAAGAATTGACACATCGAAGCGAGTGCATGTGTACTACACGGTAAATGTTGCTTTGTATTTATGGCATATGCAAAAGGCAGCGGCTGATTTAGGTTTGAGCCACTAGACATAGACCTTTTGGTGACTCGGTGTCAAAGCAGTCCAGCCAGTTTAGCATACATCGCGTGGTAGACAGGAGCATGGCGCATGGCATATGCATCCAACACAAAGCTATGACCTCAATAGCGGCGTCGTCGCTCATAAAATGCGTCGTCACCGGCGGATAAGCTGTGACTGGGTCTGTAACACAGAGAGCAGCGGTGGTGACACCGCCTTGGCGCAGTGGGTACTTTTTCTGTCTAGTATCCGCCGCGTGGAAGGGAATGTGTCCGTACTCTGCTGAAGCATGGCTGCTAATCTCTTGCTTGCTCAACACAGAGGGCGTTTTAATATCCCCCCCCCCCCCCCCCCCCCATCCACAGACACGGGACCCTACGTCGTTGGGGTCAACACCCACCGGCAAAGCCGCTCGCAGAGGATGACATTCTCCTCTCCCCGTGCGTAGACAGAATGACCTCGCTTTAGAGCTCATCCAAAAAAACCAGCAGTGTCCTGCTAAATGCTAAAAGCAGAAATGTCAGCAGACTTCTTTGCGAGTCCCCCTGGGACCGAGTGCTCGCAGGGATCCACGTGGTGATGGACGGCAGAGAAAACAGGCAAGATTCCGGTGGGATAGGGTGGGTCAGGGCCAATATATTTTCGGCTTTGATGTAGCTCCAGGGTGGGCTCAAGCTTACGCTCCAGGGAAATTTAAGAATGATAATTTTGAGCAAAGAGCAGGGACAGAGCTCCCACGCGTACTCCCACAGTTTTTAAATTGTGTACAAGTATGGTGAACACAAACACTATTGTCCCCGTGTGTCTCTGTGCCTGGCGAGGTTTCAGCACGGAGCGGCTTCATCCCTCTAGGTGTCTCTTTTCACGTTCTCCTCCGCCGAATCTAACCTCACCTGCTTTCGCCTTTCCCTGCTAGGAGGCAGAAATGTGATGGGGGATTCATTTTGGATGGTGTATGGCGGTCGACGCCCTGGTCTAGTGAAGCGTGAAAGAAACTGTTGTCGGACACAAACGGCAGCTGTTGGCCACACAAAGTACAAGCCTAAACATGATCATGAATCTAAAAAACGCTATGGAGGAACAAAATGGAGCTCATTAAGCCAATGTCTGTCTCCTTAGCACTGCTGACTATGTTGAGCAATGAAAGTTTAAGAGGCAACTGCCCTAAAACCATTAACATTAACATTTTGGGGAGTTGGATAAATCTCAAGGAACAAAAAAAACAATTTGAGAATAATAAAACTGGAACTCAATAACTTTCTTTGAAGAGCCCACTCAAATGATGCGATGGGTTTCCTCTCGGAGAGCGCACAATGTCTTACTCAAGGACGAGCCAGTTTGATTTAATCTCTTCAGCTGTGAGTCAGACGAGCTAATGCAGCGAGCACCGGGAGACGGGCTCTCGTGAGCTCACGGCTAAGGGGTCAGTATTGATGAGATGCAAAAAAAAGAAAAATCGCTAAGAGGAGGAACTCTGAAGGGTGAAAAAGAAAAGAAAGTAGGGACAAGGTAAGCGCAATAATGGGTTACTTAAATGAGTTAAAGGAGAAAAGATGCTTGAGGCGAAAGGAGCCATCATGTAAACTCAAACAAAAGAACCATCTGTTCGGTCGTGACGGGCATACATGTAGATGGTTTCCCACACTAGAAATGGAAATATAAAATGAGCTCCCTGGGGCTGCCAGATTTAGAAAAGATCTTTTCACACAGGGTGACATCATAACCACTTTCAACTATCTGGAGGATCAAATCTCCCGTGGCAAATACCATATGTCGCTAAATGGAGGTTCAATGTGAAATTCCTATATCCATTTTTTAATTGTCCAGTTTAGTTTTAGTAAAAAAAATTTTTAATCAATTAAATTGAATTCATTTTATTTTGAAGAACCCAAAATTGCTGTAAACATGCAACATCCTCTGTCCCGAAACCCTCACATCGGCACAGGAGAAATTCCCCCCAAAAATGAATGAATTAAACTGCTGAGGGTTTTATGAATTAACTGATCATTTGGTCCATAAATGTCAGGAAAAGAAAAATGGCCAACAGAATGTCTCAATAACCCAAGGTGACATCTCGATGCTGTCCACAGGTTCCACCGATCAGCGACTTGTTTCAGGTCTCGTACGCAGCAATTGTTCGGAAAAGAAATCTGTGTGTTTCCAACATAAAACCAACAAGTGAATTAGGTAGTAATAAGGCCGTAAACAGCATAAACTAATAGTTTATTGTGACAGAAGAAGTCGAGGATAAACGTATCCTTGGATATCTGAGGGTGAGTGTTTATCGTCGAGATCAGCTAGTCGTCAGACCGCAGGGACAAGGTTGGTGATTCAATAAATCTGAACATATGTTCTACTCCAGCCTTCGAGAGAAGGTTAAATAGACCTGATATCCAGATAGCAGACGTACTCTCTCCCACCCCTTAAGCTGAACAAAATCAATAGAACATGAACACCTAATGGGCAGTGAAACACAATTTCCATTTTGATACAATTGTTGACACGGTTTAGATGAATGTTTTCCCTCCATGATTTCTCTTCACTACACAAACATCTGTCATTACGACACATATCTTTGTCTCTCAAAAACACGTTTCTTCTTTGTTCATTCAAATGTGGTCTTCAGTAGGATTGGGCATACACTATTTGGTCAAATATTTACAGGACCTGCAGGAGAATATATTTAGTTTTAAATCATCTGGGATTAGATATTGGTTCCTTGACTGCAAAATAACCGACTACTATAAAGTCTACGGGTTACAACGGTTACCATTATCTTTGCTTGTGAAGCAACTGTGACAGTACAGACACAGACCGGCACTGGGTGCATCTCGGGTGTGAATTCAGGAATACTTCTGGTTAAGCAAAAACTAAGGAAAGGTTGCGCTGATTTATGGGAGAAAAAGAGAAACGTTGGGCAACAGGTAGTCCAGGGAAAAGAGTTACGGGGAAGGCCGGAGGGCTGTTCAGGCCCCTGGGGGCCCCCAGTCGAGAGTTTGAGAGGATCGACTCTCCCAGGGGAGACTGAATGCACAGTGGGAAACAAAGCCCTGCTTACTTTGGGACTATTCCCAGGACAAGGCTCTTTGTGGGTGTGCTGATATCGTTAGCACAGCCAGAGGAAAAAAATAACCTCAAAGCAAAAGGGAGGAGGAAAAAAAGTCCCCCCGTCTGAGACAAGAAGACAACAGACAGGATTTAAAACAGGGAAAACAGAGCAAGATGCTGAGAGAAAAAAAGGTAGGACTTTTTTTGTCCTTAAACTACGGAAAGCACTTTAACTGACAAGCTGTCAACACTGAGCTCCCAGAACAATTATTATGCTGCTACGTGTGCGGTGTTTACTCGCTCAATGTAATGTGCTGCGTCCAGTATCCATTGATGACAGGAGACGTTTTTATCGGAACATGCAGCCCTCTTTTACTTGAGCTGAGCAATTACTGGAGATGGAATTTCTTGTAGTGCATCCACAATATACAAAAGACACAAAGAGTGTAATTAGTCATTTGTTGAAAGCCGTAGCGGTTGACTACTACAATTATTACCAAGCTTTTTAGAGTTTCGACCAAAAACAATTAAACTAATGGCCCGCACAGAAGGAGTAGCTACTGCCCTGATAAGAGCCCTCAACAGTGGCCACACTGTGCGGAGATTTATTAAACCACACCTTAAAAGGGATGCAGTCACACTGAAAATAGCAACATTGTTACCAACATAAACTTAGTATGTATTAAGCAACACCGTTTACAGTAGAAATCTTGAAAATGTATGGGGGGGGCGGTTGGTTTAACCTCTGCCTCACGTAATCAACTCTGAGTAGAATTCTGTATCAACAGGGACACAATAGAGGATAAAAAAAACAGTATGATACAAAACAAAATGTTTGCCCACTTACCTGAACAACTTCAATTCCTCTTTTCCTGCAAAATAAGACAAAAGTAACGGTCATTCATTTTCAAATCCAGTCATCCATAGACACTGCCACGCATCAACAGTACCTCCACTAAAACATGAAAGACATTTCTACATTTCCGTGTAAGTGACACAGCTGGCAGACCTGCTCACTGAGGCTATAGTAGATGCTGGGCTCGCCAGCACTAAACCTACATTTATTTTTTACTTTCATGAGATACATTACACGCTTTGTGAAATATGTCTTTGCATCTGTCGCCCTCACTGGTTCTTTCCTTTATCATGTGACGGTTTCTTTTACTCTAACTTTGCTATGTACATTTCAGACAAAGGTTCCTCTCCAGAAGTCTGCCTTTGCACCCAATCAGGATCAACTTTATCAGAAAACAGAACCCAACGCCACACCGCGGTGGCCAATCATGGGCCCTTTAGGAAACACAACCAACGCTACTCGCAAGAACTTCTGTTCTAATATGAATCAGGCTATGAGGGAGAAAACAAACTCCCTGTGGATAGTTAGACATGAGTAACACCTGGGAAGAAAAAATCAAAACAATGAGTAAAGAATTCTGTGTTAGCAGCACAGCAAAGTGAAAACACAATAATCCCATTTCACAGCTCGAGAATATCGTACTTTTAAGAATCAGCACAGAAATACTGGTCTTTGTATTAAAAGCTGTTGCTTGGCAACCAGCAGACCCCTCGACGAACAGAGGTGGCAGAGAAGACCATGATAACATAGGGAAGCAAAACACCGTAGACATGTGGCCCATGGACTTAAACTGAAGTACTGAAGCCAGCTATTTAATTCACAATGAGCACAACACCAGTCCAGCTCCACAACCCACTCGGCCCGTTCAGCCCAGTTGTTTCTGAGCTAGCAGCCCCATGGTAACCGCAGTGCATCCATCCACTGCTCCACAACAATGTGGATATTTAATACTGCAGCTGGCGCCTTTCATGTGTGGATGAGGCCTTTAGTTTTGTCCCATCTCAGTTATGATTGTTTGCTCTCCTATACTGTTACACAGCCAGCAGAATGAAAGGGATGAAGGAGAGGAACTTTTTGAGTAGACTTGAAACACACAATATAGAGTGGGAATACAAAAAAAGGCAGACATTTTTTTTCTCCTAATTTGCTTTTACGTATTTGGTGATGGTACACCTAGCCGTGTTTTGAAGGCTGTTGTTGGTCTCTGTCCTTGCTTCTGACTAAATAATAGTATAATATATCCATTTAGCTGTATCACTTATCATTTATATATATGGTCAACCATAGACATGCGATCTCATGTCATTACAAAGTTTAGATGGTGATATCTTTGAGAATGTGCCATGTTAGACAGGGTTAGACAATGTAGGCCCACCAGGTGAGCCGGTTTGGGCTGTTAGAACTTTGGCCGTTCCTTGAAACCAACACAATCATTTCTTTGCATGTTAATAGATTTTAAAAAGGGTTACTTGCCTGTATAAATAATCACAGTCTTTCCATCACTGGCGTGTATATTCTATAATTTGCGTGAAAGACTACATACATAGAGTGGATGTACCTCTGTCATATCACTCTTGTTGTCCTAGGGCGGCCTTGCCTTGACAAGATTAAGTGCCAATATTTTCATTGTGTCTAATGAAGCCGGGGCTGCCTGTTCTTTGGGGAATAGCATGTTCTTTCCAAATTAGGTATACGTGAGTCTGTACGAAGCCTCTAAATGGATATGCAAAGCACGTGGGACACAAACATAATCCCATGTGGTTTTGACCAGCAGGAATCCCCTGAGTCCAGCTGCACAAGACGGGCCAGGCTACACACCGTAGCACTCAAAATGTCAGCTGTATGCCGCATGATGAAATAACAAAAACCTGTTCCGCCAGTGTCAGAGTAGCACACAGCCCCAGTCAGTTAAGGTGAAACATTCTGTTTACCAATTAAAATACAGCCAGACGAGTTAAATATAACTGCTTATATATATATATATAGTTAAGTAAAAATCAAGGTGCATAAAAATGTAATTAAAAAAGTGATATTGCCAATGAAAATGATTAGTGTACTAATAAATCTGACACACCCTTGATGATTTGTGACTCCAAGACAGGCAAAATACTTAACCTACGTGTCTTTATCAAAAAGCCACATCATTTCCGGCTTTAGTGTTTTAGTCGCTGACTAGGGAAACACAGTCATACAGTGGTCATGATCAAACATTCACTATTACATATAAAAAAGGCTTGTCTCTGTTGTTTTTCCTGTAAAACACTATCAATCTGCTTTAGTCCCCCCCAACAAATAACGAGTGTTAACACTTGGCCCCCGACCCTTTGTACTAAACAGAGCTCAGTCGAGCTCTCCGTGTGCACAGGGATTGGCAGGATGTAGGGAGGGAGCGAAGAGGGGTGTTAATTAACGGGTTATGAGGAGATTAAAAATGTTTTGTGGATTACAGTGTGGTAATCTGCGCTGGCTCAACCAGGTTGCTTTGTGAGGCAACAACCCTCATGAAATAGGTAGGAGGTAATTGCCTGCTATAAGGCGCATGGACAACACACCACACGGGACATTCTCGCAGAGTCAAATGACAGAAGACTATAAAAGTGTTTCTCCATTCACACTCACTGTTAAAACACAGAGATTGTTTCTGCTTACTGGATGACTGGGGCCAATCGTAGAGCACAGCCCGTTAGGCAATGTTGCAAATAGAGACAATTCGGCTGCTGCAATACCTTTGAGGCGTTCCCCAATCGAGCGCACTGCAAGGCAGCTATCGTAAATCAGTGAGGGCGAATTCAGTGCCCCTGAAGACCGGTCTGCTGAGAAAACTCTTGCCCTACTTTGCGACTCTTGCCCTACTTTGCGATACCTTGACTTGGCCCGAAGAAGGATAAACTACAACAAGATAACATACATACGACATTCATATAGCTGCCCCTGTCAAGAATGGGGAGGAGAAAATCCTTGATACTGTCAAAATAAACCGTTGAACCAAATAATATTTTGACTATGCATTTAGAACAATAAGTTCCTGCTTCGGAAGATAAAAAAACAAAAACAACTAGAGATAAAAAGCGAAGACTGGTCGATGCGATATATTACAACCCCCTCAAATGTTAATTCTCTGTTGGCAACAGGCAGTTTATTTTTTTTAAATAAGTTTATTCAGCAGCACACGCCTTACACTTTGCTGCTTCAGGACAATTTATGTGCTTGTCCTGTTACACAAGTGCGGTCGGCCACTGAGACCCATCCCGCTTAAAAAAACATTCCATCTTCCTCAACAGGCACTGAATCTAAGACATACCAATGAAAATGTAAAACTAAACACTTAACTGATTTGTACTAAGGGATGTTTTCACATAGCGCAAGTCAGCTTACAGACTTTATTCTATTGTATGGATGTAAGGATGTAAGGATGCAGCGAGACATGTGGATGTGTGTCTCGCTGCATCTCTTCGCTTCCATTAAACTTGGGTCTTAAATCCACACACCTGCACATGTCAGCAAACGCCTGGAAATTCAGCTTCTTCAGTTTCTTCTCGCTGAGCCAGTAGCCGACTCTCCGGCCTTTGAGGAAAGTCTGCATCTCGACCACGGTGCTCCTGGTTCTTCTCTGGAGGTAAAAAAAAAAAAGGTGCGACCGAAGACTCGACCTGAACAGACGGAGAACAGGAAAACCCACGATGTGACGTTAACGTCACGACAGTCAACAATGAACCATGGAGGAAATAGTCCAAGTTCGCCTCTCTAGTTGGAGATACGTTACGTTACCTCCCACTCGCCAGCCTCGCTGAGTGACTCCGCGTTATCTAACGTTAGTTTTGCCAAACGTAATATCGCAGTGAACGTGCTTCAGCATCTGCGAAGCACGCGTAACTAACTGTCCTCCTTGGGCTAACCTCAACTGCTAGCAGTTAGCTAGCAGGCTGGGCAGCGGCAGTTCGCGAAGCTAACCGTTGGCATGCAATTAGGAAATGTACGCTAGGCTTGCTAACGAGGTTGACTAACGTTAGCCGGCAGAACAGACCTAACTATACCAATTCAGAGTATTAAAGTTAAGAGTTAAGACGAACTACCGATGGCTAGAAACGGCTAGTTGGCTAAAAGATGAAGCAACCGTCTGAGAGGCACCTTAAACGCTACGCCAGAGAAGCGTTGGTGAGCTAGCGTTTACTAACCTGGCAATTTTAGCACAGCTCTCCACTCCCCTCCCTCCCACACCGCCTGAATCTTGTGTCCTCTTCACAGTAAACTAGCTCTGGTAGTTTCCCATTTTCGTTCCGTCCGGGGGAGGAGGAGAAGAAGAAGAAGTTTTCAAACAAGGTGACAGATGACAGGCGCAGCTGGACTCGCGTCGAGGTGTTCCCGGTCCGTTCTCCCTCTCTCGGTCTGCAGATTGAAGCGCCCGCACACACCCAGCAGCCAGGAGGTCGATGCTGCCTTCAGGAGCCCCTCGGAGAATAGCAACTCTTGAATCAGTCCTGTCCTGACGGGCCCTACATACAGCGATATCAAATGTTAAATGTAAAAGTATTTACACTGGAGAGGTTGGAGCAACCTATAAAAAACGGTTAATTTTGTATTTAACTTTGTTTTGTTTTTATTGGTTAATGGACACATAGTTTCTGTTTTACACTAGTTAACAAATGCACACGATGAAACCCAAATTTATAAATAAGTTGCTGTTAGTTATTCATTGATAGACCTGACCTAAAAACCAACATGTGTTTCATTCACCATTGGGGCACAAAAAATAACGATGGGAGTATATATATTCTCTGTTCTTTCTCTGTTCATTTATAATCTCTTCGTTGTTCATTGTGGTGCATCGTCTTTATGCGAGGCTTAACGTTTCTGTCAACCCAACACGTAAAAAGGGAAGAGAGTTTATTGCAAAATGCAGACCACTGCACCGTGAAGTTATGCACAAAACCACTTCAGATGGCACAATGAAGTGAACTTCTTCTATTGGTGCATGCTGTGGCTTGAAATATTCCTTCCAGCACAGTAATGACCGCATATACAGGGTGGGTGTCCAAACAGAGGAAAATCCCGCGGTGGCGCCATCTAGTGAAAAACTATCCAAACTACCAAAAACGCAGACACGCACTCACGCACGCACATGCACACAAAATTATTATGACAGTAAGATAATTCTAAGATATCGAACACGTGATGGAAAAAACGTGTTCGATTCGAACAAAAATAAAAACAAAACATTTCAAAAGTACACAGTCGCAGAAACTCAGAAAACTGGCCAGAGGAGGCCACGCTGCTGATTCCCCTCTGCTGAGAGACACAAGGACAGGCAATTAACATATTAAGTATGAATGATTCAACTGAATTTCATTATTTTCAGACATTTTTAGAGTGTGCTCGTTGCCTTTGCTTAACTAGACAATATCTCTCTATTGGATTTTTTAATCTTAATATAACTAATAATAGTTAATTTACCCTCATGTCTTAAATGGTCCGTTTAGTTAGTTTCTATTGTGATAATAAACCGACTGTTAACACATCCATATAGTGTGCATTAAAATGAAATCCCATATAATCTGTTTTTTCTGTTAAAATACAAAACGGAAAAAAACGTTTTTAATCCAGCAAATGCCATCATTGTATCAATCTCGACTTCTTGATAATATCATTCGCTTGAACTGAAAATCACCAACGGATTGTTTATTGGTAACCAGTAACGTCAAATTACGTCACTTCCCCCACGTGGTTTCGGGCCAAACTCCCGCCCGGAACAGTCGTTTGTCAACAGTGTCGTGGTGCTCCGTGTGTCCCGCGTGTTGCTCATCAGGCTCCTTCCTCACAATGGCAGCGAATAAAGACACGGCCGACGATCTGTCCAACGAGGAGGACTTGGAGAAGGCTTTGTGTGTGCTGGCTGGAAGTGATCCGGAGAACTGCTCCTATTCTCGGGTAAGAGAAGCGTCCCACACCGCATCCATCGCCTTTATCTGCCCTGCAGTTTTAAATGCTACATAGTCGGTATTAGCAGGGGGGGGGTCGGTCATGAAATACTATCTACAACGATGCATATTTATACGTCCTGTGCTATTGCTGCAGGGATATGTGAAAAGACAGGCAGTGTTTGCCTGCAACACCTGCACTCCAAATGCTGCGGAGCCTGCTGGGGTTTGTCTGGCTTGTGCCAATAAATGCCACGATGGACATGATATCTTTGAACTGTACACCAAAAGGTACTTTGGTTCAGCCTTCTTTTTTCTTTTTGAATGACATAAACTACAACATTTGCCGTATCCTTTTCATAATCAACCCATTCATTTCTGATGTAGAAATTTCCGCTGCGACTGTGGAAACAGCAAGTTTGGGGAGTTCAAGTGCCAGCTGATTCCTGTGAGTCCTCTAGGTAATCGATGATTCCTAACCGAATTGTGCTTCACGTTTGTATTGCTGAAGATATTGCATTTTGTGTGTTCACAGGCCAAAGATGAGGAGAACGTTAGAAATCACTACAACCACAACTTCAATGGCTGCTACTGTACGTGTGACCGGCCGTACCCAGACACAGACGATCAGGTATTCCTATTATTTGGTTTTATGTCTCCCGAGTTCTCATGCAATTTGGATAAAATGTACCGCTTGCATCCTCTGCCATTGTGACGACACCCCCGCCCCTCCCCCCATTTAATCCACCAATAGGCCGACGATGAGATGATCCAGTGTGTCATCTGTGAGGATTGGTTTCATAGCAGGGTAGGCGCAAGTCACGTCATTGAAATTAGGTTGTTGAGAACTTCTATTTCAATTTTCTTCTCATCACGTAGTCAATTCGGTTGTCGTTGACAGCACCTGGGCTGCACCACAGCGGACCCCGAGGAGCTGCAAGAGATGGTATGTGAGACCTGCATGAACAAGGCCCCTGTCTTGTGGACGTATGCTGCTCACTTTGCAGGTAAATAATCTCCCCGAGCTGCTTGGCGAGGTGAGCAAAAACGGCTCGCGTGACTTTGCAAACATTTAACAGTAAAATTCAGGGAACACGTTTTGCATACTGTACGTCTTTACCTTTTTAGTTTCACCCGTGATCAGCGTCAGTCATGCAGAGGAGGAAGAGGAGGTCGACGTCTCTGAGCCGAGTCAAAGTGAACACGAGGAGCCGTCCACTAGTGCTGAGCCCACAAAGCAGGAGGTTAGAACCTCGTACTCAGGAGACCCCCTCCCCCCTCTCCCTCTACCACCTTTCAATGTTTGCATGCAGGGTTTGTTACATTAAGAGCAAAAGTAGGGAATTAGAAGACTTACGAACACCTCTGTTTCTGGCTGTGAGGCGATTATTTTATTTTTTTCTTCTGGCATTTCACCATCGTGGGGAAAGTGTGCGAGGTGAAATAAGCTATCTCACTCAAAGTTTTAGATTTCACATTAGCTTTGGGTGAGCAGTGCTTTCTGCTTATGGTAGCATGGTGAATGCTTCTGACGCTTTACCCGTTCAGGTCTACCCTCCTCCATAATTTGGTAGACCTCCACAGCTGTGTGTGACTTCATGCGACTATGCAGGGATTTGATAGTAAAAGTGCCCTCATGGACACATACATGTTTGAGTGCTCACTGTGCACGTTCCCCGGGTGGCAGCCGGTGTCTTTTTTTTAGTTGCCACAAGATGGGGCTGTAGGGTAACGAGCAGATTATACAGCAGGCTCCAGCTGCGGTTATCGTGCTTTCCCCTCCTCTGGGTAATTAGGGGATAAATGACCCGTGAGGCTCTGCTTCCCCTGCACTGTGAACAGGCTTTGGCCCGCCTTCACAGGACAGCTTACTGTAAACTGGTGAGTTTCACCGCCCAAATCATCTCATGGTGTCAGTCACCTTGAGACTTCTCCCGTTGAGCCTGCGGCACCGCGATGTTTTACAAAGCCATCGCCTCATTATTTCTCTAGCGGTCACACCGTTAACTCACCCCCTGTCCTCTTATCTGCTAACTAGGAAGTGGCAAACCGGTCCTCCCCTTGCAAACGCACCCACGAGGAAATGGCAGGCGGCCCCGCAAAGGCCGCGTCCAAAACCGCGGCGTGCCGGCTGAAGGACCTGCAGGCCGCGGGCCCCGAGAGGCCGAGGCACGGAGCGGTGTTCTGGCCCTACGGCTGGCGCGCCGAGCTCTGCACCTGCGTGAGCTGCAAGGTAGGCCACAGATGCTAGCGCTTAGATCATAATGTGGGCTTTAACAAACGGGCACAAGCACGCCACTTTGATGGGCTTTGGCTCTACTTGTGATAAAAAAAAAAATAGGTGCAAGTACTTAAGGCTTTTTTTTTTCGTCAACAGAGGATCTACGTGACTGCTGAGGTGCAGTTCCTCATGGATCAGTCGGACACCATTCTGGCCTACGAAGAGAAAGGCTTGGACGAGCCGTTCGGGCAGCACCCGTTGATGGCGCTGATGAGCTCGATGGACCGCGTGCAGCAGCTGGAGGTTATCTATGGTGAGCGCGGGGAAGATGTCGTCGTGCAAAGGGGAGAGGCGGTTGATCCGGACTGATAAAAGTGCTCTTCCCTCCCAGGTTACACAGAGTTAACGACTTCGATCACTGCGTTTTTACAACAGTGTGTTGCGGAAGGAAAGGTAAGAAACGGAAAATTGACCCATTGGTATATTTATTTTTCACCCCCCGGGAACTGTTTTCATTTAATTAAATCATGTTTGGTGGACCTCTCCTCCCCCCCCCCCTCCGGTATCAGACGGTCACAGTCGAAGCTGTACACCAGTTCTTCGAGGAGCTGCGGGCCAGAAAGAGACGAAGGACCAATGCAGGATACCAGTAACGAGGAGGCTGCCATCATCCGCCTGGTTCATGTGGAGCTTTGAATGAATGTGCGACTCAAAAGATAAACCCTTTTCTTTGGTGAATAAAAGGGCTTCTTGCTGCAACCAATGTGAAATTGTAAACCGCGAGGTGTACAGACTTCCTGTTGTGAATTGTTACTTCGAGTGATGGAGTGAGATTTTTTTTTTTTTCTGGTAATCGTTGAATGTCCAATTTTGATTTTATTGATTCATAATGCCTTGACTGAAGCTCCAGAAGAAATTACTTGAAACATTTCACCACGGTATGCTTTAAATTGTAACATTGCTGCAATGAAATGTACGTGACAAGAGGTAAACACCAGTGTGTTGAAATTGTCTCACGGCAACCGGTGATGTGAACAAATATCCTTGTTTTATATGGATTCATGTTCCAAATAAAGTGGTCTCATTTTGTAGTGCACAAAAATCAACCGAATCGAGATCAAATTAATTCCATAATATCAAACCAGTTTATTTTGAGGATGCCCAAGTTGACCACTGTTATGCACCTTTTGAGGCGACAGTAGAAAAATAGACTCAGTGAACCTAAATGCAACTTAATATCAATCTACAAACAGGTTTTCTATGATGCCGTACAAAGTACCTGTTAAAATCCAATACAACCAATCATACAGTTCAGATGGTTCAATTCCAAAAGTTGCTAAATAAACACTATGTACACAAAATGAGCTACACGAGATTTCAAAGGACTATTTGATGCAGGCTGGTAAGCTGGTAGAAAGGAGCTTGCATAGAACATCAAAGTCACTTCTCTAATAAAAGCCCAGCCGCAGGCGGGGGAAGGCACTGACTTCTCCACAGCAAAGAGCAAAACAAGGACTTTTATTCAATGGAACATTGTCCCGGAAAATTAAACAACTAACCAACATGAACATGGGGAGGAATCTGGAGTTTAGCATTTTTTCCCCATGAAGCAACCTTGATGGAAAAAAAGATTTTTTTTTTTTGCTTGGCAACTTCCTCACCGCCAAGCAGAGTGAATAAAACCTTCAGATCCTCTACATGTGCACGTTACTTTGAAAGTAAAGAATGGGAAGGAAAAGAAACATCTCTACAAACATTGTAATCCACACCACCTACAGCACGGAACCGACTGTCCTAATGCGCAACACTGAGGAAAGAAATAGATTGAGACACCATCTTTGTTTTATACCACACATTCTTGGTAAGATTTCATGACAAAGTACACAGTGTTGTCCACTACAGTAAAAACTCAAACCTTCAACAACCACTAAAATGTGATAAAAATGAAATCATAACAAAGCTCAATTCATTATATACAATTTCATGGGAGATTTGAGACTGCTATCGTCAACCTTTCTTCAATACAATGATTATTAATTTGTTCCGTTTCCCTTCAGCTAACACACCGGTGGCTCCTACAGTGCAGTGATACTGGTGCGTGAGGGTGAACGCCAGCTGCTGGCTGTAACAGGCCTTTATGTGTGTACTTGCATGGTTCTGGAGCTACAGCTGCCGTGGGTCTTTAACAGTATATTTCTTAGTATAAACGCTGACTATGCAGGTCCACAATCTTGCGTGATGGAGGCCTGATGTATAAACATGTTAGCGTTTGGGTAGGGGGGGGTTAATGTGTCCATAGTGAACAGAACAGTCCAAAAAGCAATAAACAGGGGTAGCGATATGACATCATACTTAGTAGAACAACGGTAGCTAGAACTGAATACTCAGAGTACTGATTAAGGCTTTAGATTTGATTACTTGATGCTATTGGATTAAACAGAGGCTCTGGCGCACTGATCATAACACTGGCAAAGTATCGGGTTAAATCATCGGATTCTCTGATACGTACAAACAAACCTGACTAAAAATGGCCCCACAGTACTGAGGTTGTCTCGAAAACCGCGCGTATCAAATGCGTCCTCGCAGATTCCCGTCCCCGGGTTTAAGCTGAAAACCCACCCCCCCCCCCCCCCTCCGCCCTCCCCCAGTACTCCTTACGATCACTTCTACGTTAGTTGCCATGGCACCCCTATATTTTTTTCACTGTATTTCAGTAATGAGGCTCGCTCGTGCTCCTTCCTGCCTCCCCCAGCCCTCTGAAAGTACCAGGCGTCCGCTTCCAAGTGACACACTCATAGAAACGGTAAACCCCGACACAATTATCAGACCGGGGAAACAGGAGAATGACGAACTCTGATGACCTACTTCCTGTCAGATCCAATTCCTGCTACGTGTGAACAAGCGTCGGCCCCTCAACTTATCGGCACTGCAGAACCAGGTGGGGGGCCGGGGGGGAACTAGTCAAGTGGGTTGCTATAGGCATGCTACAGAAACAAGTGGAAAGAAAAACAATGGAAGGAAAAGAATACAGTCAGATGTATTTACATATGATTCTATCACAATACTCTGGGTCCCAGACGGTGTACCACTGCTTTCTTGTGTAAATCGAGACCCCTTTCTCAGCATCTCCCCATTCTATGCCTAAAACTATGGAGAGACAACAGAGAAAATGTAAGCTTTTTTTTAAGTTCATAACTTAGCTACATATAGTATTGTGACCTCCCCGTGCAGGACACGTCTTTCGTTAGAATGTGTCCTGGTAGAGCCAGAGTCAACTTCTGCCCCAGCAGGAGTACACAGGATGGCAGAGATCAAGCACTAACACCCAGCTCTTACTCGTTCCATACTCTGACTGTGTGATGGATAGCACAGCGTGATAGAGGTAGGACAAAAAGGTCAGAAATAATAAATAGCAATCATCGACCGCCCCTGTCACCTTGCTCCTCTCAAACAGACACGCACACGCACACTCACACATTTAGTGCTTTGCCACTCATCATGCTTTCCCTTTTTGTAACTCAACCCCTGGGCATCAAATGGGGTTAAAGTGCAGATTTCTTATAAGGGTAGTCCGGCTTGCTGGGTGACCTGCGGTCTCTGGCGATCTCCTCGCTGACACTGTTCCTGTGAGGCTGCTGGAGGGACCCCGGGCCCAGAGATTCTCCAGCTAGAACCATTTCCTCCGGGGCATCTCTCGGCCCCGTGTGCCTCTCCTCATAGCTGTCCATGCTCCCACTGGGAGGCCGTAAATGTCCCAAGCCGTGAGTCAAGTCTGTCTCATTTGATCGCCCCCTCGGGATGTGTCCCATCCTAGGTTGGGCTCCAGAAGGGCTGGCGATGACTCCATCGTGCCTCTGAGAGGTCATACTAAGGACGTCCAGACGTAATGGGTCTGGGGCGGTCCGTCCCTGCGGGCGGCCATGGGGCTGAGATTCAGAAATGTAGGGGGGTGGATAAGAGCTGGGGGGAGTGCAGCTGTGGCTATAGAGGTCTGGTCCTGCAAAGGAGGGCAGAGGATGAGTGGAGGTCGGCGTTGCAGGTCGACAGGAGAAGTCATAGAGGTCAGGGAATTCGGCTTGAGCCTCCAGCTTGGGTTCTGGAGCGTGTCTCTTGCACGAGTGCCCATGCCCAGGGCCGTGGCCGTGGCTGTGGCGTGCAGACGGGCAGGGCCCATGAGGCAGATGGTGCCCAGAGGGACCCATCGGGCCATGAGGGCTTTCCCTGTCCAACTCTGCCATGTGCTGCTCCCGCAGGGACATGACAGAGACACCCAATGCAATGTCAGGCATGAACTCCCTCATAACAGGCTCCATGCTCATCTGTATTGGAAAGAAAGACACAAATATGTGACGTTACCTGACAATATAATGATCTACATTTGGATGAACAAAAACATACCACCAAGGTCTCTAGGAATTGACACACAGACACACACACACGCACTCACTCACCGCTTGCTGGTCAGAAAGCAAAGCTCTGCCCATAGCCTGAGGGTTGGTGCAGTCTGGGGGCTGGGGCCTGGGCACAGAGGAGTAGTCTGAGCTGCCATGCTTAGCGGCCGCATGGCGCTGGATCAGGGAGCGGTTGCAAGGGTAGGAGAAGGAACGGGTAGGGGTCGGCATGGGCACACGAGGACGCCAGGCCCCTTTGAGCTGAGCATGGCTGGGTGTGGCAGGTGGGTGGTATGGGGGAGGTGGAGGAGGTAGGGGAGGGTGAAAGCCAACTACCCCTTCTAGCTCTGTGAACATGCTATCCATGGCTGGGCTGCTGTTTACCCGACACCGACCCACCTGGCGCAGAGCCAGGATTGGACTCTCGTCTCCGAAACGCTCATCTGGGAAGAACTTGTACGGGTTCTGGAAATACAAAAAATATATATACACATTAAAGAAATCTATGGTGCGGCCAAAGATTATTATTTTTATTTTTTGATCTGCGTTGGGTTGCTCAAGGTACTCACCTGCAGCAGCTCAGTGGCTCCGTCCGCCAGACCAAACTCCCTCAGCACCCGCAGCTGCAGCTCATAGCTGACGGTGGCGCCTTCACCACAGTTGAGGGCATAGGCTCTCTGGACCTGCTCTGTGTGTCTCAATTCTTGCAGCCTCCGGATCATCTCCTTTACCACGGACAGCTTTGGCACTGAAGGATGCACCCGATACAAGCACATACGTTAAAAGAGGCTTCAGTTTTTCACTTGGTTCGGATATATTTGATGATGAGCGCACTAGAGTTTCTGTTACGATTTGGTCATTTCTCAAAATATTTTTTTACCTGGAATTTCATTGGCCACAACCGATGGAGCTGCGGTTGAGTTGCTTGCCATCTGCTGATGGTTGATCATGTGACAGCACTGAGGAACTGCATTGTTGACCATATAGAGTGTGTCCGGGACGTTGGACATGCGCACTAATCGCAAACGCACCAGATCTGTCTGCTCCACCATCATTTCATCAAGCACCGACTAAGGGGCAGGTAGAGGAGAGAGGGCAAGTTAGAGCACATCTTCTAAGAGAGAAAACTCATATGTGCAACTCAAGGACGTTAAGAGGGTTTGCTAACTAGTTCAATTTGATTGACACTTCATTTAATAAGGACTCTCTCTGTGGAGGAAGTGTTCATAAATATTCATGGCTGTGGGAAGCCATTTAGGTTATTAGAAAAGTGTTCTAATAGACATAAAATGGATTTCAGTCTTGTGATAGAGCTATCAAAATGGGGAGAATGCAAAGCAAAAACTGTGCATGGAAGATTTCTTTCACATCTAAGCTATGAACTGGTCCACACATTTCCCCTCTTCACAGGAGCCCCCACTCTTTGATGTTTGCAAAAAAGGGCACAAATAATCCACTGCTTCCTGCGTAGCCTGAATTAATCAGTAGGAAATGAGCCTTACCTTTGCCTCCTCCACATAAGGAGAGAAGAGGCGGGGACGCACATAGATGCCAGCATTCTTCTGCCGTAACCAGACATTGGCCTTCCCCCCCTCAGCTGAGGGCAGCATGTCTGAGGGAGGGGTGCTTATCAAACCTCTTTTAAGCTGTGGACAGGGGTCGAAGAAGGTGGATCGATGTTTAGTTTCTGAAGGTCAAAAGGACTGAGACGCACATGCGCACACACACACACACACACACACACACACATTCATACTAGCTGAGAAGAAGGTAGACAAGCATTACTGACCGCGTCAGCGAGGACGTCACTGTTGGGAGGCAAGATGTGCTCAGTTCGGATAAAGGGCAAGAGGGCGGACAGGATCTCCTTCAACTCCTCCACATCCAGGTCCCTCCTTTTTACTCCCCTCTTGTTTACGCTGTGGGCTGTGCCGCTCAGAAGGTTTGGCTCTGGGTAAATGAGGACAGGAACAGTCATCAGCAGCTTTAATGTAATGCATACAACCGTGACCATTTATGCAACTATGATTAGGCGTTTAATGCTCTTAAGTCAACCCGCGGGCAATTTTTCGGGAAAGTTCCATTTAACAAATTATGGATACATTTTGCATTGCTTCCTGTGTCATTCAGCTTCCCGAGAGCAATCCTACAGAGGACATTTGCTTAATAGGTCACAGCACACAATGACATGAGCAATCACTATTTGTCCACTTTTTTTATAAAGTTTGGTGCCTTTCAATAATGCTTTTAAGTATATTTGCAGGCTTTGGTAAGTGGGTAATTTCCTGAGAGCCATTAGGGGGG